ATGGCTTCGGTCACTTTATGGAGATTTTAGTTGTTTTCTCCATTTCTCCTGATCAGAAGGTTTCCATTTCTCCTGATTTCCCCTGATCGTACAGGTCTGCATGAGGGGGAAAACCAGTAAGCTGTAGCCCGTGTACTTGAGACTTTACTGTTAGTGTGGTTTCTCGAGGAGTATCGTTTTTCATTCTTGTTCTCCTGTAATTGCACGAAGCAAGCTACGTACCTCAGGAAACAGTCGATCAAACACGAAACGAGGGCCAAGACAAGGCTGCTTAAAACCTTCGAACCATAATGGCGCACGGCAATGATGTGAATACGAACCTAGGCTAAGAACAGAAGAGCAGAAGAACAGTTGAGCTAAATTCGGATCCAAGTCGTGACGTGAGAATCATGTTGCCTCGTAACCAAACCCGGTCTTGGGCGTTACATTCAGTTAAGTAGAGCCAGAACGCTTCTTTCAAGAAAAAGATACAGACGAATCTGCCTATCTGCTTTTTTTTGCACCTTTATTCAATTACGACCCTTACAGGACATAGTAGCTGCGAAAGTTCACGCACCCTTGAAGCGCGCGGCCCTCTCCCGGAACTTGCGCTGCGCGTTCTGCCTCAGGATGCGCGCGCGCTCCTCCTTGGTGGCCGCCAAAGCCTCCACGCCGTGCGCTTCGCCCAGCGCCTTCAGCTCGCCATCCCAGTCCACGCCCGGTTCCTTCTTCTTGAGCTCGGCCGCGGAATACACCCGCTTCGGCGTCTTGGCTTCGAGTTGATTGCTCGTGTCCATTGCAACAACGTAGTCGCCTGTAGAAAGAGAGAAGAGGGTTCAAAACTGCTAATCATATCTAGTCTGGAACTACTTATTCCTTCGAACTTTCCGTAGGAATCTTGTCAGAGGGGACTACCCGCGTCAGCGTCTTGGCTTGGAGCTGGTCGCTCGTGTTCATTGGAACAACGCAGTAGCCTGTTGAAAAAGAGGACCTTCAATATGGTCAACCTTTCTTGATCATAAAATCCAATAATTCCTCGCGATGGGCACGTCAGCAGAGTTCACCCGCTTCGGCATCTCGGCTTACAGCTGGTCGCTCGTGTTCATGGCAACCACGTAGTCGCCTGTACATGAGACGGATGTCGCCAATGCTGCTGACCCTCCTTGACCATGCAAACTGCTCTATGAAAAGTTGAGAAAGCATTGGCGTGTGGATCACCCGCTTCGTTGTCTTGGCGTAGAGCTGTGGTTTGAGCTGATTGCAACGACATAGTTGCCTGACAATAGGGGAATTTGAATGCTGCTGATCTTGCCGTGGTTTGGCAAAAGACTCCTTTTTTGATTCGTCTTTCTGAGCTCGACCCCAATAGACCCGCTTGCCATCATCACCTGCACTTATCGCTTGTGTCATTCGCCCTGACGTTCATCTTCTTTCAAGGACATAATCTCCATTACCAAGTGGCTTGATTAGTTACTCTTTCCGGAATGCATACGAGAACTTTACACCAACTTACGCTTCAGCGGAACGAGCTCAGAGTTCATGACTTAGAACCAGCTTACAAAGTTTTTCACAGCCTGCCCTGGTTCCTTTAGGCAAACAGGATCAGCGTGTTTCTCATAAGCGCACTGCCATCCCGTCTTGATACAAACTGACTAAAATGTTACAAGACAAGCGGCAACCAACGTATAGCAGCTCTTGCTTCACACTCTGCAGTAAAGAAGATCAATGAGCAACCCAAACCGTTGTTTAACGGATCCGATTGGTTGGGCGCTCACCAGAGGGCGAGATCCCGAGGCCAGACCCGTTGGAGGCGAAGAGGTAGCCAGGGTATCTGGGGATCTCTTCGAACTCCTGCAGGGAGATTAGAAGGGCGGCTATTCAGAAGTAAGTACTGAATCTCTTTGCGGCTGACATCAACTTCATGTTCGCGCAATCATGCTTCATCGAGTTGTGTTGCTCTGTCGTCCTTCCACGTTCGTCGGATAATTCTCCCATACATTCATCACCCCAGTTTTGACATGGAATCCGTTGCAAGTGTCCGTGCTGAATATGAACACGCAATTTCAAGAATCCTCATATCTACAATCAAGTGTCCTCTAAACAACCTCCAAAGGCCACGTGGTGTCGTCACAAACTGGAACCTTATTTGCATAATCTGAAGATCAGTCTGCCAACCCTAGGCTTTGCATTCGACCTCCCACAATCAGCTTCCTCGTTCACAGGTACCGCATGCCAAACCCCCAGACCCACAAAACTTAAGCACGCCTCACCGGCACCGGGGCCTCCTTTTCACCAGCGCTCAGCTCCGAGCTGATAGCTCCCAGCTTGTTGAAGTACTTGTCGACCGCCTCCGAGCGGGACAGGGCCTTGAACGTCGGGCCCGTCTTGCGCTGCGCCACGTCAGCGCGGTACATCTCGTATGCGAGGCGCTCCTTCCGCTCGTACGCGGCGCGGGACCCCCGCGGGATATTGAACGCGCCGTCGGGCCGGGTGAACCACCCGATCCCCAGGTCCTTGAGGGCTGCGAGGGTGAGAAAATGACGTCAGAATGACGACAGCAAAGGTTGGAAGCGCCATCAGAATGTGAACGCGCCGTCGGGCTGGGTAATCAAACCAATCCCCAGGTCCTTGAGGGCTGCGAAGAAGAGAAAGTGACGTCAGAATGACAAGAGCAAGGGTTGGAAGCGCCATCAAGATTGTGAGTGCGCCGTCGGGCTGGGTGAACCACCCAATGCCCAGGTCCTTGAGGGTGGTTAAGGTGAGGGGATTGACGTCAGCATGACGACAGCAACTTCTCAGGATGGAATCGCAAACAAGGTGATGTCAAGGACACTGCGGAATCTTTTACTTTGAGCTTGGTGAAGCCACTCCTTCCGAGGAACTTCAGGCTGGGTGGGATGAGCTCTGACATCAGAAGGCATCAGCATGCGGCATCCAACAGCAACTATGGCAAGCACTTGACGACCTCTCGGCTCTCTGCGTAAGTAGACAAAGGAAAGTCATGCTGCATCCAGAAGCAACCGTGGAGAGCACCCTACGACCTTTCGACCCGCTGCCCAAAAAACCTTGAGTAACATACTTCAAATGTGAGCACCTTGTTATAAGACTCACTCTTCTCGTCGGGCTTCTGCCCCGTGACCTTGAGCTGCCGCTCCACGTACGTCGCCAAGTCAGCGTTCGCGGACGACTCCTCGCCCCAGGGCGTGATGTCGTCATCGTGCGTGGCGATGGGCGGCATGTTGTCGTTCATCTTCATCTTGAAGAAGCGGCTCAGCATGGAGTGCGGCTTCGTGATTACCGGGATGAAGTCCTCCCAGGCGGGGGCAACGGCCGTGCGGTAAAGGCCTGGGGAAAAAAGCAGATTTAAAATCGGTCGTTGTGATCGCACTCCAGGCGACTAAGCTCCCTCATAAACATTGGGTTCGTGTGACGAACGGCAATGTAGAAAGAACAGAAAGTGCCAATCTGTAAAGAAGCACCGGGATGAAGTCTTCCCATGCGGGGGCGACGGCCGTCCGGTAAAGGCCTGGAAAAAAAGCAGAATTGAAATCGGTCATTATCATCGCACTCCAGGCGACTGATCTCCCTCATAAAAGTTGGGTTCTTGTGACGAAAGCAACGCAAAAGGAGGTGTCAAGCAAGAGGTGTCAATTCCAAGGGGTGCACTGGAGTGGAGTCCTTCGATGCGGGGGCAATGGCTGTGCGGTAAAGGCCAGGAGAAAGGCGGGTTGGAGATAGATATCGACAACTTGCTTGATGCTACGGTCTTCACTCATGAATGTTGGGGTGTTTCCGAAAATATAGGAGGAGCAAAGAGATGTTGCTTTTAAGGTGAGCACTGAAGCACAATCCTCTCATGCAGGGGCGGCACTGTGCGGAAATGCCTGTGCGTAGGCAGAGCGAGGGGGAGTAGTAGCATAGCAAAACAGACGGCGCAAGGACGAAAGCATGTAGGTGTTGGGAGAGCTGGGGGGGGGCACGAGACTTACAAGGTCCCACCATATCTTCTATAACCGTTTTGATCGCTTGCAAACTTTACCTGCTCTTTCAACCTTTGGGCTTCCAGGTCGGAATGAACAAAGAGACGACAAGCCTACCCACCGCAACCTTTGGCTTCCCCAACTAAGGCCTTGCCGCTCAGAGGCCTGCTCTACTGTCCAGATCCATGTTTCTCCTTCAAAAGCATGTTTCAAAGGACCAAAACAAACAGCAACGAGAGGGAACTTACCTTCCGCGACCTTGGGCACTAGGTCTTTGCCGTTGACGCCGTCCTGCTTTAGTCTTTCAAACCACAGACCTCCACAGCTACAACCGAAGTAAGCCCAAAAGAATAGCACCAGTTAGGAATTCACCTTCCGCGACCTTGGGCACTAAGTCTTTGCCGTTGACGCCGTCTTCCTTCCCAAGCAGGCGGTAGCGCCATTCCTGGAAACGGGGGTCCTCCTGGGTTGGGTCCAGCGTCAGGCGCGAGTGCGTGCGGATCTCCTCGTCCACCGTGTCGAACACCACGCCGGACTTGTCGACCAGCCTGTATAGCGAAGTGAAAACACGATGTCCAGAAGTCCGTTCGAAGTGGAAAAAGGCTGCTGCTGTTCTGATGTCACAACACAGCGCCCACCTTGTCAACCAGTTCAAAGACCAGGACTATGTGATTGTAATAGCTGCAGCGAGCGCTCAAGGGGCCGAAAAACTTCTGGTTCCCGTTTTAGCGGCCAGCTTGGGTAGCTTCAGAAGTCGTCAACGTCAGGACCATACTCAATCTGACCGAGAAGCAGCCAACCCGGAGAGCGCATACCAATAATCGACCTTTGGGGGCATTGCATTTCTGGCAACACACGCCTCAGAAGACTCGTATCACAAACAAACGTCTACTTTCCTCTCGAGCTTGTTGAGGGCCCCTTCCAAAGCCTGCACCTGCTTTGAGAATTCAAGGCTTCCGCATCCTCACCTCTGGGGGCGCAGCGCTGTGTTTGCGTTTCCACGCACAATCCCCAGTGTGGGGTACATGGGCGTTTCGTCCTGGAAGTTGATCAGCGCCTGCTCCTCGGGCGTGAAGTCAGTCTCAAACTCGGCGTCGATCGGGTCGATGCCGCCCTTCTCGGCGTCCCTCACGTGCAGGCGGTGCGCAACCTCCACGTCATCTTCCTGCAGATATAATAGGAAATGATGTCAGCAATATTAGAAAGCCATGGCTTCAATTGTAACGATAGGCAACGACTTTTCGATGTCAAGGCAACCAGCTCTCTCGGCCTACCCACACGCATGTGGTGCAAAACCCGCTTGTTCATTTCTTCTCACGAGATCATACATCGGGCAATGAAGGAATTTGATCGAAGGCAGCTATGAACAAACGGACGGATGGACTTCGTTCCGCTCGAAGTGTGCTTCCTGCATGAGCAGTCCGCTGCTTGCCTGCAAACTCACCTCCGCAAGGAAAAAAGTGACCGCATTCAGAGCCATCAATCAAAACTTACAAGGACAGCATGAGATCATCGTTTCAAGGATACTAAAGCGGAACTCCATGGCATTCAAAGAACCACGAGGCAAACGTCTCCGCTCACATCGTAGTACTCCGGCACTTCATCCGCCTGCTGCTGCGCGCGCATCTGCTCGCGCTTCTCCCACCACTCCTGGTCCGGGTCCTGCTCCTTCCCGTACAGCACAAAATCGTCGTCACCAAAGTTTTCGATCGCTTCCTTGACCGCGCTCTCCGTTCGGCTCTGCGCGTCCTGCAGCGCTTGGAGCTCCTGCTCTGCCTTCTCGATCGCCGCGACTTTCTTCTCTGCAGCGGGGTCGCCGGCGGCTTCTGCGGCGGCGGCCTCGGCATCGAGCTTGTCCACTGCGAGTTTGAAAAGAAAAGGACGTTCGATACAAAGTAGAACAGTAAGTGTGCGTGCTTGGAACGGTTCTTGAAAGCACTAAGAAGGCTTTGATTGACAACGTGCCACGAGAAGTGCGGACGTGGTGCGAATTTGGCTCAAGCGAAATTGTACCTGCATGTCGTAGGACCAGAAACTAGAGACCGGAGCAATTCCCGATCGAAGCAAAACCGTAGAAATGATTCATTAAAACAGGCCTCCAGATGTTTGACAAGAGGATTGGCAAGATTCATTTGTGAATGATCTGCGGCACACGCAGATGCCTTTCTGGGCTCCAAGGTTTCGCTAAGCTTTGCAAGGGTGTTGCGAGGTCTTGAGTACTGACTTCTCAAAGACTGCGGGAATCCCATTCGTCTAGAAGCTTTGTCTCAGGATGCTTTCTTACGTTTGGATGCTTTCTTTGCAGTCGACACTGAGTTGCATATACGAGATCTTCGTAGTCGAGAGCCTGTACGCACATCCAAAGAGGCACTTAACAAAAGAATAGACAACGCCAGCTCCAAATCGTCACTTACGCTTCGATTCAAGCGCCTGCACCCGCTGCACGTACGCCTCGCGCTTCTTTTCCGCGTCCGCCTGGATCCTTGCGCGCGCAATCTCTCTCCGCTTCTTCACATCCAACGGTTCCCCCCTGTCGTCAAACCGCGGGTTCGTTAGCACCCGCTTCTTCATCTCCATTTGCTCCTCGCCGCGCAGCTGCGCCTCGGTGTAGTCGCTTATCTTTTCCGGGGGGAGCTGCTCCGAGGCCTTCTCTAGGATGAACTCCTCCCCCCGGCCGAGCGGGATTTGTTCCTGGGCGGCTAGGCGCGCTTCGTCGATGTCGGAGAAGGCCTGGACGTACTCTTCCTGCCACGCCTCGTCCTTGTCAAGGGTCTGCTCCAGTAGCTCGTTCAGATTCACCTTGTTCTGTAGATGACAATGAGAGCAAACTTGTCAAAACTCGATAGGTTGATGATAAGAAGAGACCACAAGAGAAAGTGCAAAGAAATTTTGGGTTCGTTGTATTCCAAGATGAAAATGAAATCAGGAGCATACTTTTCTAAATCCAATGGGTGAAAGCCCGATCTTCAAAATCGGGCACCATGAAACCTGAGGTACCAGACCCCGCAGTTGCTCGATTCTTTTCCAGCTGTTGCCTCGACCTTCAACAATGCAGTTGGCATGATACCAGCAGACAAATTTGCTAGGAAAGCCAAATTCAGACTGGCCTTGCAAAACTAAGCAACGGCCATTTCAGCTCCTAAGACAAATGTCCTCATAGACTGATGAAGTTGCATCAAGTATCTGGCATCGGCACTCCAAAGTCTCTCAAACAACTTGGTCAGTACTGATGCCTAGCGAGCGAAAATAATCATCATATGGGAGCAGGACAAAGCTCAAAGCTTACCTTATTCTCCGGCATCTCCAGCTTTTTCCTCTCCAGCTTGGCCCTCATGAACGCCAGCTTGTCCTCCTCATCAAAGCCCTCCTCCCCAGGGGCGAGGTCATCGTTTCCGACCAACTCCATGGCCTTGAGCACATACTCGTCCTCTTCCAGGGTATTAGCCTGGAAGTCGTGCAGCGGGATTTCACGGTGGGGGGGAATGAGATGGGGTAGATTGGAGGGGCGGTCCCCCTTCTCCTGGGGGTACACAAAGTCGTGGGGGTATGCCTGGAAAGACGGCATGTGGAAGTGGCCTGACATCATCACGCGGTCCCACTTGCCGCGGGGCTCGCCGGCTGACGACATGTCACGGACGCTGGGGGCCTGCGAAAGAACGAGGGGGAAAAGGTGTCAGGCAAAGTTGGATTGAAGCATTTTCAAGTGCTGATCTGTTCGCTTCTAGCAAACTTGACATATGTCCGACCTAAACCCGAAGCCAGATAAGGTCCAGACGTATCAAAGACAGTAGGTGAATTCCGTTGTGGAACAACCAGCGCTTGAGAGGAGAGGCAGCAGTGAGACCATATCGGTGCTGAACTCTCTCATCAAGTGCAAAGTACTTTGTCACTAAAACACTCTGCATCGCAAGATCACAAGAGGCATCGACAAGAAGCTAGCTCAGGAAGAGAAACTTTGTCAGACGTTCTTGGCAAGTACGTAACTGCAGAGAGGTGCCACTGTTGAAGTCCTTGCTAGAGACGTCTTGCCTGGCGCAGGTCACTTTCAAATCCTCACCTTCTTCTTGGACCCTTCCTTGTAATTACGGAGCGCTTCCCACTGGCGCTTCAGACGGGAGTTCTCAGCGACGAGCCAGTGGTCGAAGGGACTGCATAATGAGCACGGAAGACATGTTCAACCCTTCTGCAAGCTTCTCAAAGCTGGTGATGCTCTTGCATTTGAGCAGCCAATAAGATTGGAGAATGACCTGGTCGGCAAAAATACTCATTCTCAGAGCTACTGCTTGGGAAATCCCACTCAATTGCCAAAATCCCAGTGACACACTAGCAGGAAAGCACGTTGCTACGTAAGATTGGCGGATGGCACGCTCGTCATTCACAGCTTCAATCCTCGACAGCTTTCTCTGGTGCACTCTTTCTAGGAGATGAGATGATGTAAGCTGTAATGTGCTCTCTTATGTGAACAGAGCTATACAGGGATGCTTTGTGCTCACATTGCTATTGAACACAAAAGCAAGCATGTCGCAAACCGCAAGGTGTGTGAAAGGTGAATCCATCTAAAACCAGGCTGGAAAAAGCATTTGCCACCACTTTTACACCAGTTTGAATGCACCATTACCAGCCATTGACAAGGGGGCTTACAAATTGTGGGCATTTGCCGGGAGGAGCAGAAAACGTGTGCTCGAGTTATCCCAGTAAACTTCCAGGTTGCCAACTCAGACAGCTATCCCAAAGACAAATCAACCACTCCATCGTTCCAACCAGTGACCCTATCGTTGCGGTAGGAGGAAAGGCAGCAAGCGTTGCACATATTCCATTCTAAATGCAGGCGGCAAACCTCAAATATACCCCCAACGGTACAATCGCGCGCTCTCCTTGAGGCCTAAAGCCGCGCATTTTGTTGACGCAAGAGACCCGCAGAGAAATGTAAGCACAGGAGAGCAGCTTGCATTGTGCACGAAACCCTGTTTTTTTCAATTGTGTGATTCGTTCTTCAGCAAAGCCAGAAAGAATCAATTAGAACGAATCGGAAAGAAGCATCAATCAAGCGACAATCCAGAAAAAGCGTATGTTTCTAAGGATTGCCCTAGGCGAGCGCCTCAAGGAGTGGCGCCAAGATATTGAAGACAATTTCAGCTGGTACATAGCGTTGTCAGACATCTGTAAGAACCCAGCCCTTTCGGTGTCAAGCCCTGTCGGTACTTCTCAATGGCAGCCTCTTTAAGCCTACAGGTTTGCACCTCTATTCTGAGAAGCAATGCCGAGCAGCCACTGCATTCATTTGGATACACCATCCAGCATTGCATGCAATAGAGTGATTCGCTGCATGTCGTGCAAGACAACTGCTGTCCATTACCAACGGCTGAGCAAGCAACGTCCTGAACAGAAGCATCATGGCAAAGATACGCTCTTCCATCAAGCGGCACGTACAGCGGTATACAATGCGAGCAGTCTGGACCATCGGCAACATAACGCAATTGTACGCATTCTGTCGTTTTGAGTTTCCCCTCATCAGCGAGCCTCCCCAATGTCCTTTGCAGAAAGGACACGACCAAAATGCGCAAACACAACTGTAGAGCAGCCAGTAGTCGGACCTCATTGCATCATGTATACGCCATGTATACGCCATTTGAATCGGGCCTCACACCAGGCGCCAGAGCTGCCTCTCAATGCACTGGCCAGTCACCCCTTAGGTGCAAGATAAGACAGCAGAATCTTACCTCGAGTGGTCGCGAGCAGCGTCATCCTTCAGCACCCACTTGTACGCGCGTGCAAAGAGATACCCGTAAATGAGCGTCAAGAAAACCTCGGGATCTCCATGCGGAACTCCAGGGTCGCCATAGTAGGCGGGCCCAAACATCAACTCCTGGTCGCCCTTATCCATCTTAGCTGCTTGAAGATGCGCCCTCTTGACTTGACTACAAAACCCTCGTCAACTAGAGGTTCTGATCATATGCCAGAACTGTGCAAGTGCGCCCACACTGCGGCGCCACCCTCCTCAACACAACGATGCTTCCAAGCCGCACAGGGTCCCCCTCTTACATACCAGGACGGCCCATGAGCGCAGCCATTGCTGACAACCCCGCTCTTTACGCCTCCCCAGCGCCCTGCCGGCACAAGCTGAGCTCCTCAGGCTCAGGCTCCAGCTCTTCTCCTCAACCCTGACTCCCGAGTCCTGAACCCAGCAGACTCATAGGGTATTCGCACCTGAAGGATTTCAACTTTTCTTGTGGATCTTTTCTTGCCGCTTTTCTTGTGAAAACAGCCAGAACAGGCAAGAAAAGACCGGTTATTCGCACCGGGCTGTACTCTGCTCAAGTCTTTCTGCCCGGCCCAACAGCTATGATCTGACGGCTGGAAATGGCTTTGATTCAAGCACCGGAAGGCAATCGGACGGCTTCGATGGTATCCGACGTCGACCATACGCGGGTGGATGGCATAAGCTATGCGTCACACAAGAACCGGCAAGAAAAGCCGCCACAAGAAAAAGTTGCCTGTCAATTTTCTTGCGGCCGAAATGGTCAGAATCGGCGAGAACTCGCAAGAAACCCGCGAGAAAAGAACAGATCGGCCGGAAAATGTAAGGTGCGAATACCCTATCATACAGCGATCACACATGAAAGCGAACTTTTCCAGCCGGTGACAGATTTCGACGGCTGTTTGGCCGGCTGCAGTCGGGTCGATCACACATAGCGACCGTCAACTTCCGGTCGGTACAGCCGTAGAGCTGTTTTGGAGATGGTCAAATCTGGGACGTCCGATGACCGCTAAACAAGAAAAGTCTTCCAGTAACCGAGCAACTTTGCTTGCTATAACCTGCCAGGGTCCATGAATTCTCCGTACTTGAGGTATACCCAAACAATCAAGATACACTTATCTTTCCGAAAATGGGGCACAGCATAATACCGCTGAACAAGTTTGAATCCTCGGGAGATCAAATCCAAACTCATAACCCGAGTCTTGAGCTACAGGTCTGTATGTCGCCATGTAAATGGCGACATATACTATTGTTCTTGTATTTGTACCGTGATCATGTTAATTTAACCCTACTCAGTCTACCTGAACACCGGCCATTGTTTTCATATTCTTATACTCTGTGTTGTCTCTTAATGAACACCTATATGAGATTCACATATGCTTTTCAGCCCAATAATCTCCGTAAATTACAACGCGCGACTGCAAATTGTTTTCCCCCGGGGGAACATGTTTGCCACGTAGGCTTCCTCGACATTGACGGCAGTACCGACCGTCGCCGGCCGTGGCCGACCGACAAAAGTATGGCAGAAATTTTCTGGCCGCCGTCGACGGCCAGAATGGCCAGAACTGGCAAAAATCGCCGGCCGGAAGTTGGTTTTCTGGCATGTGTGATCGTTGCATCAGCAGCAACCCCAAGCAGACCTGAATCCTGCAATGCTTCACCTCAGGCTCTATCGAAATAGGCACTAATCATCGCAAATAGACCAAAACGTTCGGTTTAGGCTTGTCTGTTTGGTGCGTCTCTGCGAGTCATCGAGCCGCACAATTTGGATCAGGTATGCATCGAACGGCAGCCTTTACCTTCACAAGCGACTGCAAAAACAATGGGCCCTCGTTGTCAACAGAAAAGTGGTGAACACTCTTGAAACGACAATGCACTGATCTGAACAGTAAAAGCGAAAACGAGGGCAGGCGCCGCTGTTCGAAGTGCCTTGTTTACCTGTTTGGGAAGCCTGTCCTTCTTGCTGGAGGATCCTATCAAAAGCTCAGCAACTTCAAGGGCTTGGTGTTCTCTCGTACAGACTGCTGGCTGCGCGCTTGAATCACATTGTGCATAATGAACCTTCCTCCACACATCAGGAACATGTCAAGGTCATTGTTGGAGGCATAAGCTCGTAGTGGTGGTTGTGGGCGAGGTACACAGGCTGTCTGATGTAGACATTGAGATTCTCAAAGCTGCAAACCACTTTACGTTTGAATGAAGGCAAACCTTAAAGTAGTGCCTTTTAGTGTGGGTGTACCACCACCGCTTTGATCGATCAAAGCAGGAGGTGGTTGACAGACCACTCGCAGACCAAGATCGAGCACAATGTTGTGGCGAATCTTTGACCTGTCGCTCGCCGTCTTCTTCGCGCTCTTTGTGTTCATCTCGACCTTTCTGGAGATCCCAGTAAGTCTGATCCTTCTTCTCCCCCTACTTTCCCCACTTCAACGGAGCTCCTCTGCGTTCATTGCTTAGGCTAGAGGCACATTCAGGCCCAATGTAAAGGTTCCTTTATGTGATTAAAGCTTATTGGTTACTGCAGGGGAATGGCGCCACCGATGTTGTCATTAATAAGTTCAGTGATTGCTCTAGGGGGCAAGCATTTCAGGATGGTTCTACCCAATTGAGCTGGATACAGATGCCTTTGGCCCTCGGACTCTATCTCCTAAGGCTTCCGATTCACCGCTTAGGAAGTCTGACTCTGGGCCACATATCTCTGAAAGGGATTTTTTAGTCAACTCAGATTCCTGATAGGAGATTTTAGTCAAGTATCTGAACTTCAACCTCTTGCCTTTTTCTGATTCCAGGTCTGTCTGGGCGAGAAGGTCACCCCAGATTCAAAGGCTTTTCTGATTGCAGACTCGTACAAGTGGGGGCTGGAGGTAAGAGCAAAGCACCCACAGCCACGGGCGCATCTACTGAACGTCGAATCCCTTTCCTACTCAATGTCGTCGAAAGTCCTTATTATATGGAACCAGCTCAGCTCAATATCATATTCTACCCCAAATGGTACAATGATTTCTTCCCCTCGTCTAGTTGCTTGCTAAGTATACTGTGTGTGCAGCTATTGCGATTCTAACCCGGCTCATATCACAAGCTGATGATTTGGAGTTAGCTCGGACTCATCAGGACGTTGTAAGGTGTCCTGATGATTTTCAGGACACCTTACAACGTGTTCCCCAAGCTTCTTAACCTAGCAATTCTACCAAGTCAACCTGGTTCTCAACCCATCGTTTTCCTATCCCCCAGGCAGATGTGGTCTGGATCAAGCAACCCGTGTGGAGCCGGTGCGCGGTTTGCATGCACGCCTTTGGTTTCAACGCCGGATATGCGCTGCTCTGCTTAAGCCTTCTTTTCCGGTGGAACTGGATCCGGATTCCAGGGATAGCAATATGTACTGCCAAACTGTATGCTGGTGCCGTAAGTTTCCGAATCTAGCTCATCATTCTTCCTTACGGATTTCTGTGCTGAACAACATCCGACTTAATATCAAGAGTACAATCTCGATCACAGTCAGCATCTGATTCTGCTGCAAGTGAATCCTTGGTCAAAAACAAGGTTTCTGATACAGTAATTGACACGCTTTCATGTGTAAACGTTGCGTTCGCTGTCAAGGTTTTTCACCAAGCGATCAATCTTAATAGCTCGTAACACAGTTCTTCCCATCAGACGTCTCGTATTTCACTTTGGTGGATTCTCACAAATCCCAAGGAAATGTATGTCGAGCGCATATCACTACTGGTGTAGACCCTCTCGACCAACGAAATAGACATTTAGGTGTGTCACCTATGTTTTGTAGAACCACCGATTGAATGCCTCGTTCTTGGATATCCAAAAACGCTTCCGCTCTCCCTTCGGACAGCTGTACATGGCGGCCAATCTCCTCGACCCTGAGATGTCCCCTCCAAACCCGACAAAGTTCGTCGCTCAAAGCGCAGCTTACATGCTCATTCCGCTACTGGTGAGGACAACACCCGTACTCCTTGTAGTAGGAAGCCGTTGAAGCCCAATGATGGTTGTTGTTCCGTTCGGTCGTGGATCTGAATGACAGTAAACTGGGCCACAGGGTCAGTTTGCGAGTTCGACGAATGACAGGCGAACCGAATGCACCGTTTTCGTTCTGTCATTGAACCCAGCTGGGTGCTACCATTAAGCTCTTATTGCACGTAGTGAGAGTGTCTCTTATTATACCTAGTCAATTCCATGAGTAGATGGAGCGGGTACTTCGTAACGTGCAGCAACTTGAAGATAGCCTATTCAGAACCCTTGTTGTCCTGCACGTTCTGGCTGCTTGCTTCCTTCAATAGAATGTCGTTTCAACGTGGAAGTGGAGATGAGACCGACGATAAGGCTTTCGTAAAGTCACGTGTCTCATTGCCTCACGGTTCGTCGTCTGGTCTCTTGTCGTGCTAAGACTTGCGTTTTTCGTCGCAGACGATTTTAAGGCTCATCCCGACGGCGCCGTTTCAACGTCAACCACAGAAGCCGAAGGCACTTCGGCCAAAACGTGCTTGAGGTGCTACTGAATAAGTTGGTGCACAAGCCTGTGGGCAAGCTCTTTGTGTTGAATCTTCCAGTGCTCTTCTTTGCACTATTCCATTGGACGCCTCCATTGCTTATGATTAGCCTACAGTTGCTGAGTTGCTGTTGAAGATAGTTAGTTGAGGCTACGATCTTATAAGGCCTTCGCAAAGGCCCCCTGAAGTCCCTGCACCACAGGCTGCTAGACGTTGCAGAGATGAGTCCCGCGCGGGCTTTCAAGTGAAGCCGCTTGATCGACCCTAGAGCTGTCGGATCAAGCTCGGTTGTCGGGCCAATGTTCACAGGAATACAAAGAATGGATGGCGCGGATCGCCGCTGGATGCAAATGGTAAGCTGGTCCGGTCTGCAATTGGGCCCGAGGTATCGAGTGCCACTTGATGACACAGTGTCAGATTATCATGGTCAAAATTTTGGATGGGTATGCTCAACACTGAACTCACGCATTACAAGTTTGCCACATGCCGATCGAGGGGCGCACTCCGATCGCAGCCCCTGCTGCAACCCGCACAGGCATGATATCAATGATGTACATCATGATTCTGTTTGAAGCCACTCTGCACCTAGAAGATGCGACCGCGCCGGGCGCATCGCGGTGAGGCTGCCGGCTATAACCAAAAATATATATATCCCATGTGCTGCACATGCACGACATTCATCATTGAGGCAATCTGCATGAAATTGCTAGTCGTTAAGTGGGGCCGGATGTGATTGACTATACGTTGATGGCATGGCGCCAGGCGATCCCTTGTAGCTTCGCATGCATGCCAATCATGCTAATTGAAGTTCGGGCTGCATGATCAGCAATGTTGGTGACCACGCATCACGCGCGACCCTATCATCGCCTCTTTCAGGCTTCGGCGCGCATGGCATGTCTATTGTGCGTCGAAAGCACATGCATATGATGCGAGCAAGCCCCAGTAAGAAATCAAAGCAGCAGGGTTGCAACGTAGCTGCTTCGGATGATTGGCATGAAATATAGACACTGTTGGTTCTGCGATGTTACACTACAGTGCGGCAGCACCAATCTTGGCGCATTGTGCAAGCTAACATTGTCGGCTACTTGTCAACACCTGCCCATGACAAAGTATGGCTTGAGTGACGGTCACTCAATTTGCCAGGTTGATCCACCACCGGGGACAGCTCAGCAACTGTGCGACCAATGCACGCCGTGCGTATCCCACGGGAACACAACCACGACATTGGGCTGTCTGGTTTGTATCCACCGCACTTTTTCCTACCAGTTGATCCCAATGAGGGGGCTCCGCTTTCAAGTTTCGGGGAGCAGAATCAGTTGCCCCGTGAAACTCGTCGGCGCACCAAGCCCCCTCCTATCTAGACCGCCGCGGTTCCAGCCGTGAAGGACGGGTCCTTGTAACGGTACTCGCCGTCGGGCCCGATGCCGAAGCCCTTGGGGTCGGGGAACACGTTCTGCAGCAGCTGGGTCCGCTCGGGGTGCGGGCTGGCCTCAGCAAACTCGACGGCCTCGTCGATCACCTCCTCAATCTGCAGGAGTTGAGGTAGAGAACCTACTCAGAGCCTGCTCGCGGATTACTCGGCCAAAGCCCGATGTAGGGATCGCTCTTTCTTCAACCAGGTGCGAGAGGCCAGGTTTGTGCTCAAGAACACGATCCGCCTATAGATGTGCAGAGAGAAGTACGTGACAGGACAGAGAAGACCCATCGACGGATTGGCAGCCAGTTCGGACGCTCCTCGATGCCGTCCACGAGGATTCGGTAGCGAAAATATATTTTAAAAGATCGATTACTTTTCTAAAGTGTCGAGCTAAAAGCTCAGACAACAGTGTTGGAAATCACGAAGTCCTTACAAGGACGGTAAGCGGGTTTACAAAACGTCCGGTAGCTGTACACTAGCTGTTAATCGGACCTACTCTCCGATAGAATGTTATACTAATCAGCAAGCTTGAACCTCCAGAGCCACTGCCGAAAGGACGTTTGACACCTACAAGGCACGTTCCTCGAAGAACAATCTGAACGAGGCCACAGCATGTGTGCAAGCCTTTCTGATTTTAGGCATACGACCTAGCCCGAGCGTTCGTGTGCTGGCATTCAACGCGGGACCAGAACGAGACTTGAGAGCAGAACTGAAACAGAGGAGACAGACACAGAGTGGAGAGAATCGGTTCAAAACAAGACCAGCATCGAGGGTTCAAAGGGGACACTCACCTTCTTGTCAATTGCTACGAAGTCATCCTCCTTTGCCAGCCCGTGCTCGAGCATGTGGTTCTTGAGCTGCTTAATGGGGTCACGTTTTGCGTACTTCGCCTTCTCCTCTGCAATCAACTTCCCAGGAATCAGAGGACAGTTGGTCAAGACATTTCAGTGCGGAAGCTTTGCCCGAAAAGGAGCAACGGCGGTGTCACTATATTTTTCTGTGAACCGTTTCGATGCAAGGCGGCGAAAACAAGGCGATCGATGGTTGAGAAGCGAAAGTACGTAGAACGTGTCAAAAGCTCGAGGACATCTAGCTCTTCCTGATGTACCTTCCGTCGAACAATCGACCGGAAGAATCATTGTACGATCTGAGGATCCTCCAGTCAACAATGCTAACCGCAGAAAACAGGTTTTGTCTGCGGTTGAAAAAGTGGTCACGTGAACGGCGGTTCTAATCGAACGCGGGTGAGAATGCTCACCCGGGTCTCTCAGCTCATCCGGATCGGCCAGAGAGTGTCCCCTGAACCGGTAAGTCTCGCACTCAACGAGCGTTGGGCCGTCGCCCCGCCGAGCTCGAGCGATCGCTTCCTTCGCAACCTCGCGCACCTGGAGAAAAGGTGTTACGAGCTTCAGAACTCCTGTTCTTTAGGAAACCGTTTCCAGCTGTCTCGTCCAATTTCGGTGCTGAGTAAAACACAGAAGCATACCTTGAGCGGGCAACGTATTCGCAGACCTTGAGAGTCTTAAAAGAAGTCTGACCAGAAGTTGGTAGATTGTCTGAACCAAAGCGCAAATTTCTTGCGTCCTTGCCCTTGAGCACGAGCATCCAATAAGTACGCGCCAGGCATGCAAACGGTTCACACAAGCTCGGTCAATCTGACGGCCCAAGATTGCGCTGACCAGGATCGGACGGCCACCAAGTGCTCCAAGCTCACCTTGAGAACGTCCATACCGTCAACGTGAATGCCGGGCATGCCAAACGGCTCGCCCTTCTTCCAGATCTCGGGGACAGAAGTCGCCCGGTAGTGGTTCATCCCGATGGCCCACAGATTGTTCTCAACCACGAAGAGGATTGGCAGCTTCCACAGGGCTGCAAGTGACGGAGCGGATTAGCAATCGAAAATCGGGTTACCAAGTGGACGTTAACAAGAGTCGAGGGCTTCGAAAGAAGTGAACGAGTCCACCAAAAGAGCGAAGTTTGAGATGATGACAGCTTTCAGAGTGAAACGGAGGCACAAAGATCTGCCAGGCTATTCGACCAACGAGGTCACAAAACATTAGGTTCAGAATAGGTTCAAAGCTAACTTATAAGCAGTAAGCGCGAGTGCAAGGGAAGGGGGATAGAACTATGATGCTACTAAAGAGCTGAGTTCTTCTTGCTGTGCGAATCTTGATACATGAACGAAGTGAAAGCGGGCTTCCTCAACGTTTGTGAACGACTTCCGATAGCCAGAATGTCCTCTGTACTGGATGACCCATTCAGGAAAATGCAGTTTTCCATTGAGAAAACATCAGCACTACTTGCCAGCAACTCAATACGCCTGGACCAAGCACCAAAAAAGCGTACCCAAAGCTCAAGTTGGCACTTAATTCTCTTCGGCAAGCCCAGTAGTCGTTGAGATTCTTCCTGAAGATACGTCCTGATGACTGCTCATTCCTTTTGGCAAGTGACACACTAATAAAACCAGAAGCCGTTTAGGCTTCCGCCAGAAAAAGATCCAAAAGTCCGACCTCTGGCAATGCCACAACCAAGGACTTGTAACGGGAACACAACCCCTGGCTCTTACCTGCCATGTTGAGGCACTCGTAGAAAGACCCGTTGTTGGTCGTTCCATCCCCAAAGAACGCAATTGTGACCTGGTCCGCAGTCTCGTCGCCCATAGCCTCCTTCCGGTACTTGGTCTGGAAAGCGGCGCCCGTAGCTACAGGGATCCCCTCAGCAATAAACGCGAAGCCCCCAAGCATGTTCCACTCCTTGGAGAAGAGATGCATCGACCCGCCCTGGCCTCGGCAGCAGCCGGTGGACTTGCCGAAAAGTTCCGCCATTATTTGCCTGCAAGGAAAAGCGTGATACGGTTGAGCTTCTTGTATTGCTATCACAATCTGTTCCACTTGATCTGTTCTGCTTTTGGTCGGATAGAAAGAGAAAGGCTGGTTGTGTGGGTTCTGTTGTACTTCATAAGAGATTGTTTGTCAGCTTCTGCCAGCTTTGCGGAGCCTGGTGCGAGCATGAAAAGACAAATAGCTCCGCCGACTTTGCCAGGAGGCTGATTGACTTTTAGAATGGTTCTTCGCAACATGCATCTTTCCAGTTTGACTTTCCTCTTCTGCAACATCCGATCGATTGTAACCAACTGCTAACACGGCTGACGAACAAGCAGAGCGATTCCACTTCACCGATGCAACTGTGCTCCGAGTCACCTTTGCTCGTCTCAATCCCCTGTCTTTCACGCACAGGACAAATATGAAGCACTTGAACTTACCTTGAAGGCACCCCCTTGCTGACTGCGTGTACGTGATCTCTGTATGTACTGCACACGTAGTCATCTTGGCGCAGATACTTGATGAACCCAGTGGAGACGGCCTCTTGTCCATTGTACAGATGGACAAACCCAAACATCTTCCCCCGGTAGTACATTTGCGCGCACATGTCCTCGAACGTGCGCCCTAGTACCATGTCCTCGTACAGCATCAGGCCCTCCTGCTTGTCGACCGGCTGCACAAAGGGGGCAAGTAGAACGTGCTTATCTTCAGGGGAAGCACGATCTGTTTGGGGGTTGCGGCGGAGGTTGTGTTCTTCTTGGAAGCAGACAAAAACCAGCCTTCAAAGTGCTCGACGGAGTAGGGGAACCTTTCATGATGCAAGAAAGGATGAAGTGGTGCATAAGGAAAGAAGACTCAAATGAAAATGGGTGAAGTAATATATCTCAGTTTATCAGGAAGGGATGCTCGCGTCTGGTGTTGAGGTAGCCTCTGCCCCTGAGCTGAACGACCAGCACTAAAATTGAGGCGTGAGGCATCAGCGTGATCATGCTGAGATCAGCTATTGAATTGAAACTCTGAAAGCTCCAGGGACATGCATTGATGCATGGTCTCTTACTTTACTCCGCGCACCATAGCGCTTTTGCTGATCCTGCCAAACCTTTCCTCCTTCTTGAAGGTCGTGAATTTGCTATCCAGTTAGCCATATATTTTACGGAAAGCAAGCAAAATCCTTCATATTCTGCACTGAAGATCCCTGCCTACTCATGTCTTAGAACCAAGCTCTGAAAGCAGCGAACGTGACATCTTCTACTCAAATGCTTAGCCTGGTCCCAGCTTCTGAGAATTCGCTGCAATGATCGCACACTACCGAGCAACTGCAAAGTACAACGCTGAAAGTTGTGTGTCATCATGAGCCATGCGCATGTATCTTGGCTTGCTTGCTGCCACCCTGGTGGCAAAAGGCATTTTGAGGAATGGATGTGCAGATATGGATGGACAACTAGATTGCAATGTAAGGAAGAGACAGGAAGAGCAGCTTGATCGTCACGGAATGCACAATACTTCAGGTCTAGGGTTCCTGGCCAACAGTACAGCCAATAGTCATTCTTTTGATGTCAAGAATCTCGCTTTGCTCCTTGCTGGTTTACACAGATTACTGACATTGCGAAGCGCTCTAGAGGCACACAGCATTTGCTTCGGTCTCTTGAGAAACTGATCGACCAAAGAGATGCAAACAGATGCAACCATACGAGCGCAGATAACTTGGAGCTTGCTCGACTCAAACTTAGCACACTTATTGTCGAGGTAAAAGAGTGCCCTTCGCCTGGTAAGCAGGACTTTTGCGGCCAAAATGGGACAAACTTTCAGCATGATTCTTACACAGCTCGACGAACTTGCTTGAGAAACCAGATCACTATGACGTCCAAGCAATGCATTGAGACATCGTGATCAAAAAAGGCCTGACAAGTCTAGATGAGAATGACCGATCAGATGAACAGATCTGCAGCAAGCCGAGAAAGACAATAAAGGCTCCTTACACTTTCTTGCGTCGACGGCCTGTCAACAACCTCTGCAACCGCCCTAATGCCAGCGGCCCTAACTGCCGGCCTTTCAACCGGTCTCGTCTGCGCCTGCATAGCTGCAAGACCGTTGCCTAGCATCTCGGATCGGAATCCCCCATGCCTAAGAGGCGACGATTTTGACTGCACGAAAGGACAATGCACTCTCGACTGCGCGCGAGCCTCTTTCCTGAACGACTTGTTCAGAGCAGCAGAGGAGCAAGCTGCGGGGGCGCGAGCAACACCAGCTGCGGCCATGGCTGCTGGTGGCTGTTGGTCTCTTGCTCTCCTACTTCAAAGTCGCAAGACAACCCCTGCTCTGCGCCGGGCAATGGTCAGGATATCTGACTGATAATAGCGTAGCGCAGGAGTCGGACCCTCTCGCTGAAACACTGGGCAGGTCGTTGAAGGCGCCCTAATTCGAACGCTTCGCTGTTGGATCAGCTAGTAGGCTTTGCGAACCTTTCCCTTAGCCAGCCTTCCTCTTGTGCCTCGACACATGCGCTTTTGAGGCCGGAAAAGCGCCTCTTGCAATTGATCACACGCAAAATTGCGGCGAAGCCCCCATTTGAAGCTGGGATAGAAAGCAACGACGGGGCTTCGCCAGATGTTGGAGGCGATGGTGGAGATGGCGCTGGCTTTCTGCACATCCCTTCACATGACACGTAAGCAGCCATTTTGAGCCACCAGTAAAGCCCTTTCCAAACCTCGCGGCAGGAGCGGCGGGCCTCATCAAAAATGGCGCCGCGGCCGCACGCGGGCAAAGCCGCAGGGCTTGTATAGAAAGAAACATGTTTACACTACTAATATTATGATTTAGCGATTGCATGTGCGTTCAGGCGTTGAGAAGTGGTGCTCCAGGATACTTGCTTTCACAAAGTAGGCCAAAGACAGTTGAAGAGGGCCGTACGGTCTTCATTTTGTGCTCAAGGGCACTACTAGCACTTCCATCCCTGCATCGGATCGACGGGAGATTCAAATTGCTTTTTAAGAGCCTGTCTTTGCCCGCTTTGATAGATTCTCAGGTTCAGAAGTCCAGCCAAGAGAGTGCTGCGTTTTCCTGCCTTTAGCACCATCATTCAATCAAATAGAACTCAAGCTTAGGCTTTCACAATTGTCAATGGTAAATTGTGGACGGTACCAGTCAGCGCCTGCATGTACTGGAGGAATCCTGGTGCGAGTCTAATGCAGCAACAAGCTGCCACTTTGGCATGAAGTTTCTTCTCTAGAGTATTACAAGTTAAGATAGCAACAACCTAGCTTGCTACTTACAGCGTTACACAACGAGCTAAAGCTGACAGTGGTTTGCAGAACCAGAGGCGGGGGTGGTGGCAGTATCCAACCATTCAGGCCGTACCCCAGGACCATAATATCTCAAAGATGACCAGTCTGAATTGCTGAACATTGAAAGAGCTCAGGAACAGAGCGGATGTCACACCCTGAGCCAGGAGACGGTTCCGAGGAAGGGCCGACATCCGCTGATGATGCAGTAGCAACATTAACCCGGGACAGCTCGCCAACAGGCGCTGCAAGGAGAAAGTCTAGCTCAAGAGCATCAGTCGTCAAAAGTGAACAGTCTACAGTAGATGCCGGTGGGAAGCCTTGGTGGGCCTTTCGTAAGCAAAGCCACGCCGTAAGACCAAGTACAGAGAGTGCATTGCAAAGATCCAATGTTTTGGCGAAGTTTATCAGGAGTGCTGCTGAAACAGAGGTGGAACCCCCTGCGGTTTTAAGGAGAGCAAGAAAGCCGGGCTTCCTAAAGAAGTTGCCCCCTTGGCAAGATGCGCTTGCGGGGGCGACAGCCGGCCTGGGGTCCACCCTATTGCTACACCCCCTGGATGTGATCAAGACGCGATTACAAGGTGCAGTGATGAAACCTCACTTCTTTGGGTCAAAATCTCACCTTTCCGGTGTACTTGTGATGAACGGACACTGCGGAGAGGGGGTCTATGAGTCATACCACCTTGGACAGTGATATAAGGTGACTGAGCAGATCTTGGTCAGGCAGGAAAAAGAACGGAGAAAATATTGACGCTTTGTTGGAACAGTGGGAGTGCAAGCTGCAGAACTGTTATAGAGTTCTGTTCTTCCGCAACACAATTGGTGTAGTTTTGCAACCATGTCAGCACCAGGCCAAAGGGTCGGGAGATATGTGACTTGGCCTCTTGATTGGGGCTACAGATGACTTTGAAGATCTCTTCCTCTTGGGTTGCAGTGCAAGATGGAGCTGGACTACAGATTCCCAAGTATCGGGGCACCTTCCACGCTTTTCGGAGCATCCTGCAAAACGAGGTGAGGGGCAAGTCCTCCTATGTTGACAGTTCCCCAGCTAAGAAGCAGATACTACAGTGTCTGCTAGTATCCTGAAAGCTTTTGTTTCAAGGAGTTCTCTTTCAGTTATCTTTCTTTCACTAGAGACAACGGTGTTGGTTCTAGCTTGAAACCGAAAGCTGGTATTGTCATGTCGGATCTCAGCGGTGTCATTAATGATCTAGTACAGCTGCATCAGTAGCATTATGTCAAGGCGGAGTGGTCCGCATCCCCGTCCAACTTGCAATGCCACCTACGTTCAAGAAGTGTAGAAATGACCACATCTTTCGCCGCATCCTTATACTCCTCCGCACAGAACTCAGGACAGCAACTGTGTTCATTTTGTGCAGGGAGGCAGGGCCTTGTACGGCGGTCTTGGGCCTGCTATTCTTGGGTCGTCCATCTCGTGGGGGATCTATTTTTCCTAGTAAGCTCTCGCTCTTTTCCATCTTCACCCGATTGCTCGTGCCAATATGCCATCATATAGCCGATTCGTCATTTGAATCTAAACACAAAGCAATTTTCGGGTGTGCTCGTGGATTTAAATATGTCGCCAAACAAGGTTTCTGTAAGTTTCAATTCGGGGAAGACTGTACAGATTGACCCCAATCCATGCACTTACTGAAACGTCGTGGCACTCGAAGTGCAGTTACAGCGGCGCGAAACGGCGGTACCAGCGGTGGACCGGTCGGAAGGAGCTCAGTGCGCCTCTTCACCTGCTGGCTGCGGGGGAGGCTGGGGTAGTGGTAAGTCAGCTCATTCTCCAGAGTATGTATCATGAACCCCACTTTTATGAGCTTGAGCCAACATCATGCTAACTCGAATTCACACATGGACCTGCTCCGCCAGGAGCCTCACTAACCCCACCCGTCTCAAACAGGTTATTTTGTGATAACTTGAACTTCTGGTAAGGAACTCAAAAACCTATGCAAGTGGGGGCAACGCTTCGGTCACTAATCTTTTTGACGCTCTCTGTAGCTCCTCGCTCCGATCGTTGCATTATCAACCGCTTTGCCCGGCGGTGGATGTTCTGAGGGCGACAGGAACTCTGTCGACCACGGGTTGAACTTCTCTCTGACGCCAAGAAACGACTTCTGGGGCAAGTCATAAGTCCAGATGTTTGGGCGATGGTAGACATCATGGCGCGTCTCCAAATCCTACTTGTCGACAGTGTTCCAGACGAGTCGAACGTTAGGGTAGACCAGCCGAATGACATAAAGCCACATTTGCTGGTCTTTCGCAGTGCGCCATCTGCACAAATCCCATCTGGGTCCTGAAAACGCGCCTCCAGATCCAAGAAAAGCTGCGGGTCGCGGCAGGCCAGCAACTCGCGCAGACGTCGTCTCTCATACCTTACCGGGGCACCTACGGTGAGTGCTGACGTCATTCGCCTATAGTTAGCCCGTTTTATGATTCCTTGCTGACAGCGGAATGGATGCTTCGTTCTTAAGCCTCCAGGATACCCAATTGCGCGGATTCCAATTTAGGATTGCCCGAAGTGTTCAAGAGATGAAAAGAACGGGCGGGGCTCTCTTTTGTGCTGCCAGATCGATCTCACGGAATCGAATTGAAGGAAGGGCGCATGATGTGGGGAGCACGAGACGCTTCATTAATTGTGGTGATAACCTTGGCCGTCGTCCTGTTGCCTTGTGACATAGAAACTCGCATTTCCAAGTCATTATCGTAGTTTGAAGCCCGCTTGGCGAAAGCAGCGTCAGCGTTCCGTCTAACCCATCTCTCTGTGTCATTGTTCGCAGACGCCTTCTGGAGCATTCTCCGGGAAGAGGGCGTGCAGGGCTTCTACCGGGGCCTGGTACCCAGCCTATTGCTGGTGAGCAGTTCCTTTTTTGGCCTGCATTTTCGATTTCAAAGCCAGTCGTTTCATAACCTTCAACACGTCCGACAGGTGCAGTCGGCCCCTTTATCATCAGCCTTAGGGTAGTTCATGGCACGAGAAGTTCCACCTAGAATCGAAGCCCTTTCATCATCAACGCTTCGCAACGACATGCGAGCATCGCTTCTGCATAGTCGAAAATCAGCATTTCTTCCTATCGATTTTCTTGTGGAAGCCCCATGCCGTGCGTGTTGGGACTTCACAGCGATCGACGCACTTGACAGTTCAGGCGGCTTAGTCTGTCCCAGATCAAGGACGAAAATGCATCGATCATTGCACTGCAGAAACCTGCGAAGTGCAGGAGCCGTTGGATGTCTGCTCGATCCGCATCTCGAAAGTCTCCGCAATCACTCACTTCAAATAAGTCCGCGAGTTGTAAGCCCAGTGAGCAACAAGCTGCGCTCTGTGGGGTTGGCTAAGGGGTTAAGGTGCGTCTGGGTGTAGAAAGCGCAAGTCCTCGGTTCCAGGTATCCATGACATCGAAAGGGTCTTTACTCTTCATTGGGCTTACTTCCACCAGATTGAGAATAACGCCACTTTGGAGGATCTTGCTGACGTGTGCAGCATGTTTCTCCGGCCGCCAGGTGTCGCACGGGGCGCTCCAGTTCATGGCGTACGAGGAGATGCGGAAGCTCGCTGTGAAGGCGCGGAGTGTGAATAGCCACCGGCCGCCGAGTGGCGGCTCCGGCAGCGGGGACTCCGAGCTGGTGAGGACTCCATCTGAGGGTATTCACATTTGTGAAAAGAGTGGGCAACTCATTTACAACATCCGTCATGCTAGCTCAACAGAGATTCTTGCCAGCCTCGATTGCTCAGCCAAACACAATCGGGTAGCAAAGGGGCCTCTTCACACGGATCAAAAACAGGCCGACGTCAGCATGACGTGATTGGAGCATGGTCTTACGAACGTAACCCTTGACCTCTTACCTTTACCCTTAGGAGGCTTCAGCAACTTTTTGCTCCACACCTGTCGGAACCGTCGGCCTTGTACACGACACGTTTTTGACCCGTTTGCAAACTTAACCGTCACGCGTTGACATCCACTCCACACGCCTGCAGAAGTAGTGAAGCTCACCATAGCGGCACGAAGATGCAGATGCACACGAGTTCAACCGCGCGGATTATTTGGTGTCATGCTGAGCTGAAAAGTAGGAGGGCTCTGACCATCAAGACTTTCTTCTTCTACAGAAAGCCGTCGACTTTGCAAGCATTGGTGCAGCGTCCAAGCTCTTCGCCACGGTGGTTACATATCCGACACAGGTACGTGGGCATATGCTTTTTCGCACGCTCTAACCTTTAGCGCTCAGAATGGTAAACCCTGAATCGTGGACTTTGAAGTTCAGACCCTAAGTTGTAAAGTTTTTAAGATTCTAAGCGCTCGCCTGCATCCTGCTGTCATTCATCTCGCATGAAACGTTACCAGGACTTTCAACCATTGTTCCCCTGTTCCATAAGCGACCAACTTTAAGTTAGCTAAGTTGGTCGCCAAACAAATTGGCGGGTGCCGCCGTTCTGCCTAAATAGGATGGCCAGTAGAAGCTCTTGTGTTGCATGTCCGGCCGTCTTTGCTAGGACCCTAACACCAGCATCTTCAAAATGTGCGGTTGGCTTGAGGCTTCAATCTATGGAGGAAAGCCTAATGTGTCGCTTCGCTTGCAGGTCATTCGATCGCGTCTTCAAGTGAGTTTCTCCTCGGGCCTCCGAATCAGAAGACAGGGAAATATCTTGCATCGCTTCATCACTGCTTGGATGCTACGGATCCTACAGAGTTCTAGGATTGACTAACTTCAGACGCCGCTCTCCTGTTCCCTTCCCATTTAGACAAATGCGCAGCAGAGCACTACAACGTGTACGGATTGTGCGCCTTGTTGGCTTTTGCAAGGATCGTCAATTTTGCAAGCGTTCACCATAGGAAGCTTTCGATGAGGTCAGCTTGCGCTGCTGAGGCCGTCAGATGGTTCCAGACTTGACGGCGTCCTTTCTTAGATTCCCTTCAGTAATGGTTTGAAAAGCCTACTGATCATTTTGTCCCGCTTTTGGGAATGCAGCAACGGCCCGGGCAGATGGGCCACAAGTACCGAAACGGCTGGCACGCGTTGCGGGAGCTACTAAAGTGAGCTCTTGAATCTCTTCGGCTCCCCTTACGTCACCAGTGATTTTAAGGGTTCACCACTTTCCCTTCGCGCCGGCCTCTAAGGGCGACGCAGCCTTTGCTGTCCCAAGTCCGAGTGGCTTGGTTTTGTTTCGCAGCTCCTTTTGACGTTTGGAATATTGAGTGTTCAAAGACGGGCTCGAATGCATTGTTTTGCAAAGGCATAGTTCCGGATGAGCATAAAATGCCCTTTCAGACCATCGCAGTAAGGGCTGGAAGCATTCTCTGCTTCTGCGGAAGTTTCTTAAGGAAGGCGGGAGCTTGAGCTGTATCATGAAACGTCTGATAACAGCGCACTTGCAAAGAACGGCGATATTTGTGTCCTGAACGACGGTCTTCTTAATATAGTCGGTTTCCTTGCAGGAACGAGGGGGCTCGTGGGTTGTACAAAGGTTTTGTGCCAAATGTGCTGCGGGTCATGCCCTCGTCAGCGATTACCTTTGTTCTTTACGAGAGCTTGATGCGGGTTCTAAAGCAGCGAGAGAAGTCCTGAGCTTCGGAAGGATACTGAATCTGGTTTGGTGTTGGAGCGCAGTGCGTCTCATTTGCAGCTGCGCCCTTGTCAGACATCCTTCTAGAGATCATGAGAGAAGGTGTGGTCGAAGCGCCGCGCTTTGATTACATGCAAATTCAAGCACGATCGACTGGTGTATCTGCAAAGTTTCATATATCAGAACGAGGGGTTTGCAGTGGGCCGTGTTTCGAGTCCAATAACGTCATATGGCTGCACGCCGCGCAATACGCTCACATTTTAGTTTGAAATAGGTATACTATGATACGTTCAATCTGCCGCGCATGATGCAGAGGGGCACAATATCTGCATTATAGTACTATATTATATCATTGCTCACGCGGTCTTGATTGGATCTCGACGGCGAATCTACGAGTTCGTGTACGTGCTTGCATGCCTGCGCAGACCCAACGTGCACCATGACCGTCCGGGGATGTGTGTGATCGCGGGCATGCCATAAATTAATGATGATGCCTTATGGGGACATCAAGCTATAGCCCGGCGCGGCGCCCATGATAAGGCCGTCGTCACATATATAATCATCTTGCATGCGCGCGGCATATGGTGCATGCACCGTTCAGCTTGATGATCATGTGCATAACCGGAGATGTCGTGTACAGCTCTTTGCATGACTTCAAGCGCAGCATGGGAACTCCGACATAACTCAAGCGCTGACGGCTTGAAAGTGCCGTACGGTATATGGGCCGACCACTTCGAAGTTTCGAGGCAGCCGAGCGCTTGGCCGTGGCGCCACCGACGGATATCAAGGCCCGAGAATAGGACTGGCATCAGATATGCCTCTATCGATTACCAGATACCTGGTAAAGCAGACCAATATAATAAATCCTTCAAGCAAGCGTTCGATCAATCACCAATTGCTTCAATGTACTCAGACTGGTCAGCTGACCCCAAGAGTTATCTATGTGCAGGCAGGACGATCGCTGTTTGATCCTTGCTGACGAACTTAAGAGCTGGCTGACAACTCGCTCCCACATCGAAGCACGTTCGGCCACCTCTTTCGAAGCCAGTCTCGATGGCCCAAACCCTTCCCGCGCCCTGGCTTGGGATTCTCAACGTCTCCTTGACTCCTCCCTGGTTCGTGGTTGAGCAAGATGCCGAAGAGGAGCTTTCCCTGCCGGAAAAGAACATGGCTTTAGCAACTTGCTTCGTCCTTCCGTCAATTATAAACAACATGCCGATTGTTACACGCCATGTACTTGAGAGGTCAGTTTCCTCTAGTGATTCAAAGGTCGATTGGCTATCCAGACTTGAAGAGATGAGCAACAATCTTGAAAGCAAAGGCGTTACGGAGCAGACTCTTAATGTCGAACCACGTGTCAAAGACGGTCCCAGCTTCTAAAAAGAAGGTACATACACGAAAGCCTACAGCTTACAAAAAGACTCTGGCCGACTCCCAGCAATATCTCTGAACCGATCTTCAGAGCTTCTGTCCATCAAGTCTTAGAGCTGACTTGTTCACAGCTCGTCCGGAAGAACATTCCAAACAATGTTCGTCCCACGCAAGGTTCAGAGTGAAGGCCCGGGCTCTCACCTTATTGCGACGGAAGGATGCCAGCGCCAGGAGGGGCTCGTTGCCGCCCTTCTCGCCCGTCTTCTGGTCGACCGTGATCATTGAACATCGGCTGCAGCCGCCAATGACCTGACAGAAGGCCGACGAGAAAGATGAGACGGAGGACTAGCATGCAAGTCTTGTTTGCTCGGCATTCTTATCCAGAGCAGAAAGTCAGAGGACCAGCTTGATAGAAGGTCTGTATCTTAAAAGGGCCTCTGATTTTAGCTCTTTCACGCTTTCGCACGAAGCTCCTGGCAAAGTTCTCCACGGTGGGGCATTTTGAGCACAATCAGGATTCAGCAAAAGCAGAAGACTTCCAGAATCCTTTACTACCGACAAGCCACTTGCAGCATAGTCAAAAACCACTTCACCTACTCGCTGTAAGAGCAGGTGTCACGTATTGCCGATCGAGTCAGTAAGGTCCGCCGAAATTCAACCTCAAAAGGTGCTCTCACAACGGCAACACAGCCAGCAGTTGCGAAACTCTTCGAGGCTCAGAGTACCATTGCTGTTGATCGGCGCATTCATCAGCGACTTTCTTTTACTGCGGCTGGTCATTGGGCGCGAGCCCCTCACCCCGAATTGCTGACCGGCGATCCGGACCTGCTGCCACGTGTCCTCCTCGAACGGTTCCAGACCCCGGACGACGAGGTTCGGCCGGAACCTCTCCGGCTCCAAAACCTCCAAACCCCGACTACCTTTCTTTTTATCCCCCGACCGTCCGTCCGTTTCTACCATTCGCCGGTTGAGCTCTTCCACGCTCGCCGTGTTCACGAGCAGAAACTGCCCCTCGTTCGCGAACCCTAAACTGCTGTCTAGCTGCTCGTCTGCTGTAGTATTTACCTTTCTATTCTCGTTTGTCTGCGCTGCAGACGTGTGATGCGGGCTGGCTATTTCGGATTGTTGCTTGAGCTTATGAGGTGTTTGTCTATGTACAGTGCGGGATCTGGGCTGTTGTCTGACTAGGGTACAAGGGATGCCCAAAGCGTCCGAGAACCAGGAGGAAATCTCAGGACCGTACGCATCCGCGCCGGGCCTGCGGAGAAGAAACCTAACTCATGCAAACAGGAACTTTTTTGAGCAGGATCGGATCTGCCGTCTGACGTCTGGTGTCCCTCTGCTCATAAACTGGTCACTGGAATCTAGGGCACGCTTTCTAGCCGCACTGAGGAAAGAAAGACGAGAAGAAAAACAGAAACTGCTACTTGCCTGTCATCTGCCTCTGAACATCATCACACATGTAGCATCAGAGATCACGGGTTCTTGGAAAGCCCCTGGCTTGGCAACGGAGAAGGAACCAGCGCTTCTATCCTCAGTTTCACTAAGCAGACCACAAAGCAGTGGCTTCGAACTTCGAGATGTTGGTGGCGAGATACGATTCAGTCTAGCTATATAAGCCACATTCTATCCCCTCAAAAAGATTTTAACCTAGGGAGAAATAGAATCAAACCCTCATCAATGCAGAAGGCAAGATGGACAGCTTTTGAACGCAGACAAGCTCCCGACGAGCATGAGTCCCTAGAGTATTGCGCCACTGAACGAATGGACTCACCGGTCTCCACAAACTTGTACGGTTCCGTCGAGTGTCGCCCTTGGGCGCGAGTGCAGTGGAACAAGTAGCGCATCTTGCATGGCACGTGACGTCACACGGAGGTGGCCCGCTTCTAGGTCGATCGAGGCTTGCAGCGTGCATAGAGCGGGTACCTGTGGCGGGGCGTGAGGAAGGCGGGTAAGCAGACAGACACCAAATGGCGTGTTTTGGACGTCCGAAATGTTTGCGTAATAGTCCGTAAGTAGTAAAACGACAAGCCCCACGTCGAGGCTTGATGACAAACTCCTTGGTGGCACCACGCTTGGAAGGTATCCAGATCAATAAGAAGTGAACAGACTGAAGGCTTACAGAAGTACTCACACATATCTGCGTCAGACGCTAACAATTATCAATGAGGCAGGAACAAGCTTCAGAACATGATAAAACTAAAACGTCGCCTCTTTGCCTAGTGGGGAGGGCGATAAAGCTCTCACCTTCTTCTGCGTCAACCCGTTTCCTCCGGAGTCGACCAGCAACCACTCTCGATCGTACAGCAGGCCTGCACAAACATGACGTGAGCATGACATAAGCCCGGGCTCCGTTCCCATGGGCCGCGCTCCAACAAAGGCGAGCTTGTTCCCAAAAACGAGAGCCTTCTGGTGATACAAAGAGACCACCGAGAACTCCACGTGTCAAAGGACTCAATGAAAGGCGCCTCTCAAAAGACGGCTGTAAACAGTCATATCTGAAGATCATGAACACGGCATGTGAGGGTTGAAAGCTTACCGTTGGGCCCAATGGGCCAAGCGTCCGGAGCGAAGCCTCCACACGACTTGATCGGGTACAGGAGGATCTTTTCCAGGACCATCGGCTCCCTAGCGCAATCTGCACGGAACTTCTCGGACTTCAGTGATTCCGCCGGAAAACTTTTCTTCCCTGCAAGACTGGACGCTGTGCTCGCTCTGACACCGCGCTATGCAACTTCTACTTTCATCGCGTAAAAAACAAAGTGCTGTGCGCGTGGGCAAGAGCGATCTCTGAGGAGCAAGGGAAATGACAAAAACGATGATACAGCCACTTCAAAAAGGAATCCCAAGGCACAGGAGAATGGTTCAGTCAGGCGCATTCGACTTTAATCTCTGCTTGATCAAACCGCTGCTTGTTCGAACCCGAGAACGGATCTGAGCAGATCCGCCGTCCAAATCCACAGGAAAAAGTGAGTTTAAGCCATTATTGACTTGGCCAGCCGCAAACAAGTGGTCATACTATAAGCCAGAACAAACCAGGAGTCAAGTCGGGCTCCGTAACGCCGAAGGGAGCCAACACGGACCTGTATCCTTCGCCCTCGACTCGGCAACACCGTTCCGCTCGCTCAGCGGTTCCGGTTCTGTCACCACAAAGTAGTCGCGAACGAAGCGGAGAACGGCGCGGGCGTCTTCAACGGTAGTCATGTAGCCAAAGGAAATGCGGATTGCGCCCGTCGGGCGGCCGTCAATGAGGTCCTGATCGTCCCAGCACACGTGCCCAGCCTGCAAAGAAACAGAAGGAACGTCTGGTTTTAGTGTGTCAACGGTTTTGCCTGCAGGTTTAAGTTAGCAATATTTGAGGATGTGCACGTTTGCGGCGATTGCCTCAGAGAGAAGCCCTGCTTAAAGGTACAGCGGCGACGGAATAGGTCGGAAGTAGAAAGCGGTCTGCAGGTGCCGTCCCTTTCGTCGTGCAGAACGGGGTGTACATCAAGCGTCAGCGAAGATGTTGAGCAACGTGTTGAGCTAGAGTGGACGGCAATATGCAGTCATCTGGATCATCATATGATTTGAAAGGCCAGCACGAGCAAAGGGATTACCTCGTAGTTGGCTTCCATCTCCGTCGAAGTGAGGCCCAGGTACTTGGCGCAGGCTCCAGGGTTGCAGAAGCACCCGGTCTGCAGCGCGCAACAAATACGAGTATCAAGAAAGTACTCAGGAAAGTACTTGCTGCTAGAAACCTCTTTTCATGACGACAAGGTATTTTTCTTGATCGAGGTTTTTGCCGTAACACCGCAGAGATAGCTTCCTTCTCGCTCCCACACAGAAAGAAGGCAACGTACGAAAATAAACAGTCCTCTTCAAGTACTTGTCGAAGACGACGGGCTCAATTACATCTCCTTTTAGTCACAAGAGACACAACGCTGTGAGAAGATGTTTACACTCGCATTTAACTTTCTAAGGACACGTACGCTTCTTAGACTCGACACGGAGCAGAAATGGAGCATAAGTGCTCGGGCGCTCTCTCTTTGTTTGGAACGGACTACTTTGCAACCCAGACTTCCCGGAACGAGAGAGTTCACTGACGGAGACAACCGCAGCAAAGATGCTTCAAAACTGTCACCTTTTATAGGATACATTGCTCACCCTTAGCTGAATATCCCTCAACCCCGCCAACTTTTCCACCTCCCTGTAACCAACCCAGCTGCCGTCTGGCCGCACCAGGTTGAAGGCGATGATCGGGCCCTGGTTTTGGCCGTCGTTGGCAGCATGGTTTCCGTAAAGCACGCACGCTTTGCGTCCGTTACTGTGCCGCAGGCTGAGCAGTTCACGAGCCGTGAACTGCGTCAGGGCGGCCGTGTGCCTGGAAGGCGGGAGTGGTCAGCAAGACGTGAGCAAGACGTCAGCAGTCGACAAATGAAGCTCACTCTTTATCTATGTCTCTGTGACGACTGCTTGGTTGAGACTTGATTGGACACGATCCGAGTGTCTGGTAGAGTGGTTGAAAATGCCAGACAAACGGCGATCGAAAGCGTTGAAGAGCAAGGTAAGAAGATATTTCAGGCCTTCGCTTGGCTAGGGGCGAGAAGACCGTTTCAGGGAGTCCCAACAGCAGGATACAAGAAACCGATTTCGATGTCAGCAGAGCTAGATACTCAGACACACAGACCCAATCTTCTCTGCACACTTGGAAGGAAACTCTGAATCGCAACGTTCCCAGGTACGACTGAGACTTCGATTCAGGGGGTTCGTACATGAACGAAACTGCCTGCTTACTTTCTGATATTGTCCATCCCCAGCTTTTTGACAGCGTCAAACCCGTGCCGAAGTGCAGCCACGCCTAAGAACGAGGCTGTGCCATCTTCCAGCCACTCCTCAAGTCGCTCTCGCCTCCTCATGTAATCCTTGTCAGCAATCGAAACAGCAACAGTACCTGCAGCAAAAGTAGTTCTGGCAGGTTTGCAGCTGCCCGCTTTGTATTGATAAATCGTGTAAGACTGGGGTCAACTTTGCAGCCTCTCAACTTGAAGGTGACACAGCTCACCACTTATCACACTAGCACCACGGACATAAATCTTTCCAGACACAAATGATAATCACGTAAGAACATGTACGGAAGATAAACAAGCAGTCACCATATGAAGTAGAGCCGTAACCACAGCCATTGGCAACCAAGCAGAGTCTTATGTATTAGAATCGAGATCCCTGACACGTCCTCCAGAACACTGTATCCCTCAAAACTTATCAGCGCGGCCTAGTAGAGGTTCGACGAGGAGCTCACCTCCGCTGAAGTACCGCTTCTGCAGGATTTGACCGGCATCTGAGTAGACAAACGAGAGGTTTGGCTTCCTTCCACCAGAAGAACTATTTGCTTTGCTTTCATGTAGCAGGATGACCACTTCAGTCGGAGAAGGTGAGCCCTGAGGACATGCCTGACTTTGAGCGAAGAGAGATACATAGTAAAGCGACTGCAAAGAAGGAAGTGTGCACTAAAATCTCACAAAGTCGTGATTCAGGTGGGGAAACAAGCGCCTGGGGCTCACCGCTTCGAACTAAAAGGGCCCCTAGCCCTGTCGGGTAGCCAAAAATCTTGTAAAAGGACACAGCCACAAATTCCGGCTGATGGATGGAAAGATCTGGTGGGGCTGTTCCACAAGCCTTGGCGGCATCTAGAAGCACCTTCCAATGGCCCCTGCCGCAAAAGAAGATGCACACATGAGAGAAGTTCTTCACGAGCAGCTTAGAGCAAGGACTTGTTGGAAGAGACCATATTGGACAGACACGGATGGTAACGCTCTGGAACTCCTGACCTTGATCATGTCTGGAATGACCAAAGCAGAAGCCATTTTCTAGTCAACTAGGCTTACAGAACCCTTGAGGGGGCTTCTACAGCATCCTGACATTGCCTGTGTCCAGGGGGAATCTGGACCTGAAAAAACTGAATGATGGCTGATCTTCTCACCTTTTGCCAGACCATTGCCCCTTCTGGATCTCCTCTACTTGGCTGAGATTGAGCTTGGCACCAGAGAAGTTGCACTCTGCTGGACAGGCAAACAGGTGGAAGACCTCATCTTGAGGGGGATGCTCAATGGAACTACCAGGCGGATCATGCTTCAACTGCGGTCTGATCAGTGGCTCCCGTCTCTTTACTGACCATTTCCTGCCCCCGTCATCTTCTGAATCTCCACCTATGCTCGTCTCAAAGTCTACAGGGCAGACCACAGCTCCTTTCTCAAGCGCGTATTCGCGGATACCCAGGGCGCTGTTGTGGTTCTCAACAGTATAACAAAACTCGCTCTCGCTGCTCCAAGGAAAGACTTCGCCTAAGAGCTTGAGGGCGCCTGTTGCCCCTGCCGTGAATATGCACGTGTACTCTGCTGAGGAGGTGTTGAAGAAGGACAGAACCCTTGATCGAGCAGCTTCAATGATGGTAGATGAGCGGGTGCTTCCGTCAGACTGCGAATCTGCGGACGGGGAGTCAGAAAACTGAAGGCCTTAATCGATGCCTTACTTTTCTGGCTCACGGCGCATCACTACTACTCTATTGGCAAGCGTAGAAAATTGCAGAGGAAATTCCTACAGAAGATGGCGTTTAATGGCACGGCACTTTCAAACAGTGAAAGTCTGCAATCGATGCAAACCCCTGCAATTGATTGCGAACGCACTCTCAAAGCAGCTCAAGTTCTCAGACGGTCCTGCGAGCCGACGTAGGCTCTCATGGAGTGGTGCGTGGCTTGGTGAGGGGCTTACGAGGATTCCCAAACAGGTGCCCCCCAAGCTCTTCGGTTGTAGCTTGAAGTTGAGACTTTGAGTAAAGTGTGGCGCCGGCATGATCAACATAGACAGCGCCTGCAAAACGTGATGGCAATTGTATTCAAGCTCCGCCCAAGAGTTGTTGATTGTATCTCCCGGATAGTATCTCCGGAAGAGTAGTGGTATATTAGGGCCATCCCAACATGAAGCCAGACTCTTGCGTGCTCATGCAGCATTGCAAAAGCTTGGCACCCCTGCTTACCTTGCAATTGGGGAAACTCTGCTGCACGCCAGCTGCTAAAAGCAGCATCACTCATTCCATAATTGCACTCCTTGATGGTATGCTGGTCCTCTGCTTCAAGAATCTTCTGATTTCCCCCCACCTTCCTTACACACGCAGGTTGAGCTCGGCTAGCATGCACCTGGCAATGCTGTGGCGAAAAGAACCTCAGATAAACCACCAATCTGCAGAAGAAGCTGGCCACTAGTGATTGTGCCCCATGCACCCACGACATGTTCTTGCAGAGCGCTTCGAGCAAACTTCTGTTTCGCATTTTTTTTCGCAATTGCAGTGTAGGCGAAGCTAGCACTTCCGCTTCAAGATACCTATTTATTCTTGCAGACTAGGAATCTCTTTGAAATCCGACTCCAGCAGCTTCCTTGATGCCTCCGCACACAAACCTTTCCCCTCTTCGTGCAAATTTCACTTCGGAAAGTTGTGCAGAAACTGAGAAAGCAGCTGAGCTTTGAACAAGCGCTTTGAACAGCATGCAGCATCACTTTCATGCGCGCCCAGTATTACACGCCCCGGCGTTTTCAACCCTCGTTGGCGCGTGTAAAATATTCACCAAGCAAGCGCCCGGTCTTCTTTCGACGCCGAAAAATCGTGATAAGCCCGGTAGAACGAAATCTGGTGAAGAAACATTCACTCACAGGGACAACAATCGTTGAACAGAAGCAGTGCACAACGTACGAAGAGAAGCACAAAAGCGAAATCGAGCATCTTTTTGCAGGTGGCTGATGAGCCGACATCTTGCAGTGCTGAGTTCGAGGTTTCAGAGGAAAGAGGATGTTCGAAGATTTGAGAAAGGCGGACCCTTAAGTGATCTGCATTCTCCCCTGTGTAAGCAGCTGCTGATGCAAAAGAGTCGAGATAAGTAGCAGAACGTAGACTGCAGAGATAAGTTATGGTGACATGCGAGGAAGGAGACATGAATCTTCGGTTGGTAAGAAAGACAAGAGCTCTTAGGACTGTTGTGAAGCTTCAAAAGAAGAGGTGATCACACAAAGGGTGCAGCATGCAACAGGCAAACCTGGGGATGCATATGCAATAACGAAAGGGTGGATAGTCTGGTCGTGACTAAGGTAAGTCCTTCCTCGTGATTTTGCAGACAAATATCACTGACTTTGAAGACGCCTTGAACCTATCAAAATTTGAAGTAGCCTCCTAAGTATGTTGTCCCACACCAGTCTCCATCAATAAAGAACACTAGACCTTCGAACATCATTCCTGACATTGACAGAACAGCTGCCTTGGGACAGATTTTAGAAAACTGTGGTAAAGCTCTGTGAAGATGTAGCCTGTAGATGGGCCAGTATGAAGGAGGATAGGCTGAGTACAGTCTTAGAGACTGAAGTGGTTTAGGCTTTCCTTCGGCGGTTGCAGGAAACGATCGGCAAGGCAGGCTCAAGAAGAAGAGATCTTGTCAAACCTTGGCAGAAGGCCTCTGGCCATGAAGTGCAACTCTTGCTGGAGAACGCTAGAAGGGCGTGCTGTGGCAACAACATGTGGACACGTCTTCTGTATCCAGATATTTGCACTGCTCTCATCGTAGCCCTGTTCGATATCCAAAGAAGAGGTCGAAAGCGACTTGAGGATCCGTTGAAACAGAAGCATGCTTGGTTGCTACTGTGCCAACTCAACGTTCTCAACCGTTATTCTCGGGACAGCCCTTTGTGAATTCCTTGACGATAAGACGTGCAGGCACGGAGGATGCCAGCAGGATACTCAACTCGGATTTGACATGTCCACTTTGCGAGTCAATCTTGTCCAAAAGGTCAGCAACGAACGCCACTTTGATCCAGCTTTAGTGAGTCCTCAGCAGAGCTTGCATCGAGTGCGCCATCTGGTGCTTGTATCTCAGTCCTTCCTTCACACACCATTGCATTCTCATGATCGTCAAGGCCACCGTGCTGCTCAATGTGCTAATTGAGTCGCTTCTTCGAAGAACTCTAACGCATCGTCTCTCGCTTTTTGCCCGCAGCAACATGAAGACGGTGGACATGATTCCAGGAGACGAATGGTGCAATGTAAGTTTCTTACAGACCGTTTGAAGCAGGATCGAACCTGAAAACGTCTTCCGCGAAGCTTTCCACAATCCCTACATTTTTTCCGAGTGACCTCACTTGCATTTTCAGCTTTTCCTGGCTTCACGAATGAAATCGAAACTTGTACTGAGCGCCGTTGCTTGTTGCTGCAGATGTCCATGGCCGGAGTCGCGCCCAACATGAGTATCCACCAAGACGCAAAGCAGCATTTCGCTCTCGTTGGCCGCTTGTCCGCTTCTCTGATGTGATAGGCGTGATTGACAGCCCTTACCCATCGAATCCTCAAGTCCCTCCTTCAGACGAAGCTTCGTTTTTATCGTCCTTCCGAAACAATCTACCAAAGTGAGGAGCACGGAGTCGAAGTGAAGCAAAGTCACTGGAAAGACGTCCTTGACAAGCTGCGCAGTCATGAAGAGCGCGTTCAAGGGCGTCGTCTTCTGGATCGGCCAGAAGGACGTGGAGAACCAGGTGACGGTCAACAAGGCCATGGCGCTCAAACAGAAGTGCGAGGAGATGCAGACCAAGTACATGGAGAAACTAGAGCAGGTCCACGCGGCGTACCAGAAGGCGATGAAGAAGGTGCAGGTGCTGGAGCACGAGAAGGATCAGCTGACCAAGGACAAGAACGAGCTGCAGGAGAAATACACCGAGAAGTCGAGGTGAAGCGCCGTCGAAACGAAATTAGTTGGAGGGATTCCTGCGAGCTCTACGCGAGATGCTGCATCTGTTATGGAGCTTCGATTTGACGAGCACGGGCTTTGGGCGCAGCGTCCATCAGCCGATGCTGACGAACTTCAAGTTATTTCGCTTGCCTTGGAGATTCTACCTGCTGAAGGTGGCCGTGTCCTGTACGAAAAGGAGACTAGTTGCGAAGTGTTGGAAAGGGGGTTTGCCGCTGTTGACGCACGAAATTCAGATCGGATCTAGGCATTTTTGGGCTTCGAACGAGACGAACAGAAGGCAGCCCGCAACGAAGGGCATAAGCTGTCGTCAGAAAGCATTCAACAAAACGTACACGAGTGAAGTACAGCAGGGTCGAATCGGCTTCGTTTGTGAGGAAGTGTGACGTCAGCAAATGTCCCCTCTCCTCTTAACTTGCAGGCAGAAGCGCAAGCTGGAGGAGATGTACGACGCGCTGCGTAACGAGTACGAGCAGCTGAAGCGCGGCGGGAGCGCGCGCGCGGAGCAAGCGCTCGCGCCCCTCCAGCCGCGCGACCGCAACGCCATGATGCCGCGTGGAGCGCCGTACAACTTCGGCCCCTCGAACAGCTTCGACGAGCCGGCCCCCAAGAGCCGGCCCACACAGGGTTACGAGCAGCTCGCGTTTCGCACGGATACGAGTTGAGAAACGTCGAACAGGGGCTCTCAAGTGTTAAAGCTTCTGTGCCTAAAAAAGTGCGTAGGTTTGCGGTATCTCTGTGAGAGAGGAGAATGCGAGGTCAGAAATCCTGAGGGTGTGCAGATGGTCGAGCTCCGCCATAATCAAATCCAGATTGTGGGACCTGAGTACGGGAATGCTTCGCCGAAAGGATGACAGGGCTTTGTTAACATTTCTGAAACGGACGATTCTTTTTACCAACAAGGACACATAATTCGATTGGATGTGTTCACTTGTCTGTCAGCAACTGACTGTTTCCTCTTGTGCTTCCTAGGATTTCTCGACTTGCCCGCCCGTCGAAATAGCGCTACGTCCGGTCACAATCAAGGTGAGGAATCGTAAGTCTCTCAGTCCCCCAGCTCCGGCTTCCCGTAGTCCGCTGTTTGTTGAGTCACGGCGGATGTTCCACGCGAAGAATGATTTTTTGTGGATGACGTCCTGCAAAAAATAATCATCCATCTCCGGGTTGCTCGAATCCACGAGTTCTTTGCGAAAGTAGAATTGCAGTTACTTTTCCTCGTTCAAGAGCCTGGATCTTCTCCGTCTGCCACCCTGCCTATCAAACTGAGTTGAATGAGACTTCTCTCTCGCTTGCTCAGGTTTCTTCGACGTGCCCAGTCTTCCGCCCGCTCGTCGAGCCAGCCCCGGGCCTGGCGCCGGTCTAGGTGCAGGCAAGTAGTATCCATTGCACTTTCAGATACAGCAAGCTCGAAGATACTCAGTACTTGGGGCACGGGTATGGTTTCTGTGTGGGTTAGGGTGGAAACGGTGCGCGGACCGCATCGGTTTGTCTGAGGGCTTTACTTTGGTGCGTCCTCCCGGTTCAATTGTTTCTTTATTCGACCTGGCTCATGTCAACCTGAAATTGATACAATGTCTGAACAGGCATGCCTGGCTTAAACCGCGGCCCCCGGTCACTGTCTCCACTTCGAGGAGGCGATCCGAACGGCTCACTGTTCACTCCGGCCGCCGGAAACCCGTCCAACAACCTGCGGAACCTGCTGCTGTCCCCGATGACCCGGCGCCCGACTTCGAGGCTCCGGACTGGGGGTCTGAGGTAAGATGATTGAACTGAAGTCTCGTCCAGCTTGCGGTGAATCCTTAATTACTCATTGAGAAAATACCGGATCTCAACGATGGATGTACTCATCAGACTTTATACTCCATGAACGAGGTTGTAAGAGAAGGTTCGGATCTGGTTCCGATCTTGCACGGTCTTCAAAGAGCTCGTATATCTTCTGCAGGTCAACAACGTTTGATCCCGTCAATACGATGTAAAGAAGCCTTAAAGCTAGCTTGTGGATTTGAAGAGGATACTTCAGAATTCGGTTCTTAAGATGACCCGTCGACACTCAATTAGATACTCAATCTCTTGTCCAGAGGAGGTTTATAAGCTCTTGTACTTGTGGCGCCTTGTAAGTTCAGGTGGTGTTTCTTGTAGCAGGATCGTCCATTCAGGCTGCGGTTCTCATACCGTCGAAGCTCCCAAACCTCCTCGAATATTCTGTAGGTCCTAGTCTAAGTGGAGGTCCTCAAATTATGGTAAATGATGATATCGCCTGTATTCGCGGCCTGGGCTCATGAACTAGCGCGTGTGTGATAGCTCGATCTGACCATGCAAAGGAGTATGCTCGACGATCGACTTAGTTGCTCTAGCTTGATCTTCTAGCAAACAGAAATGGAAGGTCGTCTAGCACGTTCTTTGTGCACGTGTACGGGACATGATTCGGCCTAATGGACCAGATCGTATCATTTAGCGAGACGTCAGGGATACGTACTTTGTGCATTTAGTAGGATGTACAGCGGGCGATCGGATTCACGGGTTATATTGTGGCACAGCAAAGTAGGTTATATCAGTGCGCGATGAATTACTTTGCTGTGGTATATATCTCTGGCCGAGAATCTGCACACTTCCCGCAGCTATACTGGCTATAACAGATCGGCCTACAAGCCGGCCTCGCGGTCTGATATGACTGATCGACATGCAGGCTAGCTTCTGGAAAAGCTATCCGGGCAGTCACTGCATCAGGAATTCGGCCTTCTCCTATTGTTTGCAGTCGGGCATGCATAAAATACAAATGCTCTGTTCTTCCATGCCATATTCGGCGGACGGTCTAGTAGCTCGTGGGTACGAAAACAATCAGTCATGCAAAGTGATATCTTTCTATTGAGATATGATTCCTTTGTTTGCAAAAGCACTAGACATCGTCAGAGGTCGCTCAGGCTTGCTCAAACCTGATGTCATCTGATGGGAAGCTTGCACGGCTTAGAGAGGCCGCAAAATTCAGTCTCAGAACTACATGGGTTTTGCATTTAATGAAGCACAAGTTCGATTGATCTGCTTCTAGAAATCTTAGCTAACTAAGTGCCACTGAATTGCCGCAAAGAGAATGCGGTGACATCCAAGAATCCTTCTGTAGCATCAGTATCAAACACAATCCTATGATTCTAAACAAGGCACAGATTAATCCGGCGCGCTGCCAGGATCGAGCGCGCAAGCAAAAACACAGTTTCCAATCCCGTATCAACGGGTACCTGAGAGGACAGCCTATCTAGGAACAAACACGCTCCGCACTGCAAGTATCATGACGTCAATCTTCCTCGGAAAAGATCACCTCTCTTCTTCCTGCGGCAAAGCTTCCTCCGCGGCAGCCTCCGCCTCTAATCTTTCGGCAAACTGCTGGTCCCACCTGGCAGAGGAAAAGCGCACTTTGCACTTCTAATGGCTTCGAACGCAGTGATGCAAAAAGACGCAGATTTCAGTTTAAATCAGTCTCGCAACAGCCTTGTTCCGCCAAGATGCTTGACTTGGGCAGAAATTTAGTGACCGGGCTGTTGACTGACGCCCAAGTGCTTTCAGGAGTGGAAATGTGTTTCGGGGCCTGGTATTTAAAATCTGCAACTTGTGTTCCGCTCAAACTGCAACTCTCAGGCCGACAAGAACGTGTGGCAACACATCACAGCATCAGCGGAGTTTTGAAAAGTTCTTCAGCATGGCTGCTTCGAAGGCGATCGCCTAAGGTGGATAGAAGCAGAGACGGGTGAAGCACACAGGGCGTCAAGAACAGTGTTAGCAAACAGTGAAATCCAGTAACGAAAGAAGGTGTCCAAACGGTGTGCAAAGAGGACCCGAATAGTCGTCGCAGGCACACACGTCAAGCAAAAAAGAATCGTACATATTCCGAAAACAGAATCATTAGCTTCGGTGCCAATCTTGCCAGCTTGAGTCATAGTAAGAACAGTAAGCAGATCGGGATTTGTGAAGCAGTGATTGCACCAACCTTTTTAGCTCCCATTTCTCCTCCCTTCTCCGGATCTCTTCCTCTGACAGCGGCTTCAGCTTTTTCAAGTCTTTCTGCGAAGAGAACGACGAAGCTTTCGGTAGGGCGGACCCGTCTAGCGGCATAACTAGCAAAGCGGCCTCGCTTGGATTCTGCTTCAGCATACGGCTTCGGGCCTTTCATTTCAGATAAGTGTCATCTTTGGATCGAGATGTCGCTTCGGGTCCAAGTTAGTATTGTGATCACCATCAATCTTCGATTGCGTCCCTTTCGTTCTTCGTGTCGCTTTCTTGTCTTCCTTCCATTTTCTCGTCCCCTCTGCTCTTTCATTACAATCCGAGTTTGAAAACTCAAAAATAGTGGCCAAAAAGTCATCATGGAACAAAGATCAGATCGAATTCCAGAATGATGCGGGAAACCGCGTCATATGTTCATTCTCGCAAGGCGTTCGGGCTTCGAACAACCAAAACTGGACGCATTTCTTCAAACCGCTTTTACAAACAATGGCACCAAGTAGTAAATGGTTCACGTGGGTTAGGCCTAACCTCCTGGACGTTAGCAGCCCAGCCCCGGTCGTCGAAGGCTCCCGCCGGCAGCGCCTTCTCCTCTTTCAGCTCCGCTGGCTGTTCGCTTTCGGTCGGTAGAGAACGAACCGGGCCCTCAGACTGGACGTAACGGTCGAGCTGGCAGAAAAAGAAGGAAGACGCCGATCCATTTTTCTTCGTAATCGAAGTGTTCCTTCACAATTGAACCTTCGTACTTTGATGTGCTGAACAAGTACCACACATGGTAAGGCGCTGCCAACCTCACGGTTCTTGAGGTGCACTCGAATTCTGCCCTTTTGCACGCAGTATCAGACGGCCATTTGGTCGCCCACCTTATTATGCGGCAGTGCAATAAAGGCGACCAAGGCTCGACGCTGCGCCTCAAAAGGTTTGACTCTTAAGAGCATTCGCCGCAAACACGCTACAGGATATTGGGGCATGATCCTCCGAGTCTACCGACCAACTAAGAAGCCTCAGTGCGCAGGGTTTCGCACCTATCCAACTTTCACTTATTTGCGTCCAGAGGGAAACAGTAAGAGCTGTAGGCAAAAGATCGATAACCGAAAAGCGGAACGTGCGTACCTGCACGTGGGCTGCTCCCAACGCGACGGCTCCTAGCGGCAACCAGCTGTCCGTGAAATTCAACCCGCTCCTGTGCGGCGAGAGAGTGTTGTTCGGTTCCTCATTTGTGAAATTTAAAATTTACAGGATGGAGCTGAACCAGAACCTGACCGAAACATTATTTTGATCAGGAATAAGTTAAAGCTGTCCTACCGAACGCAGAACGGAACATGATCATCCTCGAATCAAATGGAGCCGACCCGATCGGAGCCAACCGGACTCAACCCGTACGCAACCAAAGTGGTTTCGCAATGGTGGACGGTCCAAAGCAAGGCTCGAATCCGGTTTCGCTTGGAGCAAAGGCGGCTGCGGATCTTTGTCAATTGCTAATTCGGAACTAATTCGTTCAGGAATCCAGAATCTGCGAAACCGTGCGCTATGTGCACTCGAGGTTTGGACAATAATCTGACCCGGCAAAGGTGGGCACACCACAAGTGGCTGTCGGCACAGGTCTCTACTGATGAGGAAAAGACCGACCAAAGCCAAAAAAGCCAAGATACGTGTTTAGAAGAGTCAATGAGGGTCAGTCGATTGAATAAGAGGGGGGTCGGCGCTATCCAAAAGAAGTGTTGCTTACTTGACCCACGGAGCAAGATACACAGCTGCGTAGAGGGCGTAGCGGGGGTCGCTTGAGTCCAGCCACGCCAAAACCCATGCCTGCACAGCGAGCAAAGATTCTGTCTCGCTCTCTTCCGGCATTCCTGTCTACCGCTGAACCAAATTAGAGTCAAGCCGGCACTTTCGACGGATGTTGATTGCCTTGGCCTTTTGTGGCCTTGTTTTATTTCCTGACATTAGATTGGCAGGCATACATGCGTGCAAATCCATTTACCTCTGTCTTACCACCGTTTATAAGCCCTCCAGCTTACATCCGTCGAAAGAACGCTCTGCATCTGACTCGTCATGCCTTTGAACATCAGAAAGAGAGTTTCGGTGGATCGAGGTTGAAATCCTCTTTAGCATGCCCAGGACTCTCAGCCTGGGTGCTTCCAGTCTGCTGTGTCCCCAACCCCAAGACTTGTCGAACCTGGGAGCATCTGTAGCCTTTACCCGATAATCCCTGCAATCGCTTAAGTCTCTCCACAGACATGGCGATCGACCCCTCAGATCAGCAGCAGAGAGAATGGGGTCACAACCAGTACTGAACATCCGGTCTACTCGTTGCCCGTTGTGTCTCGACTCTCATCGTCATTGCTAGCTACTTCTTACCACTTTACAGTCACGTCAGTACTTACCAGCCAGTTGAACAGCGGCAGAAAGCTGATCACGGCCATCGCCGTATACTTTGTGTCCTCATCCCCCATCGTGTTGAAATCGTCGAATCGTTTCTTCTCGTCCACTGCCGCCTTCACGCTCCAGGGGACGGGAAAGATCAGCGGGGCGGCGGTGACTGCGATTGTGACTCCAATTGCAATTGCATACGGAGCGTCGTCCTGCCAGACCGCCGATGTAGCCCTCCTGCGGCGCTGACATCAGCAAGAGGGAACATGGTTAGGAGGACGATTAAGGGGCTCAGAGCTGATATCGCGGTTTCTAGTGGGGAACTGGCTGATTGGACGCTGCTTCGATTTTGATGAAAGTCTGACCACTGAAAGGCCCATGTCTCATTAGTCTTCTGACCACTGTTTTGATAGGCCTCTGACCACGATCATGGTCACAGACGGGCAAAACCCCGCGCGCGTCTTTCTCGCGCGCCGCTGATGTTAGCACAAAGGATTTTGAATAGCACGGTGGTGTGGGGGCTCTAGAAATGGCAGAAGGGCTTTTGATGCATAGTTCGAGCAACAAATCTGCTGGAAATGTTACTCTACCAAAGGTCCAGGCGTCAACGCGCCAGACCGCTCGCTTCATTTTCCAGTGGGGCTGAGATTAGCAATGACGAAGAGTGTTAGGGGCTCGTTGGGGGAGCCCTGTGAGAACATTTGGTATGAAGTTTCTAAATGCTGTAATCAAGTTTGAGCTGGGTGGTCAGAGGCTGGTTAGGGACGGCGCCCATCTGAGATTTGCGTTCTACAAGTTTGCAGGTAGTCAGGTCCCATATATGCGAATCACTCAATCAACTTCATTTCAGGTCAAGGTACACCTGAGTTTGACAAACTGCACGTCGAGACACGAGTACAGAGTTTGAAGCTTATACAATCTTTCCCCAAGAATGTGTATCTCAAGGAGAGTCAACCTAAGGCATGAAGCTAACTTGAGCTTCAAAGACAGCTAGCTTCCTTACCTTCCGCATCAAGAGAGTTCCTGATTGGCATCCTAACGCTTGCCCCCACCGTGGTGATGCAAATGCAGATTGCAGTGAAGCTCCCTGAGGATTGTTGCGCCTGAGCAAGTCTTTCCTGTTTGAATAGCTGTCCCCACCACAACTTGACACCCTCTTCGTCCTCCTTCTCTGAAGATGAGCTTTTCTCTGGCAAGCAACCTCCTCCCAATTTCTCCAAGTTGCCCCGCTTTCGCCAGTGAGAGCGCAGTGGCTTCTGCTGCCACAGTCCCGCTTTCTAAGGGCTTGCATGCATGCACCGCCCACAGCATTGCTGCTAATGAGACCCGAGGAGGTCTGCATTGGAGTTTCTGTGCAGGAATATAAGCAATCGGCTGGTTGCGTTGGACGAAGAGCTCAAAAACAAGTGCTTTGAGCTCAAATCTCCTTCGATCACTTCGGCTTCAGCATGAAGGCAATGCGCCCTAGCAATCGCACTGTTTCAACTTCGAGTTCAATGCCAGTGGAACAGCCTCATGCTGGTGCAGCAGCATTCTTTGGGAGGGGTTACAATGACCCGCAGTAACCAACCTACCCAATGCGTTCGGTGCGCGGGGTCTAGTATGTATGCGCAATTTTTGCATTTCCAGACGTTTCTTCCGTACACTACATATGCGCGCTACTGGGCTGCCCCGCGCATATCAGGTGGTTCGATGCTAACCTACCCTTAAACCTGCCAAAACAAGGAGGGCAGCTCGCCCTTCTTGAAGTTCTTCCCAGTGCTAGCCATCTTCATTTCCACAGCATGATTGCGCAGCTGGCTGGCTGCTTTCTAGGGCTAATTGCGTCCTGCCTGTAGCCTTGGGATGACCGTGATTGCAAATCACTGTCCTTACATACACGCAGCTAGGAGGCTGTTTGCCGCACAGTTGGTGCAACCTACATCTGTCACTCTGCAAAGCGCAAGACCACTTTTGGATCCCGCTTTGGTACTAAGGAGAGACGCAGCGTCGATTTCGAAGCAGATTGGGAAAAGCTCGATCGTCAGGTAGGCAACCTATTCAGTGCTTCAAGTATGTTTATGTTTATGTTTGTGTTCATATGTCCATTGTAGTCCCAATAGGGAACCATAAGGTTTGTGAGTGGTGGTACAGCCTTCATTTCATTCAGGGCACATTTGATGAGCACGTCTCTACATCTTCAGTCATCTTCAGTCATCATCCCCTTGAATGATGACTTGGACTAAACTTACATGTACTTTGGGGCTTAGGGACCTTGCCGTATATGTAGCCTTGGATGGCCCGTCAGTCAGGGGTTGAACTTGAAATTTAACGAGAGCCCTGTCCTCTTTATGCATGTTTAATCATGAGTCTGAGCTTTCTTGGGTTTGTGATTGAGGAGGGGATATCAAAACCTTCGGTTGTTTTGTCAAGCTGGTGGAAGATAAGGCTTTAGCCCTTTGCACCCACCTTGGGGTTGGCTTCAGAAGGGCCCAATAATGGAGCACCTTTTCATAGACGCTGTTTGAGAGTCTCCCCTTCTATTTCCAATCTTCAGTTCAGCAAGTGTGAATACACATATCCATCTACAGTCTCACGCATTCTACCGTGCCCCTTATCAAAAGGTTTCACTTCAGCTTGATTGATCATCATATATGTGCGCTCAACGTCTGCGCAATTCACAGGAAGCTCAAACGACGATGAAAATTCTGAGCTCCCCCCCTTTTGCGTTCCAGGGCCGCAATTTCAGACTCCAGCTCCCCTCTAAAGATGGTGAAAGCAATCAGAATTCACAAAGCGGGGGGCCCGGAGGAGCTCAAGTGGGAGGACATTGACGTGCCAGAGCCGGGTGAGGGGGAAGTGCGAATCAAGCACACCGCAGTGGGGCTCAACTTTATCGACATATATTTTCGGAAGGCCATCTATCCACCGCCCGGTAAGGCAGCTCTGTCTCGCGGTGTTTTTGCGCTTTGCAGGTGTTCCTCTGCGGTTGAGGCAGTCAATTGCTTGAGCAGAAGACGCAGAAGGAAGCTTTCGGATGTCCAGCGTGCAATAGGTTTATCTGTAAATTCCAAATCAAAGCTACTGTTGTGTTGCTGAACTATCAAAAGCTTCAGCAACTTTTTATTTCAATTTGGCAGTGCACTCATCCCGGAAAAGCCTTCAAAGTCCTGAAAACAGTGCACATACCGGCAGGATCACAAATTTTTGTCACAACTCGTTGGGTTGATTGGACCCTGTGGTTTCAGAATGTAAATACTCCTTTCCTTTGCACCTGTTAACCTGACTGGGATGAGTTCTTGGTCATGACTGGCACGGGCCTTGCATCAAAAGAACCTATATATTCCATAGGCATCTTCTGATTGTCCTGACTTCAAATCTGAACGGTTATAAATACAATATCGATTTGCAAGTAAGGAGGGTCCTCAGACATTCCCTTTGCAGAGATTTGTCAGGGCATCGTCTCATGAGTACGCTTGCCTTGATCCTTTGTTCAGAACCATATTCGGACGCCGTATCTTTCATGGGACTGGGCTTCGTTTCGAAGCTTTTTCCGAGGGGATCCCAGAGTGCTGATCTTGGAAAGAAAGACCGCAAGAGACTCGTCCTCTTCTGTGGTTCAATGTACTGTGCTCAGGTCATTAGTCTGAGGTGACTTTGGCTGCCACTGGTTGCAGGTTATCCTTTCATTCCGGGTATGGAAGCAGCGGGCGTCGTAACGGCCGTCGGGCCGGGCCTGACCGGTTGCAAAGTAGGGGACAGAGTCGCATGTGCTGGGCGGCCGATGGGTGCTTATGCGGAGGAGCGAGTGATACCTGCAAACGTGTGAGCGCTGCAAACCCGTCTCGCAATTCTGAATTCAAACAATGACCTACGATAAGATAAAAGAATCATATGGCCAATCCCATCGAATCCCTGGGGTCCAAATGGGGCATGGGTTACGAAGGGGGTTCAGTTTGTTGGATCAATACGAGCATTTCTGAGACCTGCGACCAGAGTCCTCAACGGCCGTGGTGGGAATCCTTGGAGAGTGATTCTTGTCTATGTATATCTGCATGTTGTTGACTCGACCTCTGACCATTGAACGTGAATTGAAAGAATTGTGAGGAGGTGTCTCTGTTTCTAGGCTTGTGGCCTGTCAGATTGGATGGATTACCAATGGTATAAGTCCGGGGAGAGTTCCATCAAACCCCTCGTACGAGCTGATGGAGCTAGCATTCCGACCGTTGATTGCGGCCCAGAGGGGTGGCGAGAGATAATTTATAATCCACATCCTCGCTTCGTTCTAGCGACTCTTAGATATGACGAGCTGGCCAGTCCGCTGACGTCATCTTTCCTTTCTGCAGCCTTGTCCCGCTCCCCGACAACATTTCTGACGAGCTCGCTGCGGCCTCCCTCCTTAAAGGTGCAAATTCCCAGCTTGTGAACCCACGACTTGGCAGCGGATTCCGTGCAAGTGTCTTGATTCTACGGAAAACGATAAAGCGTGGTGCAAGGCCTCGATTTTTGCATCTTGGATAGTGTTTTTTTGTTTCCGGTCTGCAGAGTGAATTGAAAATCAATGTCACCAGTTTTTTAGCTTTACTGCTCACTGCTCATGGATCTTTTCCGACTCGTGTTGTGCCCCATTGTAGCTATGTCTAGTATGCGGATTCTGTTAGCGAACATGACCACCCTGGTTCTACTCCGCCACTTGTTCCGCGATGGAGCATCGGGACCAAATTCTAGTGGATGCTTTTCTCAAAACGTTAAGGTGCCTTCCTTGATTGTTCGTGTATCTTCTATTAAGCGTGACCCTCCGTATTCAGGTTTCGACATGCAAAGTTGAGAAGGGGCACCGCATCTTTCTTAAAGTTGCATCTTTGACACTTTCTTGAGTTGTCTCCTTCAGCTTGCTTTCAACCCATCTCAGGCACGACCGCCCACCTCCACTTACCTGCGTTTTGAGCTTAAGAAGGGCCACCGAATCCTACTGACCCTGACTTTTTCTGAACGTTTCCTCACTTAGTCGGCTAAATCCGATGATGGCGCGCGTCGAATTCTGATTGAGAACCCCACCTTAGTGCCTTTGAATCTCCTAGACGCGTCCTTGACCTTTCTCGGACCCCACACCCAAAAATCCCTGAAACCCTAAAAATCCGATCGATCTCAAGACCGTAACCACTCTGATCTTGCCCAGGCATGACCGCTCACATCCTGCTACGCCGCGTGTTCAAGGTCGAGAAAGGGCACCGAATCCTGGTTCACGCCGCAGCCGGCGGCGTGGGCCAGATTCTCGTCCAGTGGGCGCACTCCTTGGGCGCGACGGTGATCGGAACGGCCGGGTCAGAGGAGAAGATTAAGCTGGTTAAGGACCTAGGAGCGGACCACGTGATCAACTACAAGACGCAGGACTTCGTGCAGGAAGTCAGGTGAAAACGTCTCGCTTTTCTCGGCAGTGAGTTGGGGAAGTCGTCAGGGAAGTTGTCAGGGAATTTTCCACTGATTGTAATATCCGCACCGTGACGTCGCTTTGATACGGAGCAGTTGCCATTGGAGCGTTGTTTGTCTGAGGGTGATGACGTCAGATTAAGCGCAAGAGTGCAGTGGAGGCGTGTATCGCCGTTGACATGTTGGCTTGTATCTTCCACCCAGGAGGCCGAAGGCAGGGCTCACTTCTTGTCATTCCGACTCGCAATTCGTGTCGCAAAGAGTGCAGAGCTCTTTTGCCTATGAGAAGGCTGGTTTTGAAGCAAGTGCGACTCGACGTGCTTGCTCTCTGCTGGATTATCTGACGTTAAAATGCCATCACGGAGAAGTTGCCTTTTTTATAAAGGCACGTCGCCGAGTCCAGTGGAGAAAGACAAGCATCTTTCTCTCGCATCCGCCTTTTGAAGAGGTTCAAGTTTCTGACTTGCAGAACAGCGTGGGAAAGGAACACCTGCCCCCTCCGAAATAACGTCACCCGTTGGCTCTTCAACCGGTTCGCACGTTCAGTCTGTTTTTGATCCTTGACGTTCCGCTTATCGCTCAGGAACATTACAAACGGTGCGGGCGTGCACGTCGTCTACGACTCGGTCGGGAAGGACACCTTTTACGGTTCCCTCGACTGCCTCGCCCCGCTGGGAACCCTAGCCGTTTTTGGCGCCTCCTCGGGGGCCCCCGAGCCGTTCTCCATCTCAGAGCTCGCCAAACGCGGGTCGCTCTCCGTTACCCGGCCATCGCTTATGGACTACACCAAGACCCGGGAGGACCTGCTGACGTCAGCCGGGGAGCTGTTCCAGATGCTGGCCGGAGGGCTGGTGAAAGTGTCGGTTGGAAATCGATTTCCGTTGGGAGAGGCGCAGAAAGCGCACGAAGCGTTGGAGGGGCGGCACACGACGGGGTCGACGGTTCTTGTACCTTAGGGAGTCTCTGCTACGCGCGTATGATAGGCAGATCGTATAAGTTGGGAACCTGCCACGTGGTTTGTGCTTCAGACTTGTCATGCGAATAAGGCTTGGTATCTTCGCGGATCTGGCTGTACATATAATAGAAGCACGGGCACAGAAAGTACGGTTATATAGGGTGACGGATTGCGTGACCAAGCTGAGAGATGGCACTGTACTGTACGCACGCTACACCGCATGTGAGTGTTCTTTTGACACTCCAACCTATAGCGGTTGCATTTCTGAAATACATTTCGCAGAGCGATCAGATATGCAGCAACCTTGTGTGGGAAATAAGATGTATGTTGCACGAGTCCGTGGCTGCCTCGAGTCCGCCTCAAGACGCTGAATCAAAGTTCAACGGTCACGATCGCAATTTCTTCTTTCTGAGATCCCCTGACTGAGGATTCGTGGCCACTTCGATACACATCACTGCCCAGTAGCCTTGATTGAATGTTCCGACACATGAAGGGCTGTTGCCTGGGCCGATGGCCGCCGCGCCCCAGCGCTCGGGCGTTGAATTACTCTGGCGCTGTATCACAGTACTGAATCGTGCCAATACCGCTGCGCCCGTGCGCAGGTTGATTGCAGGGCGGTTGCACCGGTTATGCATGCGCGTGGCCATCGTATTCGATTGCATGTAAAGTTATCTCCACGACGAACCTGAAGACCGTATGTGGCATGATGGCCATCGCTTACAGGAACCGATGTATTTGTATCCGGCTTATGCAATATAGTACATGACTAGATTCCGCGGTTTGTAATCCTCGAAAGATTGTGCCTACTGTTACTGCATCATCCAAATTTTGGGACTCACTCACGCTCTGCTGAAGGCCCACTACAGAGCTACTACATTCTTGGCAGGGTGCGAGGTTTATCTAGCAGCCGCACGCGGCGGCGGCCGCCGCGTACGATTTACCGATCGCCGAGTCGGCCCGCTTCCTCTGTTGGGGAAGGCTGGCGCGACCGGTTTGCTCTTACCGATCACCTTCCAAAGTCGAACGCGATTTAATCTCGGGGACCGGGGGGTTATACCGGGGCTGTTGATCAGTGTTCTTGTCACCCATCCTCTTTCAATCTCTGGCGCTCTACCCTCTAACTTTGGAGGAACTGAAGATCAGAACAACAGAAGGGCGGCTGATGCAGGATCGACCGCCATCTTCTTAGCGTGCATCAGGATGTCTCCCATGTCTGTGCTCAGGTGAGCTGAGGGCGAGCCGAAGCTTGGGATTTCGACAACTTTGGCAGGGTCAGTCTTCTACTTTTTGCTGTATGATGCGAGCGCTGAGACTGGGTTGGTTCGGTCAGGACTGCTTGTGTCTTGACCAAATCTCTTGCATCAGTTGTAGATGTTGAAGATTGGCTCAGGTGTTAAGGTGATGCATGAGGCCAATTTTGAATCTTATTTGAGGTACAAGGATCAGGAAGTGGGAGATTTTGCTAACCCAGATAATCAACAGCGTTGATGACCCTCCTGCCTTCAGGGCGTCCTCAGAACAACATGTGATAGGATTGCGCAAATATGAAGCTGTATGGTTGCACAACTAGTACTCCATCCAACCAAAATTCGTTTCAATCAAACATGCTACAATTCACAAGCCATTTCGTACATCAAGCTTCACCGTAAGCTTTGAGACTGATTGTAGTTGAACAAAAGAAGGTCCGAGATACACGAGTCTTTCTTCAGATTGAACAAAAGTAGGGAAGCAAAACTTCCTGCACGGACTCTGCAAGGTCTACGCGCTGGTGCAAACAGTTGCCAGGAGTCTGGCGCCTTATAGGGGTCATCTTTCGACGTACTCGCGTTCCGCTCTCCAGCCAGACGTTCCGCTCGCAGTCCGCTCTGCTGCGTACGGCTTCTCGCCTCCGCACAGCACTTCATTTGCCACGAAGATTTGGGTAAGAACCGGTTCAACAATGGCTTTCTGCTTATGAAAGGGCATGCTAAAGGTTTTTTAAGATGGAGACTTGTGCATCTTGCCTCAAAGAGCTAAGACCTCTTCCGGTAGAGGCTCGAATCATCAACAAGAAAGAAGCCCCCACTACTGCTTTACAAGTTCACATTATGTGGCCTTAATAAGACCAAAAGACCTCCAAGCTGAGCTTTCCATCCCCTATAGGCGTCTAGTCAAGAGAGGATGCTTTTTCACCCGACTCTGAGCAAAGCGGAGTCTCTCTTTGTTTTGTTGACGAAGAGACACGAATGTCACCTGTCCCCGTCGCGAGTCTGCAAGTTGACAGACCTATTACTCTTACGTTCCACACCAATCCCAATGCCTCGTCGGTGCAGAAAGAAGGGGACCGTCACATGATGGAGATCGACGGCAGGAAGGTGGAAGCCCTTGACTACTCATCCATGAATAAGCTGGAGCCAGAAGTGACGGGGCTAACAACAAACGTGTGGCTCAGCCAGAAGTACCCGGGGCGCGTCTGGATCTCACACGTGGAGGATGACGACAGGCCTTGGGAATGGGAAGAGCTGGATGCCGGGCACCTCTTCCCGATGTTCCAAAAGAAGTCCGGTCCAAAAGAACCAGCATCTGAGGAGTGAAGCCAGCAAAAACTTCTTTGTCATCAAACTCGCTTGTCACGATACTCAACTAGGCATACATTGAGGTATAGCTTAGGTCGAGCTTACAAATAGAAGCTGGCCATGATCGATTCATGAAGTGTCTACCGGTTCCGAATCCATCTAGAACATTCCGCTTGGTTCACACGTTTTAGAACTCAGGTTTGTGTCTGCACTTTAGGTTTCCAAACGTAATTCAAGGCAGACAGGTGCACCGAAAACGGCTTATCATGTGTTCGATCGCCAGCATAAGGTGTGACGGCAGCTGATGGACATCTTCTTGAGCTTCTGCGTAGACTACAGGGTTGATGTCGCTTGTGCTGTTCACCAGTACCCAGAAACGGAAGCGCTAAAGGCAGGAAGTTTCCTCTGCTACCAGCACGATCAAACGGTTCGTCAGACATGAAGATCTAGAAGACGTTCGGAGCAGTCTGCCTGGTTTGCATTCTTGCCTGCATGTTCGTTTCGGCGTCCAGTGCCAGGTTGCGCGTGTTCCAGCGTTTCACGTGGAACCCTGTAAGCACAGTTGTTGAAGTGTCAAACGTGCTTGGAAGTGCAATGCACGAATAAGTGCACGGCTAGCTGCCTTCCTGTGTCCACAGACACATTCAATCTCTCTTTGATCGTCAGTTGCGGGTGAGACACGACATGTAAACTAAGTAAAGCTCAGCGTCCATGCTGCGTGTTGGAAGTGCAAGCATGTAGATACGCTGTAATTTGATTGATGTCGGCTCATCAAATCATACGAACCCATCGACGTTAAGTTGCCACGAGCAGAGATTCGGGAAGGCCCAACTAGAGAAGCTGAGAATTTGGATAGCCCAGATGGCTCAGAATGAAGCCACTTGCTTACAATATCACATTTTCCCGACAAGGCGAAGTCGTGGTGACATGTGACCAGAGATTCTTGCATAAAAGACTCAGACGGGACATCATCAGTGCACCGTCTGAAGAGCGTTCCTTGGCATAAACACCGAAGGAGAAATCGAACCAGGTTTTGGCCAGGCGGCCGGATCTTCCAGCGGACTCCAGGCCGTATGTGAACCTTGTGCGCTGAGCTTTCCGGCCAGCGGAAAGCAGGATTTTCCTTCATCCATAGAGCGAAACTCTTTTGACTAATCCAGTATAGTCGATACATTTTGATACTTCAAAGCGCGCGCGTGTGACTGGGAGCTCACCTCGGTGTTTCCCGCCTAGAATCGACTGTAACCGGGGATTTACGACAGTTGACATCCAAATCCAACCCACAGTTTACAGTTCAGACCGAGGGAGCATCTGCTTACAGCACTACTCTGAGGTAGGAGACTGCAACTTTTGGTCGAACTCGCAGAGGAAGGACTATTCTGTGGCAACATTCTGGCGGATGCTGGTGGGGTGAGACCAGGAAGGATAAAGTCTCCTTCGAGCAAAACCACAAAAAGGACTCTCTTGGTTGCGAACAGTGAAAAAGCCGTCTTCTTGGCCTTCGCCTCTGAAACTTGATCCGAATGTCTGGCACAGCGGGGGTCTTCCGTAACATTAGCTAGCATGGCGTTTTCTGCAATCAGGTGAGCTCAGCACGCCCTCCAAAGCAGCATGATCACTTGCTGAGCACGTTTCGATTTTTAAAGCGTAGGATACAGTTGAAGCCGGATTGAAAAGCTCGCTATATCTTCTGGCATGCAAGAATGTACTTTATCTCACAGCGGTGCAAAACTACTTGATGCTGTTGACGCTGCTGGAACATGGTGGATTCAGATTCTGCTCCGGAGCTCTCAGGTATTCTTTAGCTCTTCTGACCGGCGCTGAACTGCAAAGATTTCGTGCTTTTTGGTACAGAACTGGCCAGAGGAGATACATTCACTGATCAACTTACACGAATGCTTTGCCAGCTTTTAGGATCAGTGGTCGAGCATAAGCAGGCAATTAATGCATGCAAAGTTCTCGCAGGTTTTCGACTTCAGTGGTGCAGAACGCGGCAATTATGACTGGTCCAATGCCAAAGAAAGTTCACTCCACTTACTCGCCTTTCGCTAGCCGGTCATACGCCGTTCCGCTGAAGAAAGGCTCAGTCCTATGTGGATCCAAGCATGAAGACAATCGTTTCATGGCCTGCAAGAGCTGGGTAAGCTTTAGCAGTTTACGCAATCTGTGCCAGCTACTGGAATCCGCCAGGATGATTTTTGCGCTTCATGTGCCTTTTGATTTTGCTGGCTTCATTGTCACCGAGATGTGACCAGAGCCTTCAAAGCTGGCCTCTACAGATCTTGGAGTAGGTTAATTGTTCATGAGGCTCTTTGACGATAATCTGTTGATTCTTTCTCTGGTGACTGCTGCTTGCTATTTATGCAGTCAGCCTCTGATTGTAGAGCAGCATCCATTCCATTCTTTTGATTGGTGCATCGCGCAGGTGACCACAAGGACTTCATCAGAAAAACAGAAGCGGTCAGGAGCGCCCAAGCAAGTCTCAAAGATCCGAGCTCGGGTGAGCATTCTTCACACTGGAAACTTTCGATGGCGCTGATCACAGTTTCCGTTCAGGACGTATCGCTCCATTGCGCAGCACTTATAATAGCACAGGGAATTGCTTCAGAGAACGGATCAATGCGCTTTCAATGGGTTTTGAATGCATTTTGTGCTGTACATTTCTTCAATATATTTGCTTTCGAGGTTGCCTGCTGGTGGTCAAGGGTGTATGTTAACAAGCTGTCTGACACTCGTCTCCTCCTTATCAACAGAACGAGGATGTTCATGAAGTTGAGGGAGGTTCTGAAGAGGAAGAGCTGCAGCTGGACGAGTCTAATTCCATGCTGGAGTTGAAGCCAGAAGTCACGGGGCTTCCCATGTGCATCTGGATCAGCCAAAAGCACCCTGGGCGTATCTTCGTTTCAAAGCGCTATGGAGACGATGCTGAAGCTGGGGACTGGTTCGTAATGAACTTCGAAGACATGTTATCTGGTCCAAGAGGGAGTTCGGACGACTCAGAATCGGAGAACTAATCTAGCAGACACGTCAGTGTAGACCGGACATTCTGGTGCTTCCGTAATGGTCTACTACAGGAAGCAAGGGTTTCAGAAGGGATCCATTCGTGGCGACAGCATGACTAGAAGGCGAGCAGTTTTTGATATTTGAGCATCTGTGTACGGACGTCTTCGCGTTGATCTTTCCGAGTCAAACTGATTACTCAACCAGTGATCTTTTGATGAGTTTGAAGTAGAGCGGCTCCTTGCATCGATCCAATTGAGAGAAGCCCTTGTGTATTCAGCATGGTTTGTGAAGCAAGCGCCGTCATGCGTCAACGAGTTGCTCGGGTCTAACCTGTGAAGGCTCGCTGGACTTAGCATTGGTATGCGCCTCGAGCGGTGACACGGCTAATAATGACGCTGCACAGATGGGGGTATCTTATAATGGTCCAAGTAGGAAATTCAGATCGCTAGGAAGTCATCCAAGTCGCCGTTCTGATTGATGAATGTAATCAATGTTTTTTGACATCTGGCCGAGTGCCTACTATGATCAACCAGGCACAGACTTTAATTCAGGGATACTTGTGAGTCCTTATTTCCTTATTTTAGAGCAAGCGTGCTTGATTGCTTATATTAGCGGGATCGATCTATACTAATATCTATACGTGACGCAGTTCTGCTTCGTGCAGAATAATGATTCGGAGCTTTCGTCTCAACTTGAATGCTTGGTCTAGATTTCCCTCGCCTGACGTTCCGCCCACCGGAGACCTGGTGTCAGGCAAGTCAGCAGAAGGGCCGCAATTTTCGCGCGCGTACAACCTTTGCGCAGCTAAGATAGTCTCATTTGCGTGCTCTCGACGTGAATCGATCCTCTAGGGTCTTAAGACTTTGCAGCAGTCGATCCCCGGTTGATTCTCTATAAAGGGACGTTCCCTGTTGCGGAAGCCTGGGGGCCCTGAAGGCCCGGGGGGTGACGGGGCGGGCTCATCTGGTCGCGAACCTGAAGAAAGTCGCGTATCTACAGCAGCTGGCCGCCTCTGACCTCAATGAATTAGTACCACCCGGCACCCTTTTGAAGTCTTCGGCGGCAAGAGCATGGCGCTTTCAGCCCTCAGGTGATGACCAAGATAGCAACATCTGCTAAACACTTAGTTAAAGCTGAAGGGTTTGATTGTCCTTCAAGAATGCTGGTGGGTACCACTCTTATTTTTGCAGTCCGCTTCTAATCTGATGCGTACTCCCCAAGTATGACAACATTGAATACAAAGCTCGGTCTGGTGGTGTACGCTCCTCTGTGGTATCTTCTCAAGAACTGTTCACCGCTCTCTTGTTTGCGTGTGGCCGTGAAGCAAAAGGTCGCAATCAAAGGTTCGTGGTGGAAGCGAGCTTTTGTACGAAGGCAGCTGACGGTGTACGCTTGAAGCAGACCTTCACTGTTTACCCTTCTCTGACATTTCTAAAATTGCACGGGCAGAATTTTCAAGGTTATCTGCCCTTAAAATCCTGTGGGCGCCGTTGGCTTGTCTTCGTTCAACAAAGACCACGAGACACAAAACAAAGCCAACCAACGAATCCCACGGACTTTGCCAGGTGCTCAAATCTGGCTAGGGGAGTTCCCTCTACGACTCCGGGAACCGACAACAGCCTTTCACAGCGCTGCGCATATGTTCCTCTTGGATACGCTTCGCTTGCTGGAGGCTTCGACAACTGCCTCCAGGCATTCGTGCCTCAAAGGGATGCACTTCGTGGAACGCTCCGTCCTTGCAGGTATGAAACTCTGGGTGCCGTCCCAAGTTTTCACTCAAGCCGAGTCTCTGGAGGTTAGTTGAACCTGAACCTTCGTTCCGCGAAGAGCATTTGATCCTTTGGCAGCATTTAGGATTATGCTAGTATCCATGTGATCAAAACGTTCTCGTTCGATTTGAACCATGCAATCTCAACAGCTGCGGCCCGTTGTTGACCATGTCTGTGCTGCATCAAACCCGCCAACTTTGCCTTTAAGACGTTCTCGGACCCAATGTATCTCTGGTGCAGAAACAAAACACACTCAAGGTCTTGGCAAAGAAAAAGGCTCAGCCAGCTCTCACGCGAACCCAGAAGTATAGGACGGCGGTGAGTGACTTCTGCTGGGCAGCTTTCAGCGCGCTCCCCGTGATCTTTCTGCTGAGGAAGTGGGTCCCTCTAAGTTCGTTAGAGGATCTCACATCTGTGCGGCAAGGATTCACAGCAAACCGCTTCTTGTTAGGAGAAAAAAACAAAAAACCCCTTGCATTGCAACCAATGGGCCTTTCCAAAGGGCACGATTGGCTCTCTAACAGTCAGTTAACGCGGTGAAAGGTCGTGCTCTGCTGACCACTTCTTCTTCCGACCAGTAAGGCGAAGCCTGCATGTTGCAAGGTCAAGGCCCGCTGCATTTCATTCCGGCTTTCCTCCTTGCTTTCGTGCGGGATTTGTCATTTGGTAGAGCAGAAGTTCATGGCAAAGCTTCCGTCCATTTCAGGACAAGTATCGTGAAGAGGTGGCGGCAGTCGACATGGCGCACGTAAAGAGACTGGATCCCAGTGTGACTGGGCTTCCGATGTCGATTTGGCTCAGCCCAAGACATGGGGACTACAGCCCTCGGTTGTGGGTTGCACAAGACTACGGGGAGCAAGGGACAGCCGGAGAGTGGTTCATTATGAGTGTTGCTAAGCACTCGAAATCTGTAGGAAACTCGGGGCGTATTGACATCGATGATTTCGAGATTATAGAAAAGTTCATCCGGAAGAATCGGAAGTTACTGGAAGCTTGCTGGGAGCAGGACACGTGCTTCGACATCGATGACGTTGTTGCGCGCTTGAAGAAGCTTTCAACAGCTCAATCGCAAGGATAACGTAAATGTTGTCGAAGTCGCTCCTTCGGAATGTAGTTCCATCTCATTGTGACATTTGTCCCCCATCTTTCAAACTCAACCCTTCATTCACGGTCGACCATCTCAGTTGTTCGCATGTAGACTTCGCTGATTTAACGAGTGTGTGGCGAACACATCATTGAAGAGCGCGCGGCCAGCGTATGTTACATTGATTGGGACTGCCGTCAGTGGTGCTAGCACTTCTCCGACTTATTGTTGCACAATGAGTATCTCAAGATCAGGCGGGCATTCTAAAAAGTATCTATGGTCGGCTGCAGTGAAACGAAGACGGAACGAAGTTTTGGAGAGCTGACCATGCACCCCACTGATTCATTGGGGGCCAGCTCAGCTACTCGTTGCTTGTCAACTAGCCGCTCGGACAAGAAAAGCTGGACGGTGCATGCTGGCGCTGTGGAGTAAACTGTCTGTTATTGTTATTGTTATTGGCCAACGACATTAAATAAAGTGGCGCACCGCGTGCCGTAGTACCACTCCCCCATGAGTACGCCCTCTAATTCCGGGTTTAAATAACCTGGCGTACTCGATCAATTGCCGATGTTCTGATCATGACGGGATCATGACAATATCACGTCTAGAACCTCAGTGGGAGATAAAAAGGCGTGTGAAGGGCGCACGCCGTGAATGTAAGACCCAGTACTATGGAGAATAATTGGGAGAAGCCCTCAGAACTGAATTATGGCCATCGTCGACAGCTGGATGTAGGGCAGTTATACGGAGTCCATGCTGAGGCACGCGGGGAGGCACGCATGAGAACATTGAAGAAGCCAGGCTAAGTCTGGCACCAGTCATGAGTTATGAGACGTCGGCCCGTCACGCTGTGGCCCCTGTCTGGCATGATGATCTAAACTTATGGGCCTTCAAGTGCCCAGCTGCAACGCGCCGGAGCAAATCATGGATTCTGGCCGACTGGCTCCGCTTCCGTACGGTCAGAGGCAGTCATTACTACAGCATACATATTGCGTGCGAGGCATGATCCACGTGGAGGTTCACGCGGCCGCGGGCTGCTTTCAAGTTTCGCTCCGTACAGTTGCGACGGGACGGTACCGCCTGGGCCGGCCCTGGTGCCGCCCCGGCTTGCTGAAGCACCGGCGGCTTGCCGGAACCCTAGATAAATGCCCAATGCCCAATTACTATTAGAAGAAGTTCCATTCGAGAATGCATGTGCGCCCAATTTGTAAATTCTGCAGTTGGCAGCGCGAACAAGGTTCCAGCCCGAGAGAAGATGATGACGTCGTAATTCAGCTTCTTTTGTACCTACCTGCAAAGCAACTGTACCACGCTTTTCAGCTCACATTTTTCGTGTCTTCTGAGACTGCACGCCAAGTTTCTCAGCCTGTTCGGCAAATGCTTTGAGAATAAGGCCCAAGATTGACCACGAAAATGATTGGCCTTTGTCATTGAGTCGCCCGTCAAATCATGAGCATAGCTTTCTAAGCTGTTAAAGACAGGTCGGGTGCTCCAGAGGTTCAGGTTGGTTGAAAGAGGGGTTCCACTCGAAGGGCAGGGAATCATCTAGGACCCCAAGCATCATGGTCAGCAAGTTTTTTACGTTTCACTCTCTCGTCAGAGCTGTCCAGCCATGTCTATAGCTGCTCAGGGCATCAGGAGCCTAGGGTTTAGCAGAAGAAGGTCAGGCGATGATGCGAGCAATACCTCAGAGGAACATGGTCGAGCTTTCCGGCATGGAGCTGACTCAAGGGCGATCCAGTCCTCGCTGGACTTTCGGTCGAGGAGCGAAACACCGTGCCACTCTCAGATCTCGCCTGACATTCGTTCTGTCAGCCCATCGCCTGGTAAAGTCAGACGTGAGGCGTTCACCAATGTAGCGACAGAACTTGCAAGCCCAGAGGCAGCTGTCCCTTCTTTCTTTGGTCAGAGAGAAGGCGAACGGGCTCTCCGTTCCAGCCAGCAGATAGTTCCGAGAAGATCTTACTCTAATGCGAGCTCAGCAACCGCTGCCGCAAAGCCAAACGACGCCAAGTTCTGGTTCACGAAAGCGAAGGCAGTTTACAGCTGTCGGCCATTTTCTCCAAAGAAGAAGCAAGGGGCGCCATTGAAGCCCAAGGGGCCTGCTCGCCGCTCGGCAAGCTTTGCCTCTGTTTGGCCAATCACGGGGATCGGGGATGGCGTTCCGCACAGGCAAAATGTCAATCTGACGAATTACAGTGATGATACTGTGGAAGATACCGTATGCAAATATGAGACTGCAACGGTAGGAGGAAGCTCAGCTGTAGGTTCCGAAGGAAGGCCGGATGATGAAAGCTCAGGACAACTAGACTCGGCTGGCTGTTCCTTCGAACAGCTGGCGTCAGACACTAGCGCAGCAAATGCAGCTGCAAATCAAAGTAGGTACACTGCGTGCAGAAGTGGTATTGCGGCAGAGCATCCGCACAGATATGAGCCAGCTGAAAGTCATGTGTACACCAGGATTGAGTCAGGCAGAATTGCAAGCACCAGCAGCCCGTCCCCTCCCCCCCGCTCGCCCGCCCGCTACTTACCCCGCCGCAGCAAGAGCGTCACAGATGCTGACATCAGGCCCCCCTTCTATCCCCAGCCTGGCATCAAAGACGGCGAAAGCCTGCTCGAAACTCTGCCCCAGGGGGGGCTCTATGAGAGCACGCTTGAGCCACCCCACGACGGCTCAGCTTCGCGCCTGCGACATGCAAAGTCATTGACAGTTGTGACTCTCCTTGGGGGTGACTCGGATGATGAGCAGAGAGGGCGCCGCCAGGGGCGGCGGAGGACCTGGAGTTCGCTGCAGCTAGGACAAAGCTTGAGGGGCGATCTGGAGGCCTCTCCGCCTTCCTCTCCTTTGGGGAGGAGCAGGTCGAAGACCGGGAAGAGATCCTTCACGAGCAAGTTCGGGTGAGTGTCTCCGGTGCAGAAGAAAAGAGACGTGTTGGCATTTTTCCTCTGGTGGGTGTGTGGTAACTGGCAGTACGCACTGTTTGGTAGCTGGGATGGTAAACGAGCCGCCCATCCCTCCGTTTGCTTGGGTGTCAGCTTGGCTTGTTCCTCACACCTCAGCTCACACCCTGCTTGGATCACTGTGATTCTCACTATTGCAATTGTATCAAACCTCATGTAACTCTCAAACAAAGTAGACATTGCTGCATGTTCGCACACGACCTCCAGGGAAAGAACAGACTTGGTGGTAAAAGCTCGGACTTAAACTACTGGAAACTGCAGAGGAGCGGTATATTATTGAAGGATCCCACGCTTACTGGAGACGTGTTATGAGATGAATCTCCCGTCGCTGCTGAAAACATGCTGAAGGTTGTGTCTCAGCCATTGATATTGGGATGGCGCTTACGAGACGGCATTCGTAGGCACTGAACCCGTCCCTCCAATCGAGCGGGTATTGATGCTTGTCAAGAATGTCCGCCTCTCGTGATAGTCTTTCCTTTCTCGCTTCTTCAAGCCTTCTGCTGCTGCCGCTCCATGACAAAGACACCTTTTCCAAGTGGATTGGAGTACGACAATTGTCAAGTTGTTTCCCATGAACATAGCCATTTTGCCTCTGTAGAACCGTTTGCAATCACTGATTCTCTTCCGTGTTCTCCTCGAGCATGGACCGACGAAGCAGCCACATGCATAACAACGTTCATCGGAAAAGCAGGCTCTGTCTTTTGTTCATAGTAAAAGTATAGCTGCACAACCAAGGATTTTCTTTCCTCTCCTGCCGTTGCGCAGATCGAGCCGGCATCGGAAGCGCAGTTATTTGGCCGGCAGTGATCCAAGCTTCCGAGGCGTTTCCGGTAAGACGTTCCGTCCATGTTCCGTGCTGAACCCCTCTGAACAATCTTGACAACCTGAGAAAGGTTAGTTCCAACCGGGAACACGATCTGGACTTTCATTGGCGCTTTTGAGCCAATTGGCGATGAGATTTCAGGAACTGTAACCGCTTGACTCCTATTGGTCGATGGAGGGTGTTGCTGTACATAGGATAAGCCTCTACGAGAGAACCTGTGATGACGTCTGACGGGTCGAGCATTGAAATGCTCTTTCAAAGGTTGATCTTCATGCGACCCTCTGGAGCTTTGGATGCTAAGGCTTTTGCAATTCTAACCGACGGAAACCATGCAATTGGAATATACAACCCAAACGGGCCGCTCCTGCTTGACTGCTTTACTCTTGCCCCAAAGACATGCCCATCGGCACGTCACTGCCAAAGACTCTCGGCTGTGACGTCATTCCGTTCGTCATCCTGCAGAGGAGCACAGTCGCACGTCGCTTGATGGTACAATTGCGTTCGAGGTTAGTCGTCCCCGCCGCGCTTTGTTCGGACTTCGATCACAGCTGCTTTCCGGACTTCCGTTCTGAGAGCCCGAACTTCTGGAAGACATTCCAAGATGGATGTCTCGAAATACAGCTGTTTGCGTCAAACTTGGCATCCGGTTCCACCATTCCGAGTCCTCCGCGCATGGTCCTGATCTTGAGCCGTTCGATGCCTTCCCTTGTCGTCGATCGGACGGTCCAAGGTCAGGAACCACGCTCTCAACTTGAACGTCGGATCTTGAAGTGGGTTCCCAAAGGTCTCCAATTTCGTACTCGAGAGGCCTCTAAGTTTTGTTATCGGCGGACGAGACTTTAAGAATTCAGCCAGTCTCGCACATCAACACCTTCTACAAGGGGCGTGGACTCGCATTTCAGAGCTCAATGTAAACTGTCCGAACATAGAAAACCAGGATAGGCATTTGACCAGATCTACGGTTTGCGGATCTCAAAGCTTATCGTGGACTGTCCAATGTAAGAAATCAGGTTATGCATTTGACCAGATTTGCGATTTGCGGCTGCTGAATGCGGAGCGGTCGGTCAGGGCATGTGCCGTGGAAGACCGGCCGTCGCGCAAGGGGATGGAGCTCTGGTATACTGTCCAAATTTGAGAATCAGGTTACGCATTTGACCAGATTTTTGGTTCGCGACTCAGTTAAATGCGGAGCGGTCAGTCAGGGCCTGGGCCGCAGAAAACCGACCGCCGCTGAAGAGGATGGAGCTTTCGTAAACTGTCCGAATGTAAGAAATCAGGTAACATGCTTAACCAGATCTGTGGTTTATGGTTGCAGACACAGTTGAATGCGGAGCGGTCGGTCAGGGCGTGGGCCGCGGAGAACCGGCCGCCGCGCAAGGGCATGGACCTCGCGATCAAGGCGGCCGCGGATGCTAATGCACATCTCAGCACCAACTACGAGAAGGCGAAGAACAAGGTGAACTTTCCATTCCAACGTTTCTGTCAGTTACGAGACATTGTCATGGTCACCTTGAAAGGTATTGACTCTTTTCGATCTGAGGAACGAATTCAAACGAGGCAAGAGAAGTGCTGCCCGGCGGTTGACTTGTTGAAAGTGAAGGTGACAATAGCACACGTTTCGCGTCTTGAGAAGGATCTAGGGAAATAAGACGATGTGAATAACAAGGCTGAAGTGCAAGGTTCTTTTCTTAGGGCAGCGACAAGCACGGCCAAAGGACTTCGAAAGAAGACAGACAAAACTGAGGTTCACATTGCGTCAGCTTGCATCAATGGTTTAGTACATTCTCGTGGTGGGGTTGAATCACCAATTCGGTGCGCGATGTCAACTCCAAGATTCTTTTTCTTACCATCTTTAAGGGTTATCCAAAATTGGTCTACTCAAATCATCCTTAACCATTGCAGGCCCGGCAGCTGCAAGCTCAACTGGAGCGCCTGACCGAGATCAGCGCAAACCTGGACCGCAGCCTGTCCGCGTATGAGGAGCTGACACGTGGCGACCAGGAGGTGCTCCAGAAGCTGGAGGACGCGAATGACGTCACGGAGGGGGAGAGGATGACGACCAAGCGGTACGAGCACATGCTGACACGTGTCCAGGAGGAGCTGTCCAGGCTCAAGGGGTCGGTGGACACGATAACCAAGGAGGTTAAGGCGGCGGAGAGGGCACGGGTTAGTGTTATCGCGCCTTCAACTTTATTGCTTGGTGCCGAGTCGCACAGTTAGCAAATGTGTATTCCGCGTAACCTGCTAAGGTTTGGCCGCAGCAGTGCGATGGTCAAAGGTTCTGTTTACGCGGTGACGGATTTGCAATAAAGAATAGGACAACAAAAGGAACGCCAACTGCTTGTCTGATCGTAACACGAATCCAGGCGCGTTTGGGCAGCATTATCAAAACAGAAAACGAGTGCGTGAGACGAAGCAGCACCCGTGCGAGAACAGAAAGTCGGGATCACAGGGTCAGTGAACGAGAGCATAGGTCAATCGATATTGCAGATTTTCCCTTCGTTCAAAGTTGGTCGTGATGAGCGGCAGGAGCGTCCAAGGACTTTAGCCCCGCTCCTTTCAAGCCGCGGGTCGACGACACTGGCCGAGAACAAGTACGAGCAGAGTGTAAAGGATGAGCTTGGAAAGAGGGGACCAGAGATAGTTGGGATTGCCACTTTACAAGCCAGATTGACTCGTTTGATCCAGATGCCGTTGCCTTAAGCGACAGCTTCGGCCGCTCACGAGTCGACAAACCCGCGAAAGAGATACTAAACCTTAATGCTCAACATTGAGCGCGGTAGACTTGGGCATGTCTCTCGTTACCAACGCTTTTGGAGCGATCACTCATCGCTCACCTTGTTGCCTGCTTCAGGCGGCGGTGACGCAGCGGCAGGAGACGGGCCCAACGAACCCACAGACGGCCGAAAAAGTGATCCACCAAACAGACCTTGGCTCGATATAAATCACGATTTCTCAGAGGAGCCCGACACAGCTTGATTCGAAAACAACCACTTATAGCGTCATCTCGTCTTCCGCTTCAGGCGGCCGTGACGCAGCGGCAAGACAAAATCCGCAAAGCCCAGATTCCTTCGTTCATCTCGTGTCTGTAAACTTTCAAGCGACGAGTCAATACACCCGCATATCCTCTTGGCTCACTTCTTGACAAGTAACGAGCGCCCTAGATTTGACATTAGTCATCAGTGCCAACACTGTATAAAGAACAACCACTCAATAGCGGCATCTCGATTTCCGGCTTCAGGCGGCCGTGACGCAGCGGCAGGAGGGCGCGCGCGCGGAATCGGTGGGCGCGCGCGAGGCCCTGGTGCGCGCGAAGCGCGAGCTGGGGGGGCTGCACTTCGCGTGGCACGCCCAGCTGGACGAGCTCAAGCGGGAGAACGAGTGAGCGCCACGTGGCGCAACCTCGGCCGTTGATGTGTCGAGTCCACAGATGGGGGCACGCGCTCTGATGCATGCGAACCGCGGTTTGCGGCTTCAAGGATCGCACTGGCAAGAAAGAAGCAATGCTAAAATATACTTGAAAGTCAGCGTTGCCCATTTCAGGATCAATACGCAATCACGTACAACCTGAGCAGCGAAAATTTTGCGACCCTTAATCCTTTTCCGTTGCTCCGTGCGCGGTCCAGTGAAGTGTCGTATTTACTGGTAGCAATTTTGATCTCTGTACTGAAGGGCGTCAACTCCTCCGATCTATCGAAGCTAAGATCTGCTCCCACCGACGCTTTGTACTACAGAGTCTCCGTTTTGCTTGTGCACTCTCAATGCTCATTATCTCCCCTCAAACACGGTATGCTGATCAAACCTGACCGTCTGTCAACGTTAGGGAAAACGAGGAGGCAGTCCAGTACTCCGTGCGGCGGGAGCGGATGCGGCAGCGGATCCTGCGGGAACTAGGCAAGAACGGAAAGCCGGTGAGGTGGCGGAGCGTTCTCTACTAAGAAAATCTTTGATGTAAGCAACTTCATGACGGTTGAAAACGTTGCGAAACGCTTGATCAAACCCTTTCAAACGTTCCGAAAGGCTTGATATAACTACGTGGCTGCTCAACTTTGGCTTTCGACACTCTCTCCGTATAAATCCTACATTTTGGGGCTTCGAAGACCTTGCTCTAGGTTCGACTCCAGAAACTGCTCCAATTGCGAGAAACGTCGTTCGATAAAGGTCCAGCCAAGCGTACCAAAGTTATCAAAGCCCACTGACGAGTTTGCTGTTTCGTGACACTGTAGATCGAGACCCTGGTTTTAAGTACGCTTTCCAGTATGAGCCGGGAGAAGAAAGTCCACCACCAATCTGAAAAAGGAGACTTTTCAGTCGATACTGATCTTAAAATTCGGAGTGCATTTTAAGAGCGCATGTGTTCTTTAAAAGGGGACTTTCCAGTCGTAAGCATCCTTAATGTCGTTTCAAGACCGTACTTCATCCTGGTCCTCATCTATAGTGAGACGGACTTCTGAATCCGTTTTGTGCAGGCCTCGAGCTCGCAACCGGGGGATGTTTCCGGTAGGGCCCTTCTTCCGTAAGTACCCGCAACCAGAGCCCTTCCCGCTCCTTTCTCGAGAAGTTCTTTTAACTGGGCATGAAGAGTCTCACGTGGCTTTCTTTGACTACCCTTTCCGCTTTGGTAGCTGCCCCCTTTAATCAAGAATTGCCGCTGAAGACGACGACGTCACAAGCATGACTTCACCTTTTCGTGTGTCTCAACGTCCCCATGCACCGGCTTGCGCCAGATCAGGACTGCCTAGCCCTTGCTAAAACTCGTCGGCGGTCAGACCTCGCGGGGTCGCATCTAAGACGCGCGAAGTCTTTGCCACGTTATATGACCATGCAAAGGAACACGTTCCTTATGCAACAACGCCCCATCAATCCTAGCACATCTGTACCTCGTAGCGGAATTATTGCTTAACAGACATCGCATTCAAGATGCACTTTTCACTCAAGTTAATCTTGGATCCCCAAGAAAAGCGGGACATTTGGCCTAGCCTAGCCTTCCTGACAGTCAGATCGAGGGAGTCTACACAAAGTGTCGAGCTTCAAGCTTTTGCTGCGATTGACCATGGGGCGCGCACGTTAGACGCAATCAACACACTTTGACCTTATCATTCATGCTCTGGAGTCAATTCCCCTCTGTCGTCATCAACGGCGCGCATGACGTTGGATGGCAAGGATTTCGAAAGCCGACAGATCGAGTTTCTAATTGTCAGAAATGAACCTCAAGACATGTGCTTCAAACAAACCCGCCGCTAACATCATCCGTTTCCTGACGTCAGCGACGGCGCGCCGAGTGACGTCAAGCTGGCGAGCTACGAGGCGCTGACGGGGCTGGTGGGCACGCGTGACGTACCGTCCATCATTTCGATGTACGCTGAGCGCAAAGAGAACAACGAGAAGCTGCTCGAGGCCAAGGGCCGCGGGGAGGAGCGATTGCGGCGACTCAAGGACGAGAGGGCCGAGCTGGAGGTCGCCCTCAAGCAGGTAAAGTGTTGGTCGGAGAACGAGCTTCGAGTATTTCCTGTCGCCGCCAACGCTAAACCAAGAAAGAATTCAACACGCAACGCTGAGCCCGAACAACAAACGCTAAATTGAAAACTCGTAAAAATAAAAAGGTGGCCGAGCTGGAGGTCACAAGTATTTGGTTTCGCGGAACGAGCTTTGATGTTTTCCTGTTGCTGTAAACGGCAAACCCTAAAACCCGGAAACCCTAGATTGGTGCCGAGCTGGAGGCCGCCTTCAAGCAGGTAAGGTTGTCACCGGAGAAGATTCTTCGGCGTTCTCCGCTGCGCGCGTGTTTTTGCGGCGACTGCAAGCGAGGAGAGCGAGTTGAGAGGTCGCCCAGAAACGACGATGAGGCTGCTTGGGCGGAAGAGCCTCTGTGTATCTCATTGGTACACCACTTCTCGTGCATCTAGAAGCGAAGGCAGAGTAAGTAGTCGCGCTCAACCGGGTGATTAGGATGATAAAACTCAAGGAAAATAATAGTAAGCCAAGATAATAATAAGATCCGACTAACAACAAAAAGCCTAACCCAAACCGACACACCCGCTCCGCACCCGTACCCACCCTAACAACCAAATTAACCCTACCCGTCCCAGTGCGGTTACCTTATTATCATCTCGGCTTACTATTATTTTCCTTGAGTTTGAAATTTAAGGATGTAGGCACTGATTTGGTCGCCTTCTTTTCGGATTCCGTTTATACTACTTTTCTCTTAGGCAGAAGGGTTAGCTTCATTGCACAGCAGTCTCGCGCACAGGACACCGTTTCATTATCAGGCACAAATCCGGATGCTTCAAGCTGCGCGCGAAGCCTTTCAGAGGCGAACCCAGGAAGCTTCGGACACGGGGACGCTAAATGTCGCCCCTCCGCCGTTTCCTAATTTCGCGCCTCGTTCCGGACGGTTCGGAGGGGCAGATTCGGACACGGTCAACCGTCAGTCTGCGGCTGCGCGAGCGCGTTGGTTGTCGCGCTTCAAGCACAAACGGGAGACCACCGCGCGCGCCCGATGATTAACACGCGCGCACGTGCAGCCGTCAGTCTGCGGCCGCGCGAGCGCGTTCGTTCTCGAAGTCGCGCTCCAAAGCACAAACGGGAGACCAGCGTGCGCGCCTGATAATTTACACGCGCGCACGTGCAGCCGCAGCCTGGGCCACACACTTCGAACCAAACCCGATTCCCGCTCTTCGAAAGTAGAACGCGTCCGCGAATGAGCGTACCACTCTTCATTTCTGAGCAATCAATTTCTGATTGGTTAGGATATATTGTTGCGAAGGCTGATGGACTCGAATATTCCGTCGCAGGTGGTATACGTCGACTTGGGTCAAGCGGTCGGCGCGCAGGCGGGGTTCAAAACCGAGATCCAAAAGAAGGAGGACCGGTTGAGGCGGGACCAGGTAAGGATAACTGTTCCTGTTGATTGAGCGAGCAGAAAAGCCCGTCAACGAATTAAGCGGGTGGGGTTACTTAGGGAGCCAGGGAGAAAACGGGTGCGAAGCACGTGCACCCATGGTTTAGGGTTCTGATTTTAAATTGAAGAAGGAGGACCGGCCGAGGCGCGATCAGGTGCGAAGATTGTCAACAGTTGGCCCGTCGCAATTTTTGGAGTCCACACAAAGAGATGCTGTGTTCACAAGAGTGCTGAGGTCGATCGAGGACGCTCGATCTGAATCCACGTGCTTGTGTCTTGCGTTGCGAATGTCCGGTGTATTGAAATTCTATTCTTCTTGTATTTCTCATCACATGCTATAACGCCCCCTCCCCCCGATTTGGAACTTTGTATAGCGGAGGCCCCGCAAAAAGCTGGTTGCGGCAGAGACGTAGATAATTGAGGGTCTAGAGCAGCTGTGGATATAACATCGTAAAAATCTAATGCTCTTCACTGGTCTAATCATGTACAATGACCGATTGTGTTCGGTTGTCATGGTGGCTCTCTTTGAAGCTCGGTTCAGAAACGCGTCCGAAACCACCAGCATGCCGAAAATTTTCCGGAGTAGAAAGCTTCGATGCTTGATGAGGTCGTGATTACGCCCGATTCTGGGCCGAGTCACTGCGCAGACTCGCAAGTAGCGCCAAGTGCTAGGGGTGGTGTCTTCCAGCAATTGAGAAGCACTCAACAACATCGACTTCCCGCCCAGCATAGGACGTTCATCAGGCAAGCGGGATAGCCCTGGAGACTTCAAAACCCTAATTACATACTTCCAAACCCTTAAACCCTCAGCCCCTTGAAACTTAAGCAAGATATAGTAGGCCAAGATAAAAATGATCTTCGACTAACACTGGAAATCCTAAACCAAAAAGCTACCTGCTCCGCACCCATACCCACCGTAACCACCAAACTAACCTCACCCGTCCCAGCGCGCTTACCTTAGTAATGTCTCGCCTTATTTTTGATTTTCTTGAGCTCAATCTGAAACCTCTTCCCAGGAGCGCACGCTGGCCGCGGAGCGTGACATCAGCCTGGTGGGCACGTGCCTCTGGCAGCTGCTCGCGCGCATCCCCGACTCCTCCGACGCGCTGCAGGGCCTGCCGGCCGCGTATTTCAAGGACGCGGCCGCGGCCGCGACGCCGAACCCCCAAACCCCCGCGGTCGCGCCGCGGCACGCGCCCCGCAAGTCGGTGGCGAAGGGATCCCTCGACGCCAAACACGCGCGGATGCCGCGGTCGCCGGGGGGGCGGGAAAACGGAAGAACAGCTGGAGGACCTCGTATGCGTCCGTGAAGGGATGGAGAGGACTTCGTTCGGCTCGGTTATGAGCTTGGAGTGCGTTGGAGTGGGGAAGGCGGGGGCGGGGGAGGGGGGCGGGGCGACCAAAGAGGAAGGGTTTGTTGGGGGCATGTCGCCGGAAGAGCAGGTGAGTTTTACCAGCGAAAGTGGATCTGAAATCTGAGATTCCTGTTGGCCTGTGCAGAAGTGGGTAATAGGGTTCTGGATATGATACGTACACGGGTTAATTGGTTCGTCGTCATTGGGGTGAGACGAGAACACCTGTAGAGACGATATATAAGGTCGAGAAGCTTGAATCTTGTCGCAACGAAATCTTGTTGGTTCGACTGGTCATTTTTGCACAAATGGGGTCGGTTTTGAGGTCGTTATTGTTGTCGAGCCTTTGACTTGATTCACAGCTTGTCTTTGTGTGCGCGATATGGAACGTCGGAAGACCGATTGCGCCAAGAAACGGAAGAGCATAGACGCGAACTCGCCTTGTCCATCCACCGTGCGCCTCTCAGCATGCCCGTTTGTGAGAGCCTTGCTTGCTTTCCTGAGCAGATTCGAAATCTGAACGTGAGGGACAACCGAAACCTGAGCTGAGTCCCTCCTCCGTTTCAAGGCGCCGCTGGCTTAAGCAGATCGCCACCCCATTTGCTTTTGTTAGCTGGACCCAAACGGAAAGTGCCCAAGTCATGACCACACCAATGAAAGCTAATCAGAACTGCACCTGTTTCTCCACCCAAGACACGGCTCGCTTCCGAAATCTGTCAGACAAAGCCGCACCGACGCCAACTTACTGTTGGGCTTGGCTCTTACGGATAAATATTCAAATCGTAACTGGACCCGTAACTCACCCTTAACCAAGCTCGTTTTCTGCACCCCAGGCCAAATTCGCGCTCGACACCCTCGAGCAAGTGCGCACCAAGGTCGACTCCTGGCTGACTTGGGAAACCGCTTATCTGCAAGACGCGGGCCTCGTATACGACGGCAGCTCCTCGCGCACTCGCCCGTCTAGTTACTCCGCCGGAATAAGCGACGACCGACACTCGACCTACAGCGATCCGGCTCCGGCGGTTCGGGCGGCGGAACCGAGCGCCGGAGGACCGCCGGCCGCCGACGCGCCGCAAGACCCGGGCGACGTTCCCGCCGCGCCTGACGTAGTGCTGACGTCAGCTCCCGGCGACCCAGCGCTGGTGACGGCCAGCACCCACCGGGGACTCCTACCGAGCGGAGTGCGCGATCTGGCGCCGGCTTTTGTGAAGGTGAGTGTCAGATATGGTCAAAATTCGAGTGAAATTTTGGTTAACCCACCTCCTAACCACTCTGGGACGGGTAAGACTCAATCTGAGAGTTGAGGGTGGGTGAAGGTCGAAGCAAGCTAGCGAAGGTCTGGGTTCGAATGTTGAGATTACTGTCTGAGTTGGGAACTTATCATTCTCGAAGCTCATTCTCTATGAAGCTCTTCACTTTTGGAGCTCTTGAATGTTTCTCAAGGCTAAAGCTCCCTAAGGTCCTGAAGCGCATTGTTTATGAAGCTCCAACGACGCCTGAAGCTTATCGTTCCTGAGATCGAACGTGATTCTGTGCAGCTTGGCGGACCGGCCGACCGGCCCGTTGACTCCCCCACGAACCCGGGGCACGGGAAAGACGCGCGGAGGCCGCTGGGGAAACTAGACCTGGCGTCAAAACAGCGCGCGGATGCGGTAACGGTGGCGCGGCTCAAGGCGGAGGAGACGATTGCGTCGGCGGCCATGCAGGCGGTGCGCGGGCGTGCGGAGAACTACCGGGTGGACGTGGGGCAGGTGACGTCACCGCTACCCTTACGCTGACGTCACCGCTTTGACAAAAGCCTGGTGTTCGTCGATCGAGCAGATATACTCGGTTCGTCGTGAGCAACCGTTGCCCGTTGTTGAAACCAATCAAGGCGCTCCGGGGTTGAGCTTGTGTCGTTGCAAGGGGAGCGAATTACACGATACACTCGATTTTTGTTGCTTCAACTGGGAGGAGTTCCCGTCAATTTGTGTAGGGGGCCGAGCGGGGGGACAAATCGTCAAAAGCGTTGCCATGTTCTGAAAGCTCTAGAACGGTCACTACTTTCGCATTCCCGGGTTCAGGTTTGGGTTTGGAAGCCAACCTATCCTTCATACTCCCTCCCTTCTGTCCGGGTCTTGAAAAGAGCCGGGTGAAGTGCCCACTTCTTGATTTGTTCCTGAAACTGGGACTAAGAGTCAAACGGATTCGCCGACCGCTTGATTAACGTTCTCTCTCAAGAGGCGTTCAAGAACCCGGACAAAGGTTTGAAGGCCTTCGTGGAGATGCTGCTCGCTTCCTGAACTTGTTTCACAGTACGTTCTAAAAACGAAAAGCTAACGGTTCCGCCAACCAATATTTCCATTATAGTCTCAGAAGGCCTGTGAGGACTCTGTCAAGAAGTTGGAGGCCATTATGAAGTGGCTGCCTGCTTTTTGGTCTTTTCAATACACCTAACAATGCAGTGTTACAACGAACTAGCCAATTGTTGTAACTGCTTTTCTCAGGAAGCTTTTGAGGACCCGGTTAAGACTTTGGAAGGCATCGCGAAACCTGACGAGTTGCCGTCTTTCTGAGCTTTGTCCACAGAGCTCGTATTGAGATTCTTATGCGTTTGCCTGATGATAATCATGTCTTTCTCAAGAAGAAAAAACTCGATCAAGGGGTTGGAGGCCGTCATGAAGACTCCAAACCAGAGCTGCGAATGTTTTGATAAAACGAACTAAGTTTTGGTTGCAAAGATCTTGAACCCAAACTCTCACTAGTCTACCGACTTCTCAATCACTCTTTTCAGGAGGCATTCGAGGACCCGGTCAAGGGGTTGGAGGCCATCATGGAGTGGCTGCACGCGAACCGCGACAGCCTGCGCGCGCACACGGGCGAGCCCACTAACTGGATTTGGCTTACAAACCCGGTTATCCAGGATTTCGCTGGTTTACTGACTGCTTCAGCTTCTATTCTCAGGAGGCGTTCGAGGACCCGGTCAAGGGTTTGGAGGCCATCATGGAGTGGCTGCGCGCGAACCGCGACAGCCTGCGCGCGCACACGGGCGAGCTGGACTACGACATGAGCGGGACCATCTCCACCGACGAGCTCCTCGAGCTCTTCCGCAAGGTGCGCCGTCAAATGTCTGGGTTTGCTCCATGAGTTAGTAGCTCATTGAAGGTTCCAGGGGTCTAGATCTGGGTTTACACCGTCGGTTAAGAGCCGTTTAGTCCTTGTTTGCGCTTCATTGTGTAGCTTCATGGACCTCTTGTCGTCACAAACACGCGATAAAAGAGTCGGCGGACGCCTCGAAGGTTTAGTCAACGGTTTCGGTCAAATTCGTTGGATTCAGGCAAGTCTTGCCAGCGTTTCAACTGTTGACCCAATTCTCAACCCGTGCGGATAAAGTGCAAACCAGCGACCTGCTGTCGAAGGGGTTCGCGATCGCAGCAACGGCATCATTTGATAACGAAACAGTAACTGTGAACTTTGACCACATTAACCTCTGCAAAGTTTTCGTAATCCACGCCCTAACCCGCTCAGGTCATGTTCGAGCCGACCCCCGCCGAGCTGCGCAGTCTGTTGTGAAAGCTGGATCGTGACGGCAGCGGCAGCATCACAAACGCCGACGAACTTTTAAGCCCGAGAATTGACCAACGGTGACTCGCTACCCTCTTAACCTCCCCTTAACCCGCTCAGGTTAAGTTCGAGCCGACCCCCGCCGAGCTGCGCAGCCTGCTGTGGAAGCTGGATCGTGACGGCAGCGGCAGCGTCACAATTGACGAGTTGCTCGACAGCAGTGACGACGAGGATCACGCCGCCGTGTTCCGCCAAACCGCGCTCGCGCCGGTCTTCAGCCGGGAGGAGCTCAAGGTGGGTTACGCTCTAACCCTAGGTTTGAACAGGCGTCAGGAATGAGGTCAAGGGGTTTGGTGGGTTGCATTTTGAGATTATTTCGTCAGGCAGACCGCGCTTGCGCCCGTATATAGCCGGGAGGAGCTCAAGGTGGGCTACGCCTTAACCCTAGGTTTCAAGTGCAATTTGTGGAAGTATCAGGCGTCTGGAATAAGGTCAAGGGGTTTTCTGAGCTGCAGTATGAGCTTATTTCTGTCAGGCGATTGCGCTCGCGCCCGTCTTCAACCGGGAAGAGCTCAAGGTGGGTTAAACGGTGTAACATTAGAATTGAATTGCGTTTTGAATGATTATCGGGTTCCTGGAAGAAGGTGTTCAGGTTTAGGGCTTTGCTAAATCCAGGTTTCGAGATCATGTTCATCGGTAGGACGACGCTGGCGCCAGTCTTCAGCCGGGAAGAGCTCAAGGTGGAGTACGCTTTGACCCTAGGTTTTGTATCGCGTTCTTTTTGAATATTACCGGGCGTCTGGCACAAGGTCTGGAGAGGTGGGACTTTGGTTCAACATTATAGTCACCACTTAAGCCGCGCTGTGCCGTCTTCAGCCTGTGCACGCGTCTTCAGCCTGTGTACGAGGGGCTGAGATTTGCTTCGCTTTGAGAGGGTCTGCGGTGTTGGTTCCTGATTGATCGGGTTATGGGGTTTACAGATTGCAAGGCAGACCGCGCTCGATTCAGCCGGGTGGACCTTAATGACATGAGGATTAACGTTCTGGGTATTTAACACCGCGTTCAGGGAAAATTGATTGCATGCAAATTTTGAACCTTTGGCGTCATGTCTTCGAGATGTTGCAGGGAAGAAGCATATCGTAGCACGAAGGTGTTAGTCCGCACATATGCAGGAGTTTTGGTGTTGGTTCTAGGGAAAGATTGAAAAATAAAAGTCGACAATCCATGCCTAGGTATCTCATTTTAACTGTTTTAGTTTTCAGTGTATATTTGCGCCAAGAGATCTTGATTTCAAACAGCTGTCCAGCACTCACACTCGCGCTTGTAAAGTAGCAAGAACGTCTCCAAGCAGAACAACCTCTTAACCCTTTTTTGGTTCAGGCCCGGACCGAAAAGATGGCGCGCAACCAGCAGCACACACTGCAGCGCCCGAACACGTCGGACGGATTCCTGTCGGCGGAACAGACTCAACTAGTCCTCCAAAAGCTGCGAGCAATCAATGTGACCAATCCCCTGGCTTCGGCCACTAGCGGGCCGCCACGTGGACCACCGTCGAGCTCGGGATCCGCTCTTGCAAGTAGCGGCAGCACGTCGTCTCGGACCGGAATCCTAAAGATGAGCACTATGAATCGGCCCAGGAGTGTGCGGAACGGGACCGGAACCGGAACGGGCAAGGCGGGCGCTATTCGGGGGACGAGCTCCAGCGAGACAACGCCGAGGCACGCGAGCTTCAAAGCGGGGGGTGGGGATACCCGCGGAAACTACCCCGCCGCAGAGGACCTGAAGCGGCGGCCCGATAGCGCACCGATTCGCGGGGGCGACGAGAGAGTGAAAGCGAAGAAAGAGGAGACGCGGAAAAGTAGGATAGCGTTTGTCGATCTCCCCCCCGAAAACGAAGAAAACAGAGGAACGGGCGGGATGACGTCCCGGCCTACGTCAGCTGGCCGAGGGAAAGTGTCGGGGAGTGTGAGCCTGAGCCGGCCGCTGTCGAGCTCGGGACACAGGTTGCGGTGACGTAACGCAAGCGCGTGCGCGCTGACTGAGGTGACGTAGGGCGCGAGCGCGCGTGCGGAGAGAGACCGAGTAAACTGATAAAAAAACGGTAAATCGAGTTTGAGAAAAGGTTCTCGGAGGTAACGTAACGAGTTCTTGTGTTCAAACTTTGTAAAAGCGCGAGGTGAAAGGATCTATGTACTCAGAATTGACTTGTTTGTGGACGAAGTGACTTAGGAGTCAGGTATCAAGGTATAGATTAACTGAGAGTTTTGGGTCTCTTGCAAAGCGAGAGCCCTCGGATCAAGGTGCGGATCTCGATCAATGCTGCGCATGCGGCAGCAGAGTGGAATGTCTCGCTCGATTAAATAGGCCTTTTCACAGATCGCAATGCAAATCTGCTTATATTTGAGGGACATACTCAATCAACGTTTCGAAAGTAGCTGTGGCCGTACGGTTAACGTTAACGTTTAACGTGTGGCCGTACGGGTGTGGCCGTACGGTTAACGTTAGCAAAAGCTCGTCCCAGTATGGACCTTTCGCTTCAACCATTTCTGAGTAAATCGCTAATTCATCACTTTGACCACAAATCCTTCGCGCTTCGACTAACAAAAGCTTTTCATGACCGTGCGACTGTGTAAGCAAACGTGGGTCCCCTTGTCCAAAGTCGTAAGTTGTCGTCTGGCCGACGTCCAGCTCGCATAGTGAACTTAAACTTTGCTCCAAACCACAACGTTGAACTCGACCCGCAAGTTGGGAGTGAAACAATCTGCCGCGCCCTAACCGAGTTTTTTTGTTTGATGAAAAGAGCATGATGCCGGCGCGATCATGAAGCCCCCCCGGTCGCGCGGCTAGGCGAAGCGTAACGTGGGAAAGCGCACTGAACTATGTTTCCGGCGTCCCTTTCGAACTCTCTTGCAGTCGAACCTGTCATCGTGTCGTCACAGAGATAGAATATGGAGCATCGTCCATTTTCGATCATGTATCCCCTGTAACTTGATTTTAATTCAATTAGGAGCCTCGTAACACATATCATCTGCGGCCGGACCATGCATGAAAACTAGTCCCAGTACGTCCATCGTTGACTTTGGTTCAGCTAGATTGTACGGATGCAGTTGGTACTGAGGACGCGCGTTCAATTTCCTTGAGGTATGCATTCTCGACTGAGACGGGGCGTCCAGCCTAGTTTGTGTGCAGTCGCTCTGATCAGCTTCTGTCCAGACTTTGTTTCCAACATGATATACACGGAGCGCAAAAAAGTAATGAAGGTGAAAGATATCGAGCCGCTACTATATAGTCGGACTTCAAGTTCGACCATGGGCGTACTGGCTGTATATTCAAAGCCTGATCAAGCCGGCTCAGGTTGGCACTTCTAGAAATACGAAACCGCGGTGCCCCCAAGTCGAATCTAGATTCTGGCCATTCATGATGGTACAATCGATTCGTAGTCAAATCTGTGAATTTTCAATACTGTATTGCCAGCCTGCCAGATATCTCAGTGCAAGTGCAAACGGTTCCAACGGCGCTCGGCTACTAAAGAAAATGTACTAAGATACAACAAAGACCTTAGATTATCATCTGCAGCAACAATTATGTACCAGCTATCCAAGTAGCAGTTATATTGACTATTCCAATAGTAAGTTTTCAGAAACACACCTCACAAAAATTTCTATATCGAATGTTACCCCATCCGGCTGACTGTATGACTGGGCCGAAGAAGTTGCGGAACCCTCTGGATTGTTGCCACGTGTCCTCAAGTTCGCTCAACTGCCACGCGTAACGTCCTCTGCTTTCAAATTTGTGGAAGTCTTTGCTTGGGAAGCTGCCAGCCGCAAACACCAAATCTTGGGAAGCAATCAGCTGCGTCGCTTAAATCATCTCAATTTGTCTTGACCCTACACTGTAAATATTATGGCTACGTTCGCGAATAGAGCTTGCACCCCGCCCAACTAGCTCTCCAGTTCCGCTGCTTTAGAGAATAGGCCTTAAATGGAAGTAAATAGGTCTCAAATGGTTCTCGTCGCTTGACGTAGCCCAAAGCAATCCGGTCGCACCGCCGGACTCCGCTTACTTTAAGTTTACACTCTTACAAACATATATTCCGGCTTCTAAGATGTAAATAAACTCCAGTCACGAGACCTCAATAAACCTCTTCGCATCTAGAAGCCACCCTCCGAACTCTCAAAACCTGCCGTAAAATGTACACCGATTTCAAATCTCCTTCGACTTCGCGAAGTTTTCAACAGCTTCTCATTCCGATCGGCTCACTGACAGGAGAGCCCCAAAGGGGTCCCAAGGGCCTTCCACGTGTCCCTGCGCGTTCCACTCGCCCCATTCGCCAGTCTCTGTAAGCTGCCACGTGTCCTTCGGCGGTTCCGCCAGCGCATCTGGCGGAAACCGGCCGACGAGCGGAACGAAGAGAGGGCCCTGAACCGGTTCTACCCAACCGTTCGGAGTGACCGCCAAACCGGACGATCGCGTCGTCCCCGTATAAGGGGACGGCGACTCGCCACCAAACCGGGTTTCCGGCCCAGTAACCCGCTCACGTAACCCGCTTTTGATCCCCCCAACCGCTCCCCACTTCTCGGGGCAAGCCGGCTCCGGGGCATAGGACTGGGTTCCGTTGAGAGAGGGCTGTCCGGTGGAAGAGTAGTTCTCCCCGGTCGACGGGCTTAACACGGTTGGTTCTGAACCGGTTAGGGTTCTGAAATAATCCAAAGCGGCCCTCATCTGCCCCTGCCGCTCCAGAATCTTCGCGACCTGCCCCGGGGAAAGCTCTACCGGGCATCGACCGGAGTCCGCCGTTCCGGCGAGCTGCGCTTCCTGCGCGTCGACAAGCGCGTGCATGTGGTCGGTCAAGAGTGCGGTTATTGACGAGGTCAGGTCGTCAAGCCCACCGTCCGGGTCATCAGCCCCGTGGTTAGGAGTGTTAACCCCAGCATTAGGACCATTGACCGCCGCGTTCAGTTCATCAAACCCACGGTGTGACTCGTTAACCCCGTCCTTTGGCAGGGGGTAGATTTCGCGGTAACCCGGTTTGCAAGGCGCCTCAGCCCCGCTAACTGCGGCGTTCGTACCGGAGCGTTCCTCCAGAACCGGGTACTCGCTTCCCGTACCGAACTGCAGCTCGACTGGCCAACTTGCACTAACCGGGGCATCCCTTCTCAAGCAAAGCTCGCTACGATCAAAACGGCCTGACGGTGCCCTCCGATCACCAAGCACCCCGGTGGTTTCTACCGGGCTTTTCTCGTCGCTTATATCCTGCAAACGCCAGGCTTCGGCGCCATTCCGCCGTTCCGGCATTCCGTTCCATGGCGTATCCGCGGCGACAGGAAAGCGCGGGGATCCGCCCCGGCGTCGCCGAAAACCTGAAGGCTTCGTCAGCGGCCCGCACTCCGGCGCATCGGCGGGGAACGGGGTTTCGCTCTGGGGGGGTGGATCGCCGGGCCAAACCGGACCCCCGCGGCGGCGTTTTGAGCAGGGTTCCTCCGTTTGAAGTTCCGCTGACTCGTGGGATGAGAGTCGTCCGCCGGGAGAAGAATTTGCCGACCGGAACGGCTCTTGCTCGTCCACATCTGGCGGCCGGAACCTCCCGCCCGATCGTTTAGCCGACGCGCTGGACACTTCCCCAGAACTCTGCCTCGCCCCGGCGACTCTCTTCCCGACTGTCCCCCCTGAAACAGTCGGCTTCCAAGTTCCATACAGCGGGAGAGTCACGGTACGTACCGCCAAGTTTATGGACGCTCTTGAGGGATTGTTTTGTTGTTTTCCGCTCTTCATCCTCTGCGTTCCTCCAAGGAGCCCAGATCGGACGTTGAGGTCTAATCCACCATTCTGGCGGGATCCGTTCCGGTTCAGCCGCTGCGTCCCTTTCGGCGGAGATCAGAGACTACGGTCGAGTTGTGCCGCACTGTGGGTCTTCTGACGAAAGAAAAAAGAGGAACGTCAGACTCGAAATTTTCTGGCTCAATGTCCGGTGAGGAAGAGCTTACAGATATCATCAAGTGCGTCTTTTGAGCAATGACGTCTTTTGCGGAGACGCTTCGATTCACCAGGAAGAGAAAAGAAAGGATTCACTTGCTCACAAACCAGATCCGAATTGCTCGAGGGCCTTTTCGTAAATTCCACTTTCGCAAACTTTAGATGTCGGCACGTAGACAACTGTGAACTGCTCCCGATTCGTCCTGGATATCTTTTGAGCCATCTGTCGGCATCCAATCTGTGGCGTCATCAGGGAAGGCCAAAAGTGACGTCTTACCGCAGGCTGCTTTAGACCAATCTCGGCGGACCTTACCCCCGTCCTCGCACCGACCCTCTCTCTTCCAAGCGAATCCGCGGACGAACGCGAGAGCGACCACCTGCACTTGAGAGCGACTGGTTGGTCGCCCCGCCCTTGATCATGACCGGCACATCGTGGTAGGAGCTGCGAGGTGTGCACTATAACTCAAGGCCGATCGTAGTACAACCAGTTCCGTGACGAAGTCCCCTTTTGACGATCATAGGCGCTCCAAACTTCGACGCCGTTCTGGGAATCAGTATCGAGTGAAAAGTCTCCTCTTTCAGATCACCTGCGGACTACATCCTCCCTGCCTACACTGAACATGGGTCCTAAATTCGGGTCCTGATTTGTAGCGGAAACAGGAGGGAGCAGGGCATTGCTCAAAAAGGCGACCGTCTGGCTCCAAATCCGCTCAGTAAGACAGTGATGATCGCGAGAAGAAGTGAACAGCTGATATCTCGTGCACCAAAAAGGGGTTTTTAGATCATCCAGAAGTAAAGATACTTGGGCTGGCACCTCCATAACCTCGAAGTCTGACATTCGAGAAGCACAGAAGGTTACAGTACTGAAACAAAAGCCCTGGAGCATCTGAATTTTGCTTCCCCTGCGTTGAGCATTCACTGAAGGCGTCAGATGATAGCCTCGACTCTGCTTCATGCTAGGACAGTAACAAATGTGGATGCAGAAGCTGAATCTTAATCTTTGCTTAAGCACAAACAACTATTGAATTCATAATGGCTTCCATAGTTCGAGTGTCCTTGAAAGTAAACTCATAACAGTGGGAAGCTCCTCACGAGATCGTGTGTTCACTGCTTTTCGTTCTAAAAAAATCCTTGCAAGAAATTGCATCCCGCATAACGCAAGGTGTTCAGCGACAGGATGTTTGACGGGAGGAACGTTTCACCGTCCGGACTAACTGGAGGGAAAATGAAAGCGACCTAAGGGGGAGGCTCGAAGGAGGAGCAATGTGCTCTATGTTTGGCGTTTTCCCTATTTTAAGGTTGGGGAACCTTAAAGAGTTCACGACCCATCTTGCAGTTGTGAAATAAGCCTGTGTGCAGGCTAACAAGACTTTTCGTTTTCCTGATAGGAGGATACTTTTGCCATATGAAGGTACGTACAAATCGGGTCTCTTACCAATCTGCTTTTGATTCTGGAGTCCCTCTCTGTACCATAAGCAAAAGCGTCCGACTCCTGTCACCAAGGCCAACAAGGCCCCCGATTGCTGACGTCAGCGTCCTCACAGCTCCTGCAGGCAGATGGGTTCCGAAAATAGTCACAAGTTGGTTACAAGGTCCAGCAGTAAGATAATGGGGTGGGAGAGAATTGTGCAGGTCAGCAATGCTTTCCGGATTCAGGTACGCAACCTCTCAATCCTAACTTAGGGGAGGATCTGTTCGCATATGTGTCTTCATATGGACTTCTGTCAGACTCTCAGCTTAGTCATCCAGCCGACAGAATTATTTGGGCGCCTAGGTAAAACGACAAGCAGTGTGACTGCACAGCTGGACAAGGGAGGTGCTCAAACGCTGTCGAGTGCAAGCGGTTCATGACTCAGTCAAAGGCTTACAAGTTCCAAATTTCAGAAGGGCAAATTCAGATTCATGCTGGAGGTTTTCCTTTTCAGCTCATAACAGCAAGCAGTATACATGCTCAAAATTGCTTCAGAAAATGAACACCGCATGCTTATGCTACTGCAGTGGCTTTGACAGCACAGCAAGAGAGCTGCTTATGCCCAGACAGGAACTGGGGACTCTGCTGCTTATGGCACGTGCTTATGAGTCAAGCCAGACGTCTGCAGATCCTGATAGCTGGCAAGAGACTTTATAAGCAGGAATGCTTATGTTTCGAGGGGGGCCAGCTTCTGGCACGTTCACACGACTTGCGCCACGAGCTCAGCAACTGAGCGGGGAGCCGTCTGTAAAACATGCTTCTTTTGGGGCTTATGAAATGGGCGGACTGCTTATGATCGTGAAACTGCCAAAGGCTGACAGCTGGCAGCTAATGTCTGCCTAAGATTCGTCTCCATCCCCCTGTGCGTAAACATGTGCGCTGGAGCTACTGACTTTGTTGGCCAATTCTGAGTCTTCTTCTTCATATGTTGTTGGAGAGGATAAAGAAGATACGGAAGAGCAGGTCCTGACACAGCTGTTCAGACTCGTCGATTTTGAGTGCATTATGAAGTTTTCAACTTCAGAATAAAACTTCTAGAGTCAGCTGTACTTTGATAGCAGAGAAGGGTGCTGAGCTTGATTGCCTCTTCGAAAGAGAATGGGATTGTGACTAGCTGAAATGCTGAGAATAAATTCTAACTGCCACTGGCGCTTACCTGGAAGTCTGGAAACCCTCTGTGGTCAAGCCAAGGGAAGTCCTGATAAAGCCCCAGTCCTTTTCTGCAAATAGTCGAAACAACATTGTGAGAGATCAAGATCAGGGGGTTACCCCTTCCAATGCAACTGGGAGCTTTCTTAATTTGAACAAATGTCCGAAGGTGCTTGTCTGGGCAACACAGTACTGTCCGTGAGCCTTTCAATTGAAATGCAAAACCCTGTCCTTCTTTGCGACGGGCAGGAAGCCAACTTTGAAGGGAGCTGCTCTAACTCTTGGGAACTGTAAGAGCAACAGGTGCTAGCAAGTTCGCGCTTTCTTCAGACTGAGCTTTGGCAGCAGGCAACTCAGAGAGAGGCTTATTAAAGCCATATCCTGTTTCTTTGTCTTGCTTATGCCCAGTGTTCAGATAAGCAATGCTGACGACCATGATGACGCTTGAAGGAGCTCAAGGGGCATGCCTCACAGACCAGCCCATCGCCTCTGTTGCAACAGTTTGAGGGACAAACACACAGTCTGAAAAAACAAAATCTGCCTCCTATTTCAAGGGATTGAGAATTGAGTACTACTGACTCTTGAAAACAGCCGAAGTTTATGGCTTTCCAGAAACTGACAAGTGTTCGCTCAATTGGCTGCAAAGACAACCATTGAATCTGACCTTCAAAGAAGGTGACAAGGCCCTACTTGAGCCTGGCCCACCTCCGGTCATAAGCTATGAGATATGCGCCCCAAGTCCTTGGACGTGGAACGTAAGAGGAGCTGGGGCATGAGGATTAACTACAGCAGCAATCATCGAAACCTCATGCGAGAGGTTTCTGCTTTGGAACATCAAAGAGACCTCAGTCTAGACCGCTCTGAGTTGATGAAAGATCGTAAATTCTTATACGGAGACCCTTCTTTAGCTCCTGCAGTATCCCTCACAAAGTGGCCCGCGGATTTTCAGACAAGTCCTGAGCGACCACTGGCACCGCGTCGGGCAAGAATTCAAAATTCTATATTTCTTGCAACCGGTCCGCACAGTTGTGATAGCACTCACCTCAAAGTCCCGTGTGCAGCGGGCCCTGTGATGGTGACTGTAGTGTGGGCAAAAGTCTGGAGAGTGAGGAAGGAAAGCACAGTGCCGTGAATCACACCAGAAATCGGAGACTACAGGCCTGTTTCACTGGAACTGGCTGACAATCGGTTGGAAGAACTCTCTGAGCAGGGCTGTTCACTCTGCGGCACGGTCTTGCGCCGCTCTCAGCTTTGCAACGAATCTTAGCTATAGTTCACAGAAAAGTCAGCAGAATATTGCTGCCATCCGACTCGCGGTCTCTCCTCGAAATGCTCACTCCTTTGGACTTCCAACGCCTATAATTATAGCTCCCATTGGCTTCGCAATGGTCCTGTCAAGATTTGCGTGCGGGCAGCAGACACATCTCCCAGTCCCCCCTCAGTCTCTCCCAAGATTCCGACTGCAGCGAAATTCGCCGCTCAATTCTGGCGCACCAAAAAAGTGAAGCTTGCGTCTCTTTGGTGCTCATGTTTTTGCGGCGGAACGATTCTCTCGTCGACTCGCTTGCAAACTTCCCTGATCAACGTTGCGCCGCATTGCGCAAGCGGAAGCTGCCGTGAGAATCCTGCAATCGCCATGACCATTTGGGTTCACATCAACGGGCATGTCAGAGGCCTGAGAGCTGAATCCTGAATAGTGCTGACGCGATGGTGTGATGGTGGCTCTTCCCGAATGCTGACGTACTGTGCTCGCCAAGATAGTAAAGTCCCATTGGTTCCGTACAGCCAGAACTGATTGCGCTCGCCGCTCAGTCCCATGGTCTCCGGAGTCCGGGCCCCGTCCGCGTACCTATCTCGGAGTGCATATACCATTGCCTTAGGTATGGCCGGGACTTGACCGGGCAGTTGCCAGTGTTCGACACGAGCCGTCACACCAGGCAAACGTCAGCCGACGTCGAAATGCCACGGATCGATCGATCCGGCCGACTCAATCGAGGGGCGTTGGCCAAAAAGCTATAACCGACAGAAATCAAGGTGTTTTGGGGGTGTTGGCTGACACATGCCGACCGGTTCAAAGGTCCAGCCGACTGACCAGAGAACAATCGGCCTGGCCGGCCAATAAGTCACAAAGTTAAATGGGGTCCGTGTCGATTTAACGTAGCACGCTGCAAACGGGACGCCGCCCCGGTGCCTCGACTGGAGGCTTGGACCGGGCGGGGCTGGTACGTCCAATTACGGTCATCAGTGACTCCCGTGACCTGTCCGCAGTGCGCATGGCGCACGGGCCGCAAACCTGTACGGTTGATCCGGAAATTCCGCAATTCGCACTGCACATTGCGCAGTGCGCACCGCAGCACAGTGTGCACACTTCACCTGGTTTGTCGGCCAAGCACGGTACATACTACCGTACTGTTTAATACCTACGGTACCGTACAGACTACAGATACCGGTGTACAGAAAGCAAATTAATTCGCAATGGACCAACTTTGAGGCAAGCTTGTGAACTTTGAAGTTACAATTTGCGCTGTATTATTAGACGGTACAGCAGCATAGGTATGTCAATGATCAGCTAGGAAGTAATGATTGCACGACGTGTGCGCGCAATTTTTATACTGGTAACTCTGGTGTGCACTACCGTATTACCTAGGCACACTGCAATTAGGGCACACTTGAGTTACCACACAACATTTTTTGAGATTTATCAGATTGCAACTGGGCAGTGGGTACCGGTACGGTCAAATGGGTGTACCTTTCAAATGTGGGAGGTTAAAGGCTCATTGCCCGGGGCAAGGGTTGGGGTTGGTTTGGTGGTTAGGGTGGTTAGGGGTGCGGAGCGTGTACCGGGAGGTACTAGGTATTCTGGTTAAGGTTGAGTTTCCCAGGGTTTTCGAAATTTGGAAGTCAAGCTCCTGGGACACAAGGGAGTACGGTAGTTCCGAGATACCGCGCGGCGCGCAGTATCCAGGGAAAGTATCGGCCTACGTGTTCAAGATGGAAACGTTCATTGGCTGCGCGAAGATTTGCCTGTGGTTTCTCGCTCTCTGATTTGCTCAAAATTTGCTTACTGCAGTGGCCGCAGTATATTTAGGACGAAGGTGAACCGTAGATTTATAGCAGCCTGCCTGAGCGTCCGATAAGCTTTGTATAGGCTGTATAGAGTATCGACGGGAGAAAATCGCACACGACAGAAAGAGTGGCAGAGGTAGGCTGGTATGGGACCCTATGGGTTCAATTGGCAGTTGCCGGTGCGCAGAAGTCGTAGACGGTATGGTAGAACCGTAGAAGGCTAGGTAGGTACCGTACCTCAGTAACCTGCCCTGTGCAGCGTGCTGGACTCTAGAGTCTAAACCCACCTACACCTAAGTTACCGTACCGTACTTGTCTGAGGTACGTACCGAGTATGGCAAGGTGCGCTGTGGATTCCAGTGGAAGCAAGGAATCTCACTGTCAGTCTGGATCAAGGATTCTAGATCTCTTCCTCAAGTTCAATTTTAAGAACTGGAAGAAGCAATTGCAATCGTCGTTTGCCGCCACCTGCCCTCCATTTTCGCATTCAATCTATTACCGTTGCGCCCCTTTCTGCTTTTCTGCCTTCGTACAACGGTCTATTGCAACAAAATGGCTCCCGCTTCCCACATTGTCGGTTACAGCCGGATCGGCGCTAAGCGCGAGCTGAAATTCGCACAGGAGGCGTACTGGAACAAGAAGACCAGCGCCGCAGATCTGGAGAAGACTGGGAAGGAGCTCAGGCTTGCTCTGTGGAAACAGCTGAAGGATCAGGGGTTGGATCTGATCCCCAGCAACACCTTCACCTTCTACGATCATGTGTTGGATGTCACATGCATGGTCGGTGCTTTGCCAGAGCGTTATGGCTGGACCAACGGCGAGGTGGATCTGGATACATTCTTTGCCATGGCGAGAGGGAATGCGCAGCAGCCAGCGATGGAGATGACGAAGTGGTTCGATACAAACTAGTAAGGGGTTTATCAAAAAAATTGGCTTCGTGGAGTTGGATTCATTCTGAAGTTTCTTGTGTGTGAGGATGTATCCTGGAAGAATGCTATCAATGCTCTGTTAGGATGCTCTGTTGTCACAGGTACTGGCCTGATCTTGAGATTGGAAAAGGTTTATGCTAGCAGCCGCTGGGTTCCTTGTTTTGGTTTCTGGATTATTGTGTAGGTTTTGGCAGAATGCAAGGCAGCCAATACATCACCATGCGTGGAAACCCTGCAATATCCAACTCTCTGCAGCCACTACATTGTGCCGGAGCTGGCTCCTACCACCAAGTTTGCACTCTCCTCCACCAAAGCCATCAGGGAGTACCTTGAGGCCAGGGAGATCGGCATTGACACCCTCCCCGTTCTAGTCGGGCCCGTCACCTACCTGCTGCTGTCCAAGGCGTCCAAGGACGCACCAAAGGCGTTTGACCGCCTGTCTTTGCTGCCGGCCCTTCTCAAGGTCTATCAGTGAGTGGACATTCTTAGACCACCTGGTGTTAATTGGTCGGACTGAAGTGTCGCTTCGCATTCTAGGGAGTCGTCCCGACTGCTACTCTTTTGTTTCAAGTTTTCTGTCAATCTGAGAAGTGAGGCGGTTGTGTGTCGCTTGGGTTTTATGTTTGGCCTGACGTCATATCATTGTCAGCTGTTCATGGCAGCTTGGTACACTTCCGAGCTACTATTTTCCATTGAACTTTCAGCTTCTTGCGTCAATGTGAGCCATGTGGTTGCTGCTGAGACTGAGATTAAACCATACTCCTGCGGAAAGCATTACGGCTTGTAGCTCAGTGGAAGAGCGCTTGGCCCCTCGTGGGGCCCAGAGGTCTTGGGTTCAAACCCCAACCTGCCCCAGATCTGCTTTTCCAAGGGTTTATGGATTGGTCAAAGGTTAACGAAAGTTGTTGTTCTGGTCTGGCCGTCAGTTTGCAGTTTCTTGTGAGCTGCCTTGGGTTCAAACCCCATACTGATAGGTCTCATCGGTGCATGTCGTTCATTTTGCACAACATCTCTGCTCAGCAGCCTGCAGCAGTCTCCTGACTTGCTGCCTTGGGATCAAACCCCATACTACTGATGCATTGGTCTCGCATTGCTTCTTGTTGTGACCCAATTGCAGCAGGTCTCATTGTCATGCTTGTTGCAGCAGTAATGGTTGCCGTAGTGGAGTGCACCACAATCCCATCTCCTTGGTATCTTCCGCACTTCTTCTCATGTGGATCTCTATGCAAGTTAAAATTAGTGAATCCTGTGCCTGAGTGCATTTTCTATGCACATTGCTCTCCATCAGCACTCGCCTTACTCGCTGCCATTGGGATACGACCCAACTGACTGTGTGGGCCTGCCTTTTTGTACAATCGGATGGGTGCGTACGCGCAAATTTCATTACAGAATCCGCTAATGGCATTGTCCTCTTTGATGAGCAGAGAATGGATAAAGGATGGTAGTAGCCTCCAAAACCCAGAGCTCATCTCTGGCAAATGCAGATCTGATGTTTCCATGCTTCTTGCTGTGCATTGGTGATTGGATTGTTGCCTGCAGGAAGCAGCACCTTCTGGGTTCAAACCCCAGCATTCCCTTCACCATTTCACAGTCTCGTGCCAGTCACCTTTCTGTAAAAGCAATCGCTGTTGCACCTGATTGTGGTCTTGTCTGACAAGATCGCTATTTCCAAGCTGCAGACCCCCTGCAAATCCACATCCTGGAATGCCGAGTTTCTGCCTCTGTTGTCCTTCCACAGCAAGTGACGTGTAGCTCAGAGGAAGAGTGCATGGCCCATTGTCAGGCCATGAGGTCTTGGGTTCGAACCCCAACCTGTCCGAAAAGCTCGTGGAAGGTTCAACAAAAGGCACATGTGGGAGAGATTTGTCTTCTTACTATTCAGTTCTCCTGCTTTCAAGTAGGTCTTGTTTGGGACAAGCTCCAGGAATGCTCTTTGAACACACTGTTGGGAAGTCTGCCTCTTGATGCTATTGCGCTGTGCTTACTCTTGGTTGAAAATATTCAAAATCAGGGCTTTTATTGTGCACTGACTGTTCTGCTGATCTGCTGTGTGTGAGTCTGGCTATCCAGTCTCCTTGGGTTCAAACCCCTGCATAGCAATGAACCTCATCCAAAACACTGCCAGAACGGCTCGGTTTCCTGGAGTTGAACCTGATCTACTCAGTTCCTTCCTGCTCTCAAGTCTCACCGTCCCCCTCTTTGCGGATCTGCCGCCATCCCTGGTAACGGTTGCCTGACCATACCAAGTTGCTCTCTCATAACGCAGTAGACTTCTGAGTTTCTCTGCCCCTGTTCTCCTTCTAGTAGCAATCGATGCGTAGCTCAGAGGAAGAGTTTGTGGCCCCTGGTCAGGTCATGAGGTCTCGGGTTCGAACCCAACCTGATTGAAAAGCTGCTGGAAGGAAGTGACATAAAAGGGACACTTTGCGATGCATTGTAGTTTCTTTAGCCAATTTCTATCTGTGTAAGCTGGTGGTTCACCTATTTCCCCTTTTCTCGTATCATGCCATTCTTTTGCTTGTGTACAATCTTCTGCTGGACAGATCATTGTCACTGCTCTGCAGTTGGTCTGGAGATCACTGCCTTTGTAATCATAAGCCATGCTGTCTTTACTCTAGAATTTGAGCTTTGGCCTGAGACTTGGTTATCAGGTGCATACTTGGTGCCTGCACACTTTGTCTTCCCGTCACCTCTTACTTGTCAGCCCATACAGTTGTGCACCCCCTTCTCTGCTGCAAAATTCGTTGAAGCTCCCCACTTCCAAATCTGGGTAAGTGGAATTGCGGAAGTCGTTTGTCTCTTGTCAATGTTGTGTGCGCACGTCAATGATGGTATTATGTCGCTTGAGTCGACTAAGCATGGGGCTTAGGTACCTGGTTTTAAACCCCAACGACTCAAGTTTTTCTGTATGGCATCATCCTATCACAGCTCTCAGATCTGGCTGATCCTTGTTTGGTCTTCACGTTTCTCTGGTAAAACGCTGATGGACTTCCACTCTGATCTCAATGTGGTCAAAGCTTTAGTTGACTGCTCCTTCTGCCATTCAGGTTGGAAGCTTGACTCTCCAAAACCTTTTCCTTCCTGCAATAGCTAGTGGCTTGTAGACGGATTCCTTGGCCCCTTGTCAGGTCTAGAAGGTCTTTGGGTTCAAACCCCAACCTGTTCAACAACCTTGCGGAAAGAAATGCAGATCATTCTTATCTTCTTTATGATAAAAGGTGATCTTTGTTTGGCCTTTGTCTAGGCCTATCTGGGTTCAAACCCCAGCAAGATCACCTTTGCAGCCCTCTTCTTACACCTAGGTTTCTCATTTCCATGCCCCCTGTAGACTATTCCTGCTGCTGCTACCTGTGCAATGAGAAGTCGATCAATTCTGGCCAGCCATTGACGCTGTGATTGAAGCTGTTCTCTGCAGTTTTGTCCGTGGTCTTCAGGGAAAAGGCCCGCAGCTTACCGAGTAGTAATTGTAACAGTGTCAAGAACGCATGACCATTCTCTGCCTTGCCTTCAGTCCTTTCTCTCCTGCTCTAGTAAACAAAGCTTCTGCTTTAGATTTTTGAAGTGGCCCATTGGGCTGACTTCTTGTTGCAAGAATGTCGAGATCTTTCCATACGCACTCATCGGGCAATATCTGACAAGCGCTTGTTTAAATTTTGAAGCATAGGAGAAAGCTCTCTGAAACGTTGTCTTCCTGATCGTATTCTTCGTCAAGTCAATATTGCCTACCTTGACTGGGGGTAATAAACAGCACTTTCTTGTGTTTCTGGATGGAATGAAGCAGCTCGACCAACTTTTTGAAAGTCTAGGCCATAAAACCACTGTCGTTTAGATCATCAGCTTGGCGCAAAAAATCCGTTGCTATTGTGTACGGAACAAATATTTTAAAAATTCACCTCCCTTTCTTAAATTGCTTACCTCCTGCTGTCACTTGCAGATTTGTGGTCCAGTCAGCAAACGCCCGTTGCCTTTGAAGTTTCTGACTCCGCATTTGTACGCCTTGCTCTTCCTCCCCTAGAACAAATACGACATTCTTCCTCTGTTCATCACATTAGCAGCAATGAGTTCTTTAAAATTGTCTCCATTTACACCGGTATCACCTCAGAGTTTCCGTTTATGAAACCCCAACACTAACCCTCTCAAACCCCCTTCCGAGCTCAGGGAAGTAGCGTCCGAGCTCCAGAAGGCAGGTGCCCAGTGGATCCAGTTCGACGAGCCCATCCTAGTTACGGACGTCGACGCCCCGGTGCTGGACGCCCTCAAGACGGCATATGCCGCGATCGGAGCGGCCCTGGCGGGCGGCAAGACCCAGATTCTCATCGAAACCTACTTCGACTCGGTTAACGAAAATGCGTTCCAAACCCTGGTTAACATCCCGGAGGTTTCGGCAGTTGGCATCGACCTGCAGCAGAAGCCGCGCAACCTTGAAACGCTGCGCAAGCACGGGCTGCCAGCTGGCAAGACCCTATTCGCCGGTGTCGTGGACGGGCGCAACGTGTGGGCCAACGACCTGAATGCGTCGCTCGAGGTGCTGCAGGAGTTGGAGGCCAAGATCGGGAAAGGTGAATTGTTTCTCAACATTCTGTGCATCAATCTGATCTATTACCCATACTCAGTCGACCTTCTGACATTTACCCAGTCTTTGCAAACTCTATCTTTCAAATTCATAGTCTTGTTGTGTCCGGTTCGTTAGACTGGAATCGTGCTCTCTACACAGGAGCTCTGCCCATTTTGACTGGTCATGTTCTGGATCCGTCATCGATTTCACCGGACGACACAGTCTTCTTCTCATTCGATCTCAAACCGTGCTCGACCTTTGTCCAAGTACTTGTAAGACGTCAGCCATCCCAGCATTTAGAAGCTGACTTTATTGATCAACTTTTTCAGAGGCGATTGTGCTATCGATCTTCTGCGTGATTCCTCTTATGTTCGGCTTAGACGAGAAGATGGCCCTCAATTCCCATTCTGTCTGCTTCTCGCGTTACCTGACGTTTGCAAGGCCTCACAAATGAACACCACATATTTCAGGAACAACTATTTCTATTCGCGCCGTCAATCTTGGTTATGAAACAGCTTGCGAGTCTCGGACTGCAGTTGACTTGCTCCTTCAGACATCGCAATCAAGTATCATAGGCTGCTTCAGCTTCTCGCAATGCCCGTTGCCATTCTCTGCAATTCCACCGCCTTTGTAACTGTCCCGCTCCCTCCGCTCAGCTCGTTCGATGTACTTAGGGCGCTGCCCCTTTGCAAGAAACCGCTTCTCTGCGGTTTTGATGTCTAGCGCTGATACCGTCATTTCTTCCCAGCTCTTTGGTGCACGCCCCTTTCTGAGTGCGACAAGAAGACCGCTTGAAATGGCAGTTGAGGTTGCACTTACTTAGGTAACAACACGGGTTAAAAGCTGACGTCACTTCGCAGGTGGTCCTCCAGCCGCAATCGGTCATCATCGTCCTGCTTCTTCACACCGTCGCAAACCCAATGAAAAAGAGACGGCCCTTGTCCTCGAACTTGTCATCAACATGTTCTGACCGATGCGATCTGGACTACGTCAGCTGACGCTTCCGCTGACATCATCTCTGCTCAAGATTTGTGGTCGTCTCCGTCTTCCTCCTTCCCTGCACAATCTGGGACGACGAGACCCCCTTGGCCCTGATTTTAGTAAAGTGGTGTAAGTTCGAATATAAGGGCTTGCTTACCATTTTGCTGACGTCATCTCTTGCCAAGAAGTTAGTCGCCTCTACTCACTGCTGACTCCGCCACACCCCAGTCGACCTGGACGAGGAGATGGCTCTGGACCCCTGCTTAACGTTCACCACAATTTGTCGCCGAAGTTCACCTGTAACGTCAGCTTCACGCTTCTTCACTGACGTCATTCTATGATCGCCTGTCCAGGAAACGTGGTCGTCTTCACTCCCTGCTTTCCAAATCCTGGTGGACCTTGACGAGGAGATTCCTTTGGACCAAAACAATCCTCGAAAAAGACTAAGCTTAGGCATCGATTTTAACGTCAGCGGACTTTCTTGCTGACGTCCTCTTTCCTCAGAAAACGTGGTCGTTTCCACGACCTGCGCTCTCCTTCACACCACGGTCGACCTCGAAGAGGAGACCGCGCTTTACCCCAAAGTTATCTCTGACCAGATTTTAAGCGGAGGCTTGGATTTGTACGTCAGCTAACAGTCTTGCTGACGTCATCTTTCCTCAGGAAACGTGGTCGTGTCCACGTCCTGCTCTCTCCTCCACACCCCGGTCGACCTCGACGAGGAGACCGCGCTCGACGCCGAGCTCCGGTCGTGGCTCGCGTTCGCGAAGCAGAAGGTGTCCGAAGTGGTAGTGCTCTCGGACGCTTTGGCCGGCAACAAAGATGTCCAAAAGTTTGGCGACAACGGCAAGGTGCTGGCCGGTCGGCGCGCCTCGGAGCGCGTGGTGAATGAGAACGTGCGCAAGGCGGTGAGTGGCTGCCGACTTTTCAGGGGATCCCTCAGCTTTGCTCGTGAGTCCTTTCTGTTTGATGGCCTTTCAGGGACAGCAGTCTTCGCCTCGATCTCGCTGTATACCTCTTCATCCGAGTTGTTCACCTTACCTGCAAGGCCCAGACTAAGGAATAGGTACCAGTTTCGGAAGAGGTAAGGTTGCAGATTGTTTTTGCTGAAAGTTCTGTTCATCCCACATAACTTCAATGAGAACGTGCGCAAGGTGGTGAGCGGATTCAACTTCTCCGGGAAGATCTCGGGTTGCGGCGTGAAGTTGTGAGTGCCTTTTTTGGAAAAGACACTGGTTGCATCCCCTCTGGAAGGACTGACTGTATTCTGTAAAGGTCGTGAGCATCGTTCGACTGTGTGTTTGCGGTTGCTTTGTCTGCGGCTTTAGAGAAACGGGACTTGTCTTGAGACCTCCAGACAATCGCCGCTTACCACTCAGGGGCTGTCAGGAAACGACCCAAGTTTCGTGAAGAGTCCCTGAACTTCTTCGGAGGTGACTTTCGAGGTCCGAAACCCTTACGAAAAGCGAATGGCTGCAACCGTTTGAACATTCGTGTTGCCTGCACCCCTCCCGGAAAGCTCAAAATCTTTCGAGTTGCCGAGAGAACCTCTGAAGCTTCCTAAGAGGTTTGCAAGAATTCTGCCACTGGCCGGACTCCGTGATTGCCGCCATCGAGTTCGAGCGCACTCTCAGTGAGTTGCTGTACTAAAAGAGCACCAGACAACTCCTCACAAAGAAACTTCCTCTATTCTTTGATGACCCCTTCCTCGACTTCTACATGTGTCGTGCCGGTCGCCACGTCAGTTTGATCAAACTCCAGACCCTCCTGACAGAGCTCCCGAATTGCCTGAAAAGCCGGAACTACCAAACCCTTCCAACTTGTTCCAGGTTTCGTCGCTGACTGAGAACGACGACCCCCGCGCGACTCCCGTTCAAGAGTGCCTCGCGGCGCAGCAGGCGGTGCTGAAGCTGCCCCGTTTCACTTCCGCACGTTTGCAGAGTTCTGAAGTATTGTCAGATTTATACTCTGCTTACTTTATGCCAGGTTTCGGCTCTCACCGAGAACGACGGCCGCCGCGCAACTCCGGTCAAGGAGCGTCTCGCGGCGCAGCAGGCGGTGCTGAAGCTGCCCAGTTTCACTTACCGC